GAGTTGCAGGGGGTGAATTGATGGTGGAGATACGAGTGGAAAACAGCTCTTTTTCTCTTTTTCTCTGGTGGTGGAAGAGTAATGAGGTTTCGAATTTATTTATTTTTTGGCTTACTATGACGATATCTATGAGCCTATCCTTTTTTTCCAAGAGGGATTGAGGTAGAGATAACTTTTTTCTTCCTTAATTTTTTTTTTTCATTGATGAATGATCTATCTTCCTTCTATTTGACGTAATCTCAATTGGGGTTTCTGTGTAATAATTTATTCTTTGTGAAAAACACACACGCACACATATATTTATATAATCTAATGTGATGTATATCAAGAGCACGAAAAGAAAAAAACCATGGACAGGCAAGTGGCATGCCAAGCTTTTCCGAGAAAAAAAAACAATTTGATATGCCATACGCCAAACAGATGCAACGAGTTCAAGTGATGGACAGACAATGCTTCAAATTAATTAAAATTTCATAATGCCATACGTCTCCCTATCTACGTGGTATACCTCCATCCCCCCAAAGGCTCAAAACAACGTAAACGCACACAAGACCCAGCGTACATGTATGTCAATGCATAAACGCACGCCAAACTCCCCCCCCCCCACACAGCCCCTTACCTTGACCAGTTTCCTGCCACATGAGTACGCAATTTTCCCAACGTACATAAAAAAAAAAGAAGAAGTAGAAGAAGAAGAGGAAGAAGAAAACACAAAGACACAAAGTGACTCCAAGGAACGGCCACTATGCAAAAGCCACACTTGCTCTTCAACTGTCAGTTCTCCTTGAGAGTTTCCCCACTCGTCACGGTTATCATCCAATCCTTTCTCACCAGCCAAGCCCCTTCACACAAAAGCCGGAGTGAGGTCGCGCTTGGTTTCAAGACGAGGCGAGGACTAGTCGCCATTGACTTGCTCGGCACCACCTCCATTGGTATGAGTAGTGCCCATGTACCGCTGCATGTAGGTAATGTAGTCGAATTTGGGAATATCACGGTCTTCTTGCATGTCTGGGCCTTTGTGCTCAGGCATGGTAGAAAGAAGGTCATCAATGACCTCATCAGGTACAAGGGAGTGCCGGAGGTCAAGCTCTGTGACGTATGGCTATTTCAAGGGTTAGCATTTGGCTTTGTGTGCACAACAGACTGCATAGATGACTTACCTTGCCGTCGGCGACTTCCCTAAACGACTCAAAGACTTGCTCGGCTGTGTTTTGGTCTTCAGTCTCGTCAACCATGAATCGAATAAACTGTTCAAACGTGACAAAGTCCTTGCCGCCGCTCGTTTCACGGAATCTCTCATGCATTTCTTCCTCGTCGTAGACTAGTCCCAGACTTGCCAGTGCTGCCGAAAATTCCAATTCCGCGAGTGAGTTGGAAACGTCACGGTCAAAGTGGCGGAAAACGGATTCAAACTCTTCTAATTGAATGGGCGTCAGGTTGGTCATGTTTCGGGCAACCATTTGGTTCTCGAGGAAGGCGAGCTTTTTCGATACGGAATTGCGGACCAGACCGAGCTCGTACTCGAGTTCATCGTACGTGTATGTTGTAAAATCGTTTTCTTCAATGTTTGCTTCGGCGCACTGCTCATCAATCGACGCTATGAGATTCAAGTACTCGTCCAGTGGTGCAAGTGACTTGCTAATTTCTTTGGTATGCTCGAGTTGGTCATCAACATCGCCTTCGAGGGCAGAAATCGACGTGGATAGCGTGTTGAGGGCCAGAGCAAAGTCGTTGGCTTTGTCGGCAAAAGACTTTCGTAGGGCATTCTTGATATCTCGGATTGTTTCGTTGATGATCTGGGAGCGCTGTCGTTCGGCCTTCATCAATCCCGACCATGCATTATCGAGCGCGTCGAGACTGAGTTCCGCTGGAGGCTCGTACGGTCGCAATCGGTATGTGGCTAGCTTGGTCCTAATGTTGCCCAACAGCCCAACAAGATCCGACTTCTCCGCAACCCATGTGCGCTTGTTCTTGCGCTTCCATGCCGTAAACTCGGTGGATTGAGCCCTTGCATCGGCATATGTCCCGTCAAACGTGGCTTCCTCCCATTGTGACTGCTGCTTAGCAATCTGGCCTAGCAGCTCGCGCATGCGCCTTTCAAAGTCGTTCTGCATCTGCCATGCTCCTTGCATGTTTGCCACAAACTTTTCTACTCTTCGGCCGGCGTTTTCGACTCGTTCCATCTGCGAGAAAGCATGGAACCAGTAGGCAATGTATGTCATAAGGGATCGCTCATCGGGCTTGGGCACGTCGCACACATCCTCCACATCGAGCAGGTCGGGGATGCCAATCTCCTTGGAGGCGATATCAAAAGCAAGTTGCATGTTTCCGCGGTGATCGTTCTTGTCGAGGCTATCGTAGTCGATGAGGTCGGGGCGGTGAATGTCGAGGAGGGCACAGCTGTTTGTGTGTTAGGCCAACGGAAGGTGGGGGAAACACCATAATCAACTCACAATGCTAATCCATCGTTCCAACTTGTGGAGAAGTCGCGTACTTCTACTTCATCGTAGCAAGCCGTCTTTCTCTGACACCACAGCAAGAGACCCTCCTTTGCACTCAGACCCTCTTCGTTGATGTCGCTGATGGTGAAGCGGAGAATGAGGGTCCATATGAGACCAAGGATGATCTTGCTATTGCCGTCGACGACATCCTCAGCACCGGTGTTTGTGAGTTGGATCCTCCTACTCCGGATGAAGTCGAGTGATTTGTTGACGTTTTCAAACTTTTGGACACGGAGCTTTGGTCGCGAGGCGTATCGGCCGAGAGATTCGTTGCTGAGGATCTCCAGGAGGTGGATCAGGATGATCTGGACAGGGTTAGTGGGTGGATGCGGGGACAGAGAGAGAAGGAGAGGCGGGGTTGCATACACCGTCAGAGAGGTCTGTGATGAGGTCTGAGATCTCGACGCTCCGGATCTTTAGTTTGCTGTTGAGCCTGCATTGGTGTGGTTAGTAGTGGCGCGGAGAGGGGGGCGGGCAGAGATGGGCACCATTTGGTGAAGGTCTTTTGCTGGACGTTGACCCATTGCTGTTCAAGCGGCGCCATGTTTGGGGTGCATCAGTGCTCGGCGAGGGGGCAGGCACACGGTAGCAGGAGTTGGGAGGCGTGGATATGCGATGCAGGCTGACAATGAGCCTCGTTGTGTTTTCCAACGGCCAGCCAAAACAATGGATGGATGGCTCACTGCGGGCGCGGACTCGGCTGTCGGTGAGACCCCGGTCGAATGGTAGCGGGGCCCCTGGGTCCGCTCGCTTGTCGGGTGGCCTAGCGGCGGAAGAGGGCAGTGGTTGGTCGGACTGGACTAGACTTTTGTTTTTTTATTGCAACAAGACGGGATTGGCGGTGCAATTGGTGTTGATGGCTGCGGGTAGGAATGACTATGTAGCCGCAATATGAGAGCGCAAGGGAGGCGCAGCGAGCAGATTGGGTGGTTTTGTAGGAGCAGCTGCCCCCCCACCTGCCTCGTGGGCGGGTGCACGCTGATTGGGCAGGCGCCGTGTGTTTGTGTGTACGTACTCGATGCATGTACTCTATCGCAGGTAGGTATTCTGCTGGGTGGCGACCATGGCCTGGATGATGGCTGTAGCCACGTCTCACGTGCTAGGATACTTGAGGACTGTTTATTGTCAATCTGGCATGCTTATTCGTACCCTTACCGTGGAGGGTGAGATGAATTAGCCAAAATGCGGACAGGCGGGCTTGGGCGGCAACAGGCCTCTGCGCCAGGCGGTGTGAAAAGTGGCTGGTGGTGGATGTAACCATGTAGGCAAGTAGTCGAGGGGCGGCGTGTTTGTAATCCATCCTTACATACACGCCCAGGTGGGAAGGAACGAACCACTTGGGTAGCTGCGAGGAAGGAGCGACCGACCACGATGTTCCTATTAAGCTCGCCTGCATCAACCTTGCTCGCCATAGCTGCCAATCAGCGGCTTCGTCTTGTCTGTGTACATATATATAATGTACTCGCTATGTACATACATGATACATGAATACATGTCGATGCCCGAGCACAACCAACAGTAATCTCCGAAGACATGTTGGAAGCCATCATGTTGGATCACCCCGCTGTCCGGGCGAGATGATGGCAGGGTGGAGGAAGCGTCTTGGGCTTTTCCATGGAGAATGCAACAGCTTGATCTAGTGGCGTCTTCTGGCAATGACGTGCATGGTCGACGGCTGCTGGGGCAGGCATGGCAGTGGGTGTATCGACAATGTAGCATGTGTCTGTTCGGGGTGTAGGATAGGTAGACTAAGCATGTATCTATGTATGGACATGTACTAGCTAGTACGTAGTCGATACACAGACGTCTACTTAGTCAAGACAGCCACCCACCCACTGGCTGCGGGCGGCGTCGACCCGAGGGTTGAAACGGGCCAGGGCAGCGATGCTCGGTGCATCGAGTGCCGCTTGACGTGAAACGCTCCACCAGACGGGCTACATGTATGTACTGCGTAGTCGCTCCGATGCCATCCACGGGCGACATTTGCGTGACAGCCAGGCCGGGCTATAGACGCCAGCTGCAAGAGTTTCAGGCGCGGGCGAGCGCTGCGCTCTGAAACGTTGATGGCCATGACGCCGCCACCGTCTTCTAGTACCACTGTCGCGCCTACACGCCCATGAAACACATGGCCGCCCCCTTGGCCTCGAGTATCGGCTGCTCCTGCATACCCATGGCGCTCATCGTGCCCATTCCGCCCATTCCGCCTCGACTCGAGCTCGAGAGTTGCGGGTGCACGTGAGAGCAGCGTTAGCGCGCCGTCTGGCTGCACATGTGCATGCTCCACGCTGAGCCAGGAGAAAGCGCTCCACTAGTAAAGACTGCCCGCCTCGACAATACACTTCTCACCACAGCACCCTCTCGCTCTCCTTCGTTGGCTGCCCAACCCTCTCCTATCCACCCTAACCTCGCTCCCCATCCCCCCATGTGGCTTTTCCATTGAGCCCATCCCTGGTGTGCGACGCATTGCCCTTCTGAACCATTGGCAGCCGCACCCGCTGCCCTCTCAGCACTACTGGCCCGCCCGCCAGCTGCCCAAGCCCTCTCGCATTGCTGCTGGCCCGCTCCGCGCGACGCTCCACCCCAAAGACTCGCCCGCCAGCTGCTCCACCATTACTACGCCCTCTGCCGACGCCCAGCCCGCTGCGCAATTGTCGACCCGACCCGACTCGACTCGACTCTCTTTTTCCCTCTTCCTCTCTCTCTCACTCGCGCTCAAGGCTGCGCCCTCCCCCGCTGCCTGTCAAGTTCATCTACTACCCTTCACCCCGCCATTCACCGCATCCCCCAGCACTCACCATTGCATTTCCGAGGTGACTACGCGCTCCCCGGACGCCGTCACAGTTGCCTGCTAAAGGCCCCTCGAGCTATTGTCTAAATTAGAGGTTGCCCATGTAAGTCTCCTCACTCTTCTCTTCGCCTCTTCAGCCCCTTCTCAGCTATCACTCGTCTACGGCCTTTTTTTTTGCTTCTTTGCTGCAGCCACCGTGACTACTCGCCGGAGCCCGGTCCGACTCAGGTAGCATACGTCGCTGCTCGTCAGCCTAAGTAGACCCCAACTAATCACGACATCGCAGCATGTATTCCCGCGAACAGTTCATGAACCCTGGTCCCGCACCGCGACCACCCACAGATCGTCCCCGCCTCGCCCTTACCCCAAACACCAGCAGCACGCTGCCAGGCAACATGGCTGGCCTAAGTATGCAGTCGCCCGGCATGAACAACGGCTCTCAAATGTCCCTTGTTCGCACACAGACCGAAAGAAGCGGCTCGTCCACGTCCACGGTCAAAGAAGGCATGGTCAAGGTCAAGGACGAAGGCCTGTTCAAATCCTTCGTCTGGGCAGACCGCTGGCTGGTGCTGCGCGAGTTTGAGCTCAATTTCTTCAAGAGCCCAAACGCCTCAAAGGTATCCAACTCCATTCAGCTACGAGACATTCTGGGTGTCGAGCGATCCGACACACAGCCCCTGTCTTTTGAAATCACCCGCGCACTCAACCCCAGCAAAGGCTCATCGCCACCCCGCGATGGTCCCACAAAGATCATTACATGCAAAGTTGAGACCGATGATGAAGTTTACTCGTGGATCGATAGCATCTACCAGCGATGTCCTAGCATGGGTGGCGTCAGCAACCCCACAAATTTCACGCATAGAGTACACGTAGGCTTCGATCCAAACAGCGGTGCTTTCGTTGGCCTGCCTGTCGAATGGGAAAAGCTGCTCACCGCATCTGCACTTACCAAAGATGACTACGCAAAGAACCCAAAGGCCGTTCTCGAGGTCCTCGAGTTTTACACCGAGAAGCTTGTCAAGCGATCAGAAGACCCCCAACAATATCCAAGCCTTACACCCACCCCGCCAGGCAGTGCCGGAATGGACAAGCAGCTGGGCTATTCAGGCGGCGGAAATTCCGTTGCACCTCCACGCCCTGCTCCCCCTGGTGGTTACCCACGCAAGGATAGCTACAGCTCCAGTCGCCAGAACACGCCGCCTCAGCAAGGCTATTCCAGTCAACAAAACTCTGCCTCACAGCAACAGCAGCAGCAACAGGACCGCTATGACCAGGAGAGGAGACGACAGGAAGAACAGGCAAGGATGCAGCGCGAACGTGAGCGACAGAGACAACAGGATTACGAGCGTGAGCGCGAGGAGCTGGCTGCGTACAATGCTTCGCTACCGCAGAAAAAGGTTCCATTGGCCCAACAAGAAATCGGTGGAGGCAGCTACGATGCACGCGACACAAGCCCTTCAGGCCAACGATACAACCCCAGTCGTCCTGCGCCATCAACTCCAGGTTCGGCGAGGAACCAGCAGCAATCACAGCAGCCTCCAGGTTCATTGCGCCAGATGGCTGCACAGCGTCCAGCTCCCCCAGCTCCTCAACAACAAAACGGCAACTATAGCTCTTCTCCTTCAAAGTCATCTTCTCAACAGCGCCCGCCCGTTCAGCCCAACAGCAGCTACAAGGGTTCAAGCGGACAGGTCCCTCGCACCAACAACGGCCAGCAGCAGCAGCAACAGCAGCAAAAGCAATACCAGGGCTCATCTGCTGCTCCAAAGCCATTGAATGTTGCTAAGCCTGCCGCTCCCGTCAGCGATGCTGTCAAGAAGGCTGAACAGGCCCTCACAGCCAAGCCCAAGGATGAGCCCCAACGCAAAGACGTGCGCATGTCGAGCATGTCGGAGAGCGAGGTCATGGCCAAACTCCGCGAAGTCGTGTCCAAGGAAAGGCCCCTGGATTCGTACAACAAGCAGAAGAAGATTGGCCAGGGTGCTAGTGGCTCTGTCTACGTAGCTCGCATCCGTGAAGGCGCCACGTCACCAATGGCCAGGAGGGTCATGCAGGAAAACGGACCACGTGCTCAGGTTGCTATTAAGCAGATGGACCTCCGTAATCAGCCCCGCAAGGAGCTGATTGTGAATGAGATCATTGTCATGAAGGACAGCAAGCATCCCAACATTGTCAACTTCTTGGATGCTTTCCTGCAAGAAGAGCAGTCCGAACTTTGGGTCGTCATGGAGTTTATGGAGGGAGGTGCCTTGACTGACATTATTGACAACAACCCTTCCATCAGCGAAGACCAGATTGCCACCATTTGCTTCGAGGTCAGTCTTTCGCTTATGTTCGTCCAAACTCATGCTAACTTTTGATAGACTTGCAAGGGTCTTGAATATCTCCACAACTTGAACATTATTCACCGAGACATCAAGAGTGATAACGTCTTGCTCGATGGCCGTGGTAATGTCAAGATTAGTACGTTTTCGCTTATCACGATCTCGCTGTACCTTACTAACCCGTTACAGCGGATTTTGGATTTAGCGCCAAGCTCACTGAGCAACGTAGCAAGCGTGCAACCATGGTCGGAACTCCATACTGGATGGCACCCGAGGTCGTCAAGCAAAAAGAATACGGCAACAAGGTCGATATCTGGTCTTTGGGTATCATGGCTATCGAGATGATCGAGTCCGAGCCGCCATATCTCAACGAGGAGCCCCTCAAGGCCCTGTATCTCATTGCCACCAACGGTACCCCTCGTCTTAAGAAGCCAGACAAGCTTTCCAAGGAGCTCAAGGCATTCCTGTCGGTCTGTCTCTGTGTTGACGTCAAATCGCGAGCTAGTGCATCCGAGTTGATCAGCCATGACTTCCTCAAGAGTGGATGCAGCTTGGCGAGCTTGTCTCAGCTGCTTAATTTTAGGAAGAACGGAGGCCACTAAGCAACTTGTAACCAAACGTCGAGTCAGGAGTGGTCCAAGCGATACCAAAAGAGTAATGGCGGGTGTTTTCACGAAGCGTTCTGGACTTGATCGATACCCTTTTTATGCTCATTTTACACTATATCCAAGACGCGGTCTGGCCAGGTTCCTTATTTTTGCAGTCGATGACCTATCATGGAACCTAAACGAGCGCTGGGCCGTTCAAACCTCCCTAGCATTGCCCGACTGGAATCTTGGCGGCCACGTCAGAAAAGAATTACACATTGCTTCTTGTGCCCACGATATTCCACTTGGTCTACTTGGTTCACTGATGCCGTTGCATAAGATGGTACAAGCTGTCGAGCTACTGCTTTGCCGAACAAGACTGATGTCTGATACCCCAGTGGAAGTGGGTTTCATCCTACGATGTTTCCAAACATGTTTCATCCGGTCATGGGAAATCAGTCTTTGGCATAGGACAATGGGGCAGCTTGTATCCATCTCAGCCCTCATCTTTTGCGCTTCTCATCCCTTTTATATATATCCCCTTTCCACCTCTCTCTACACAAGTGTTTATAGGGCAAGACGATATCATTGGCGTGAAAAGGAAGGGAGGATGGTCTTTCTTTTTATTTGAAACGGCAAACTGTTTTTTTTTCTTGGTGTGCGATCTGGACATCGCTGGTTGCGAAATCTTTCAGGAGGTTCTTGTTTTCAACTTTCATACTTGCCCAATTCCTCTCTATGCTCATGTTTGGGAGCCAAATGTGAATTACGGGTAGATGTCAATGACAGTTCTATAAAATATTTAATTTTTCAAACAATGTCAAATACTGGTTCAACACACAAGCGAAGTGACAAATCAAGGTGAAGTGGAATCGTACTTGTATGGTATGGTAAATGTCATTGGATATTTTGATTCGGGTCCATTTTGTCAAGTGTCATGTTGACAGAATTGACATGTAGAACCTGACAGATGGATATGTTCTGTCAACCAAGACTATCAACCTCGACGTACCGCATAAGAAAGTCATTTTCTCAAAGGAAAAACCCCCCCACCGTCATGATCCCGTTCCTAGCAAATAACTCCACGCAGTGAACTAGAAAACAAGAAAGAAAGAAGGAAAGAACCCCCCCCCCCCCCCAAAAAAAACCCCCGATCCAAACAAATCAATCCCCGTCATATCTCATAAAATCCACTTCTGCCCCTACTTCCTTGAGAGAAAAAAAAAAGAAAAATCCAAGACCCGTACTTGAATACCACAGACTCACAAATTCTTTACAAAATGAAACCCCCCCTTCCGATCCCTAAACACCATTCCCCCGGCCTCAGCCCCAGACCCACGACTAACCAACCTCTCGAGCACCCACTCATCCTGCATTTCCTTCTGGTACACCTCTACGGCGTCGCCTGCACCAGGACGAGCACCAAGCAGGCCATAGACCTTTGGCTCGCAATGCGCGACAAACTCGCTGAAGCGACTAGTAAATCGCGTGCTGGCGTGTGAGATACTCACTGGAAGGGGTAAAGTGGGATGCGGTGGGATGCGTGCTGCGAGCGGAGCGGAGAGGGATGCAGCAGAGGGGGTGGAGTGGCCGGTGGGGATGCCGAGGCGGGATGCGATGATGGCGGAGGCGTGACGTGCTGTTGACGCAGTCAACGAAGAAGGAGGAGATGGAGAAGATGGAGAAGGGGATACGGTGGTGTTTGGGCGAGGACGAACGGGGAGGACCATGCGGGTGTTGGTGTGGCGCATGTACATTAGTGTGTCGTTGTATGAGTCGGTGGGGCGCGGGGGGCGCTGTGGGGGACTCCTGTTGCGTCGGGTGAAAGGGGTGGTGGTGGTGGTGAGGTGGTTGAGGAGGAGGGGGATGGCTGAGTCTTGGGATGTGGGGGTTGGGCGGGAGATGGGACCTGTACTGCTTTTGGTCTTTTTGAGTTTGGGGCGTGGTGGGCGGTTGCTGCTGCGTTTGGGGAGTGGTGGTTGAGACGGTGGAGGCGGTGGTGGTTGTGGGAGAGAAGAGCAACGCGTTGGCAGCGGGATTGTGAAGTCGACAGGGATTTGGGGGACGGGTGGTGGTGGCGGCGATCTTGAGTAGGTTCTCTTGTTGCCGTTGAAGATGCGGGAACCTGGGGTGTGGATATCATGTTAGACTCGGATTGAACTTGAAGAAATAGAGAATCAAGGATATGATAGAGTGAAGAGTGGGTAGACTTACTCTTGCTCTTCAAGGCCGCAAGGTTCGAACACGACTTCTTCAGGTTGGACATACTGAACGCATTGCGATACATTTTCTTCTTGTTGGATGTAGCAGGTGAACGACGGAATGCCCGTGTGTCGTCGTCGTCGTCGTCGTCGTCGGAATCGTCGTAGTCTGGCAGAAGATCGAAATCATCGCTAGGCTCACGAGCAATGACGCGTGGTATGGCTGGAGGCAGCAAAGTTGACGATGAGGAATTGAGCCGCAGAGCTGGCTGCGGTCTCTCTAGCTTGTCGTCTTTGCGGCGAAAGGGCCATGTCACTTCCCGTTTGGTCAATTTCTGACTTGTGTGTACAGGTGGTTTTGGTGATACACGAGGGGGAGTAGGAAAGAGACTGTTCCTACCTTTTCTTGTAGCAGTGCTGTCAATACCAGCGTCGAATTCAAAACGTGACGTGCTGTTGGTTGCCACCTTGTCCTTTGAAGTTGTACCCTCTCTGAAGAAACGCGATGCTATCACCTTGCGTATCAGTATGGTCTGAGAGAGGATGGCAGTTGCCGGTGATCTCACCGCACTGGAGAAGAGAGGGCTCAGCTTGCTTACCTTTACTTCGGAAACTCTTCATCTTGAACACGGTCGATGGGCAAGGAGTATAGTCGGCGATCTGTTGTCTGGTTTGCAAGAGCAATTGAGTAACTTGGGCAGTAGCTTTGCTTCAAGTAGGCAAGGGAGCAAAGCAAACGGGATTTAGCGTAAGATTAGCCTCGAGTAGGTGATGCGGTATTTTGAAGCGATTCACGGTGAAGTGCGCAACGGGCTGTGCCAAGCCTGTACTCGCGTTCAGCGCTAATAGTCAGTGAAAGTGAATACTAAATCGACCTGAAGCGGCAAACGAAAACCCATTGTCTGGTAGACGGGCCATTGGTCTAAGTCAGATGCCCGAACCACTACTCAAGAACATGCGCAAGGCAGTTGGACGCAAGCCAATACATTGCATTGTCATGTGCAAGAACCATAGTACGTTGCTTAAACAGTGACCCCTAACATTGGATAAGCACAGAGGACAAAACACTCAAAGTGGGAATAGAAACATCAATCGAACATCGTCTCACCATCACAGAATAAAACCAGAAGACAGCCATTGTTGGACATGAAAACCCTGCGCCCCCATAGGAGCGTCAGAGCCGAGCATCATGCCCTAATATTTTTTCTTGATTTTTTACTTGAAAGATTTGTGGTGTTTGTAGTGATGGAAAAAGTCGAGTCATGCCTGGATCCAGAAACGTGGACAGCAGACGATTGTCGGAAAAAGCTCACCTCACAAAGCCAGTCGAGACAACCCCAGATGTGCATATATGCACCAAAACATCAAAACGTGGACAGCAGACGATTGTCGGAAGAAGCTCACCTCACAAAGCCAGTCGAGACAACCCCAGATGTGCATATATGCACCAAAACATCAAAACATGATGTTGCAAAACGCCAGTCGACCAGCTCCTAGAACCCCGTGCACATGCAGCCAATCCATGAACCATGACAAAGAAAAGTTCTTGTGCTGGACTGAGCAACTAGGACGACATACCCAGCAATCCATACTACGTCCACCAACAGTGAATGACTAGTCATTCAAAAAAAAAACGCCGGAAACTCCAAATAAACGATAGTAAGGTCATAGTACATGACGATATGAAAACGCTAGAAGACCCATATAGACAAAAGAAAGTGTGTGTATGAAAACACTAGTAGGTAGAATGAAAAACGCGGAATATGGACAGGTAGAAAGTAGTCTACCTCACGGTCGAGGCATCGCCAGCCGTGTTGAGATTAAGCAAACGCTTGAGATCCTGCTCCAAAGCTAAAGTTTCAGAAGGGGTGGATGTCTTCATCGCTGGGGTAGCTGCGGGAGCCGTGGGTGCAGAGGTCTTGCGCTGCTTAGCAGCGACCGAAGAAGGCACAAAAGACATCATGGTGGTAGAAGGTTTCGGTGCAGACGCAGGAGAGGCATTGGCGGCTGCTTTATCAAACTTGGGTCCAGGTCCAGATCCAGATCCAGTCCTCTGGCCCCTTGTTTGGTAGGTGTCAGGACGACGCTGGTGTGGCTGTCTACCAGGCGTGCGCCTTTGATTTGGGCTTTGCTGATAAGGTGGCATGGAAGGGCCTGCCTGACGAGGTGCATTCGGCGTTGCGCCATTACCCTGGGGGAAGCCGTTGGGTCCCATTGGGTAAGGCTGAGGAACGGATGCAAAACCCTTGAACCCATCTTGCTGAAGCATTGGGGAATCAGCACTGATTTCAGTGCGAAGGCCAGAGTTGCGTTTGGCCGAGTCACCCTGGGCTGCCTTGAACAGTGGAGAAAGGTTCTTGTTGCCGTAGTAAAAGTCGGACGGGTCCTGGTTCGTGGGCTGCGCTTGGGGGGTAGTGGGGCCAGATGCCGTTCGTCCAGGAGTCCGACCATCATGGAAAGGCGAGGGCGATAGATGTGCTTGAGGTCCTGGTGGGCCATGAGCACCCGCACGAGGTGGTGTTGCAGTAGTAGATTTCTTCTGTGACATGGAAAGACGACTAAACAGGTCTTGCATAACATCATTTCCATTACCCTGCTGGTGAACGTCTTTGAGTTGAGGGACGCCATCGGGATCTGTCATGGAGCGCTGTGAGACGGATGGCGCTGGAGGTGCGGGGGACATGTGCGCATGCTTGCTCTCCCCGTCAAGCTCGATAGGGAAGATGCCATTGAGTGAATGGTAAGAGTCATGCTTGAAGTGGTGAGATCGCCCGGGATTTGCTGCTACGAATGGGCTGTTTGAAGGAAAACCTCTGTTTTGGTTGTTGGCCCTCTCTGCTGCATCGGCCCTGAAGAGAAGATCCAAGGGAGACTGCTCATGGCGTGGAGGCGCAGCCATCGGGGCACGAGAAGGAGAAGCAGAAGGACTCAGTGAGCCCGAGTCAGAACTGTCCTCAGGCGGAGGGGTTGGTGGGCCAGCACGGGTCTTTGCGGGTACAGAACGAGAAAGAAACTTGGGAATTGGCAAAGCAGAAGGCGCCGGAGACGCGTGAAAGGTGGGCCCAGCATAAGCGGCCTGAATTTTGACAGGAGTTGCAGATGGGTTAATAGGAACGGGGTCCGATTCGATAGGCGGAGAGACGCGATCAGACGGTTTCGGCTGAGCGTGCTTCTTCATGCCGCGTGAACCGGCAGACATGTGGCCATCTTCACAGGGGAAGGTGACACTCTCAGCGAGAGCGCCTTGTGCGGTATTCTTGCTCGGGGATACAGGTAGGCCGTTGCGCTGGTTGTAGCCATTTTGCGCGCGGTTATTCCGTGGTTTTCTTTGTGACTGTCTTCCGGCGTTGTTGTTTTGGGGCAGCTGAGCTGGGCTCTGCGGCTTTCCGCGGGGCGCTCGTGGAGAGGCGGTGATCTGAGTTGTCGACATTTGAGGAGTAGTGGGGTGTTCTGTGTGGGGAGTAGATTATCTAGAGGGTCGCAGGCGGACGCTCTTTGTTCGAGAAGTGGAAGTGGGATGAATGGAGCGCGATGACGCGGGTTGTAGTTGGGGGGATGGCTGTGTCTGGTGTAGTAGAAGTGTGCAAAGGTCGAGTGGTAGAGTGTTCATATCCAGTTCCGCGGGGTAGAGATAGGCACGCGCCGTCGGGTGATGTAGGGCGAAGAGAGTGAGTGAGGGTGTAGTGAAGAGTGTCGGGCGCATCAGTCGGTGCCAGCGCGGAGGTGGCTGAGGTCAAACAGGGCTGATCTCGGCAAGGCGCACTGACGCTTGCAGCGGCGGCGGCGACGTAAGGCTGAACGGCTGTTACTATGAAACAGACGTCGAGCTGGGGTGGCAATGGGGATGATTCTGACACGGATCGTCCCTTTCCGGCATTGAGTTCCAAGCGTGTGCTGCTGGTTATTTCTTCGCATTGCTCTTTATCTGCGGCGTCATCGCAGACGGTGACGTGAATGGGCCCTGGTCTTGGCATTCTCGCGCTGGCAGCTGGAGCCTGACGGATGCACGTTGCGCCTTCAGCCTCGATACCATATTCGGGCCAATACATTGCCACCCCATAGTAACTTGGTTTCTGGTTCTGGTTGGAGCTCGAGCTGCAACCTGTTCCCGCCCATCTATTACATACCTGCGGCCCGTCAAACTCCACTCTTTGTCCACGCTTCAGCCTCCGACTCTACACTCCCCCCGCCCCCACCAGCTCCGAACCGCTTCATCGCATACTAATCATGGCGGACGTTGACATGGCAGACGCGCCCCCGGCCAAGACCAAGACATCCAAGGCCGGTGCCAGTGGAGAGGGCGACAAGAAGCGCTTTGAGGTCAAGAAGGTAGGCGGCACACGAGCACAAACAGTGCGTTACCAGACTTTTGGATGCTGACATGACGCAGTGGAATGCCGTTGCTCTCTGGGCCTGGGATATCGTCGTCGACAACTGTGCCATTTGCCGCAACCACATCATGGACCTGTGCATTGAATGCCAGGCCAACCAAGCTTCGGCAACTAGCGAAGAGTGCACGGTAGCCTGGGGTATCTGCAATGTAGGTTCCGTGTTGCTAAGCTCGCGATTCGCCATGCTAATTCACAGCAGCACGCCTTCCACTTCCACTGCATCTCACGATGGCTCAAGACGCGACAGGTCTGCCCGCTCGACAACAGAGACTGGGAGTTCCAAAAGTACGGCCGATAGACAGCAGTGGCCGGTACGACAAACAGGGTCAACAAGGACGCATTTGGGTTATGGTTCCATTCGGATGTCTGGCGTTAGCACGGCCTTTACAAAAGACTATCATGACAGCACGACGTAGTAACACGCGCAGTCAAGAGGGTCGAATAAGATTCCCATTACAATAAAACGCCGCATTTCTAGCCAATTGTGATACAAGTCTCCCCTGCCACTCGCTCCCAAACTCGGTCTATCCCACCTTCTCCCCGTCGACGTCGATGTTGTATTGCGATGAGGCGTTGTACTTTGGTAGCCAGCCTTCGGGGTTCTTGTTGTAAAAGGGCCACGGGGGCACAACGACGAGGAAGGTGAGGGCGGTGCCAGCGAGGCCAATGTAGAGGGTGAGGCGGATGTCTTGTGCCATGTAGCCGACAATGAAGGCAAGAATCTGGGTTCGTCAGTCGCATGAAGCGCTCGCAATGAAGAGAAGGGGGACATACACCAGCAGCGCCAAGGAGAACTGTGCTCAACATATCAGCCAGCCTCTGACCCTCAAAGTCCTGGTACCACTGTTAGCAAACCTTGTGGTGAAGCAGCGGTTGGTGTGCGTGTCTAGGCCTGGGTCTGGGTCTGGACAAGGAAAGTATCGCATACAATCTGGCCCTCGACGGCATCGCGCACTTGCTCGAGAAGTTGGTCCGCCATGTCACATGCACGTGCTCACAATGGAAGATTCCTGGCGCTCAAAGGGCTTTGTGTGTTTGGTATGTTTTGTAGGTACGCATATACGTATGTATGAAAGTGGTCGACTGCTGGCTGGACAAGGCTAGCCGTGTTTGAAGAGGTGGCATGTTTGCGATCCAGAGCCCCATCGGAACAACCTCGGCGCGAGAGGAAGCGATCCGCGGCCGCGCCACCCCTGCATGCTTTCCATTTGCGCCTGACGATGATGCAGGTCAACAAGCGACAATTCCATATACATCCATGGCTGCTTTGGGGGCGCAGAGACGCAACACACATCTAGACTCGTACACGCCTAGAGCGTCCGGTGCGCTGCTGCTCCGCATGCCTCAGAGGCTCCACCTCGTGCAGATGCAGTTAGTCGGCTGTCTTGGGGCTTTGGGAGCGCTTCAGCCCAATCAGCGGGCAGCGAAGCGTGGACCTGATCCAAAGGAAACAAGGCCTGGCCTTAGCCCTCTAGCCACACTACAAAAGACCCGCACCCCCCGTCAACCAAATATTTTCATCACCCACCTGGTCTCGCACCACGTATATATTGCCCACAGACCTGCTGCCCACGACAATACACCGCTTCTTCACCACGCATCTGGCAGCTGCCCCAGCGCACCTCGCCGCTTTCCAGCTCTGACTCCTCGTGGACCGCCATCCACCGTTGCGACTGATTGACCCGGCAGCGTTCTTTGTTTTTCCCCACCATCCCCTTTCACCCCAAACTCTGACGCTACGGCGTCCATAGACATCCAAACCACCAAGTTGGCGGGACTCTACTTCGACCGGCTCTCCTTCATCCGCCCCTTGCTCGGCACAAAAGCCTGGGTATACGGAGGCGACCACCAGCCCCCATAACTGGCCCTAACAACAAACACCGATTACCCTCGCTACTGCTTTCGCCTCCTTCGCCGAACCTTCCTATTCCCGGAGAGGGTGTGGAGGTCTGGATACCGGACACCTTTACCGTCGGCTTAGTGTAGGGGACCACCCTACGCGAAGCCATCGTCAAGTTGAGCGCGCCTTAGAGGTGGGCGCTCACAAGCGACCTACCCGCTTCCGTGCTTCTTGCAGCGCCAGAAGTCGCTGAATATACAAACAATCCTGGCTTAACCAAAGCACCCCGCATCAGATCCCGGAGTCCCACTCATCGCCGCCTGAGTAGCCAATATGACTGACACTCCGAGATCCGAGAGCCAGACCAGGTTCAGCACGCCCGTATCTGACCTGAACGACCACCGCAACCAGCCTCTATCTCTCCCGCGTGCCGAAGCAAACTCGCCCCCCAGATCGCGCCGACCTACATTTGCAAGCGCCCATGGCCAGGACCACCCCGACATCCTCCTCCAAGTCAACCAAGCCCTCGAGGCAGACATCACTCGACGCGACTTTGAAAGCGCCGTGGTAGACGATGACCAGCACTTGGCTCCAGATGCCTATGTTCGCCGCGGTTCGCTAGCCCACGACCCCCGGGCCCGACGAGACACATTCCGACGCCCTCGCGACCTTGCTGTCGAGCGCCTGTCTAGGAGCAGGGATTCGTCTACCAGTTCGCGATCTGTCTCTCCCCCCAACTCGGTTGATGCATTTGCCGGGCCTCGTCGCCGTGACCGAGCCAACACTCTTCAGAGCCATGCCGACTCAGAGACCGACCTTGCCTTGCATAGAACCATGTCTCGCACCACCGCGCGCCGCGCAACCATCAGCGATGAGCGCCCCGAGGAATTGCACACCGACGCAGCATCTGCGCACAGCTCTGCCGAGGAGGACGTTTGCTTCCCTGTTTCCGAGGACCCTGGCAAGACCACCAGGTTTGACTATGAAGAGTTGGAAGAGTTTGTTGCAGAGGCTCAAAGCAAGACACCTATTGGTCAGCCTCTACGCCACAAGGCGAGTGTAGCCTCTCGCCTCTCCGCAAAGCCCAAGGTCTTCTCTGATCTTCGTCCCAAGTCGAGCCAATCCACCACGCCCAAGACGGCAGACGACATTACGAGCCTGAAGGATGTCGACCCTGCGATCCAGGAAAAGCTTGCAGAAGAAGGTCTTTCTCACGTCTTTACCGAGAAGCATGTGCCCGAAGCCAAGGTCAATCGATGGACCTTCTTCTCCTCTGAGATGGACGACACGATTCATGCAGCCGAGCTTGGAGGGCTTCTCATGCCTGGTGAACGCTTCCGCGATCTGTTTGACACACCATCAGATGGCGGCGTCTGGTGGCTCGACATGGTCAACCCAACAGAAGAGGAAGTGTTTGCCATTTCAAAGGCTTTTGGAGTGCATCCTCTTACTCGTGAAGATATCTGCATCCAAGAGCCACGCGAGAAGGTGGAGTTGTTCCACCAGTACTACTTTGTCTCGTTCCGTTCCTTTTTCCAGGCCGACAAGGAGTCTGAGGAATACTTGGAGCCCGTCAACTTCTACGCGGTAGTGTTCAAGGAGGGCATCCTGACATTTACCTTTTGCGAAAGCCCCCACACGCTCAACGTTCGTAAGCGTATCAGTCGGCTCCGTGACTACATCAACCTCAACGCCGACTGGATCTGCTACGCCCTCATCGACGACATTGTGGACAGCTTCGCTCCTGTGATCCGAAGCATCGAAGATGAGGCTGACGCGATTGAGGACCAAGTGTTTATTGCGCGCATAGAGGACTCGCGTGAGATTCTCCGCTCAATTGGCGACTGCCGCAAGCGAGTAATGCAGCTGCTGCGTCTATTGGGAGGCAAGGCAGATGTCATCAAGGGCTTCGCCAAGCGTTGCAACGAATCCTACAGTGTGGCACCCCGCGGTGACGTGGGCATCTACCTCAGCGATATCCAGGATCACGTCGTCACGATGATGTCCAACTTGGCTCACTTTGAGGAAATGCTCAGCCGCGCGCACTCCAACTACCTGGCGCAGATTTCCGTAGACCAGGTCATCCAGGGCAACGATAGCAACGCTACCCTGCAGAAGGTGACTGTGATTGCAACGATTCTGGTTCCGCTCAACCTGATCTGCGGTCTTTTTGGCATGAACGTCAAGGTGCCAGGACAGGACGGCAGTCTAGCCTGGTTCTTCAGCATCATTGGGGTCATTTGCCTCTTTGTTTCGGTCTGCTTGCTTGTAGCGAGGAGGATGCGATACATCTAGTTGCGCGGTTTCCTACTTGCTCCCAGTCGACTTTCAACTGGGCGCGTACACCCTTTATCTGTTTTTGTCTTTCGTCTGTTTGTTTGTTTCTTGCTTTGTGTTTTCATTCAGTATACGACGTGACGAGAGCGCTGGTGTAATGATGGGGTGTTGTCGATAAGCTTGGGTTTCTGCATACATACACATATATGGCATGAGGTGGTCATTCTGGGACCATGTCGGACAGTAACTAGGTTTAGCGATACGAGTATACAATCGGCTAAGAGAAAAAAAAGAAGAGATTTTGCCTCCAAAGATGGTCTACCTGCCTGATGTGATGGTTGCTGATGTGGTGTTGACATGGGGGTTGGATCTTCACAAAGGATCTGATGCTGGGGCTGAATCGGTAATCAGCCACAAGGCTTGACTAGAAGGGGACAGGAAAAGCAAAGCGCATAGATATGGTGGCAGCAACGCAAGCGTCGCAGTGCACGCAGCTGGCATTTGTTGTTTGTTTCATCGACATCGAAAATAGACGGGCAGGGTGGCAGAGGGCAGCACAGAGCACGCAATGGCGTGACAGGCGGCCCAGGCACAGGCTGGTTCCACGTTTCTGCGCATGTTAGGGTTGGGACGAGGCCTGGCGGCGGGCGGTACACTATTGAGCGGCTCAGCATTTGCCAGACACGCCGTCACTCATCACTCGCCATCCATCACGCGGCGCTGGCAGCGAGGAGGCGACTACTGTGTAGGCGATGATTCCGTTCCCTTCCCATTCGTTCCGAGGTCGGAAGTAACATGGCGACTTGGCCGCACCCAGCATGGCACAGGAACCGGCCAGCCGCCAAAGCAAGTGAGCCGAGGAGGGCAAAAAGCCATGTTCTGTGACGTTGGGCGGTCATGAGTCCCCAGGTCATGGTTCCACACGAGGGGCGCTCTGCAGGGTCGCAAGCGGTGAATTAGGCTCGTTCCGAAGGGCTGGCCTGGCGCATCCTTGTTTCGGCGAGAGCATTCCATCATGCAGCGCCTCTCAGCAGACGCCCTCTCCCTTAAAGCCCATAGTCTCACCCTTCCGCCTCTCCGCCCCCATTCCTTTCACTACTTGCCCACTCACTCACTTGCTCTCCATACATATACTCTCCCTGCACCGCACGCTCCCTCCCCCTCCCACTGCTTGCCCGGACCCCACTACACTGACACGTCGTCTGCCTGCATTGTCACTGTACATCACCCTCGCCAACACCACGCCACAGCATCCGGCAAGGGTTTCGCTCGGAACTACTACTACTACTACTACTACTACTACTACTACTCAACATGGCGGAAATGGCGCAGCGAATACTCATGAATGAGTTCAAGCAGCTGAGCAAGGAGAAATGGACCAACATTGAGGTGAGTTTGCGAGCGGCGGCTAGCGAAGAGTCACCTGCCGGAGTGGCGACTGCAGAGCACCCAGCTAACCACAGCACAGCTTATCAACGAAAATGTCTTTGAGTGGAGTGTGGCCCTCATTGTTATGAATGAGGAATCCATGTATTACGGCGGCTACTTCAAGGCCAGGATGACATTTCCTCGCAACTACCCACATAGCCCGCCAGGTACGTGGCCGCTCCTCTTTGACGGAGACTGTCGTATGATACGAAGCAAGTGCTAACGGCATATCAGACTTCAAGTTTATCCGACCACTTTACCACCCAAACATTTACCCCGACGGTCGCCTGTGCATCTCCATCCTCCACCCACCTGGCGATGACGAAATGTCCGGCGAGACTGCCGCGGAGCGTTGGTCGCCCGTGCAGCGAGTCGAAACAGTCCTTATTTCCATTCTCTCTCTATTGGACGACGCCGAGGTCTCTTCCCCTGCCAACGTCGACGCAGGTGTCATGTTGCGTAACAAGCCAGCCGAATACAAGGAGATGGTCAAGAAGGATCTTGAATTGTCAAAGCAGGATATCCCAGAGGGTTTCGTCATGCCAACCAACGAGACTGCGTGGAAGAAGGAGAAGGACGAAGGCGACTTTGAAATGAGCTGGGAAGACAGCGATGCTGAGAGCCTTGACTTTGGCGGCAGCGAAAGCGAATTTGACGAGGATCAAGAGATGGACTCTGAGTTTGAGGGCGAAGACGACGATGGCGAGGACGAAGATGAGGAACATGCTCCTTCGAAGCGCTAGGTGTCGGCATTCTGATTGAATTCCGATACCTCTGTTTCACAATCATGCCGTAACGACACAACCGGGGGGCTCTTTGTCATTGCAGCCACACTTGTTCTTCAACCCCAACATGGCTCTCTCGTTATTAGAGACACCCCCGACCTTGCCGCCATGGAATATAGCCGACGTTTGCCTATTAGTGCATACGCATATGGTCGTCTCAGGGCTCCTCCTATATTTGCTTCTCACCACTTCTTCAGCGCGTTTATTCTCAGCGAGGCGTTCGGTATTGGCGTGTGTGGTTCCTGGCGCTTGCGTTTTCGAACGGGTCTTACTAGATGCCTATGATTCGGTCACGGTTTCGGGTAGGCATTTTACACTGCATAGGCCTGGGAGTTTTTTTTTCTTCTTCTTTTTTCTTTTTTTCCCAAATCTTTCGATAATACGTTAGTAACTGCGATTTCTCGGGGTTGGCACTTTGTGAGGCGTGCAATTATTTTCACATAGATGGGGGGAGGTTTTTTTCCCAAAGAACTCGCCTTGGGGCCTTGCATCATTTCCATCTTATATTTTACACAAATATGATTTATAGTGTTGTTGTTTTTTTGGATCGGTTTAATGGTTTACCACCCAATCCCCAAAGCATTCCTCACCCTCACCATCGTCCTCTCAGCAATCTCCTCCGCCCTCCGCGCACCCTCATCAGCATGCCTCACCAACTCCGCCTGATCCCCCCTCATCAACTCCAAATACCTCTCCCTTACCCCACTAATCCCGCCATCCACCGTATCCGCCACTTTCTCCTTCAGCGCCCTCATACTCAAATCCCTGAGATCCCTCGCCAATTCCTCTGGCGACGCCGCCCCACCACCACCATTTGCACCAAAATGCCACAACAAATCCACTAAATTCGAGACTCCAGGCCTCGTCTCGCGATCATAACTCACGCCCTCTACCGAATCCGTCAGCGCGGATTTAATCTTGGCAAAGATGTCGTCTCGGGAGTCGGAAAGTAAGATGCGGGATTTGGGGCGAGGGTCGCTTTTGCTCATTTTCTTGGTGGGGTCCGTGAGGCTCATTATGCGTTTGGCGGGGCTGAGGAGGGTTTGGGGTATTGTTAGGATCGGGGCTCCTACTCCTACTGCTGTTGTTGTTGTTGTGTTTGAGGATGAGGGGGAGGAAGAGTAGACATGGTTGAAACCAATGGCTAACTCGCGGGTGAATTCGAGGTGCTGGGCTTGGTCTTCGCCGACGGGGACGTGCGTCGTGTTGTAGAGGAGGATGTCGGCGGCTTGGAGGACGGGGTAGGAGAAGAGGCCGAGTTTTAGGGCGTCCTTGTTGTTGGGGGAGGGGTCGAGGGGGGAGGAGTCTGCTGGGAGGGAGAGTTTTGCCTGGGGTAGGATAGTTAGTTTTGTATTTCTTGCTTGACTTTGTATTTATTTTGGGTAAGGAGTTTTCTTAGTAGAAATGTATGTACCTTCCACTGTGTCATGCGGCCTAGATAGCCCATACTGGCACCGCAACTAAGAATCCACATGAGCTCTGCGTGCTGCTTTACGCTGCTCTGTGTGAAGATTATGCATCGCTTTGGGTCGAGTCCTACTGCTAAGAGACTGGCTAGCATCTCTTTGCGCCAGGTCGCCAATTCACGTGCATCTTGCTTGATGGTAATGGCGTGCAAGTCGACAATGGAGAAGAGGAGCGTTGTGTCTGGCGAAGCCTCGTCTTGTAGTCGAACCCATTGTCGTAATGCGCCCAGATAATTTCCAAGATGTGGGATGCCTGTGGGTTGGATGCCGGAAAAAATGACTTTCTTCTGGGTCTGTTGCTGGCTCGAGGGCGATGCGAGGGAATACTGGCGCAGACAATTGCTACATGAACGCAGAGGTGAAGGGGCTGCGCGATGCAGCGCACGCAGAGAAAACATTGACGTCGGGTGCTTTCGCACTGAAGCGGAACCCGAGGCCGGGCTGGCGGGCTTGCTCAGCCACGATGGACGAGGTGTACGCCGGCTGCAGCTTTCGTCATTGTGGCACTGCCGCCCGCTCCCATCCAACTCGCCGGCCAACCACAACACCACTGCCACTCTGCTCTGCTCTGTTCTCCTCGACTGCACTGTGTACAAACATACAATCCCCCGACTACACCCACTCCACTTGCACCCAACACACATCTCTAAACCGTCTTCCCGGAACATAGCGGCAACACCACCATCATGTCTTGGACAGGTATTGCAGCCCAACAATGTTTGTTTGATATCATGGCCGCTCACACCGTGCAGGGTTCAAGAAGGGCGTCAATCGCGCAACCACCCAGGTGTTGATGAAGACGGGCCAGGTCGAGCGCACAAATGATCGCGACTTTGAGACTGAGCAGCGGTATGCGCCCTCAACCCCCGCCCGCCGCCGCCTCCTTTACTCCCCCCCCCCTTCCCAGGCATCCGCCCATGATCACCACCCGCTAACAGCAACATGGCAGACGCTACCGGACCATGGAAACGGCGGCGAACAAGCTGCAAAAGGAAGCAAAGGGTTACCTCGATTCGCTCCGTGCCATGACGGCCTCGCAGATGCGCATTGCCGAAACTATTGACGCCTTTTACGGAGACGCCGGCACCAAGGACGGAGTATCGCGCTCCTACAAGCAAGCCGTTACCGACCTGGACGCCGAGACAATCAAAGCCCTTGATGGTCCCTACCGAACAACGGTCCTCGACCCCATCCAGCGCTTCTGCTCCTATTTCCCCGACATCAACGCCTGCATCACCAAGCGCGAACACAAGCAGATGGACTATGATCGCATGCGCGCCCAGGTCAGGAAGTTGACGGACAAGCCCGACAAGGATGTCACCAAGCTCCCACGTGCTGAGAAGGACGAGCAACTCGCCAAGGCTGCCTACGACCAACTCAACGACACCCTGACGGCCGAACTGCCACAGCTCATCGACCTGCGAGTACCCTACCTAGACCCAAGTTTCGAGGCGCTAGTCAAGATTCAGTTGAGGTTCTGTGCCGAGGCCTACTCGAGAATGGCACAGGTACAACAGTATCTCGATGCCAACACAAGAGATCAGTATGCTCAGGGTGAGCTGGACGCGCGTGTCGAGGAGGTGCTCCAGGAAATTAGGGACCTCAGTATTGCGGGAACTGTCTAAAGGCTTATGAGAGAAAAAAGACTTGACTTTCTAGTGCATCACGTGCAGTAATTCTTCTTGAAGGCGTTGGGAATGATCCGGTTTGCGGCATTGCTTGGGTTTGAGAGGAAGGGCGATGACCTGGCAAGGCTTCGTACGAGCATTGTTTTCTTTATTTCGTCGAATGCTATTGACTCGATTTCTCACTGACCAAGTTTCTACTCTGCTGGAAATCTAATCTGTGTGACTCTAGATGTTGCCCACCCTGTACCCAAACTTCAACATGTCCCGGTCCTCAATCTCATCTTTCTTTTCTACCAACTCATCAACATCCCAGCTTGCACTCAGCAGCCGTCCATTAAGCCACATGCGCTTCTCACGACTTAACCATACACAGAATGCACCGCATAACCCGACATCATCCGAAAGATCTAAAAGGGTAAAAGTCAGCAAAAAGAACCAACCCCGTCTCTCACCGCAGACAAAGGAGCACAAAAAAAACTCACAAGCCCGAAGACTCTCCGGCGTAGCCTCACTCGCCATCTCTGTATTCACCGCCCCAGGATGCACTGCAACCGTCAACACCCCTTCCCCTCTATACTGCCCCGCCAAACGCTCCACCAACCTTCGCCTGCGCAAACTTGGAAAGAAAATACGCCTTATTGCCAAACTCGCCCTCTGTCACACACACACACACACACACGTCGCTATCGATCCCACCGCTATAAACGACTTCTTACCCGCCTCATTCACTTTTAAGATGGGGATAAAACAAACGAGCAACATGATACTCTCCCGCGTACCCAGAATTTAAGACTACAATGTCTAAACTCGGTAGATGCTTGGTGCCCGAGACGCAGATTCCGTGTATGAAGAGAGGATGCGCTGGGATACGGAGGATAGTTCTGCAGAGGGCGTAGGCGGAGGCTATGCCGGCGCCTCGCGCCGATTATGAGGACTGTGAGGCCTGGGGGGAGTTGGTTGGACGGGTTGCTGGGGGAGATGGTTGGAGCGGCGTGGGCATGAGTGGTGCAGGTGAAGGTGCTGGCGAGGATCAAGTCGGGGGGTTGGTTTGGGACATTCTGGGGGTGTGGGTTTGGGGTGATGAATGTATGGGTTCTTATGGTTTTATTATACATTTTGGGGGGGTTTTCAATGGCTCTTTTCATCTTGGATATTTTGTGAATGCCTTGTTACTAGAACGACTGTCTATGGCAATTGTTGACATGGGTATCTAAAAGTACTGCCGTGGTACTATCGTTGTAGGACTATAAACGTTCACCTCACTATTTTTTATTCTTTTTTTTGGGCGTGTTTATATGGAATGTAGCTGTGAGACTTCTGTCATGGCAAGATATATGTTGTATTTTATACCCATGCTACTTTTTACATTGCTTCTTGTTTGAACATCTAGAGTTTTGAACGATAATAACGAATTTCGTCCGACAACCATCTCCATTGTATGAGCCATTCTGAGTCGACTTGTATATAGAATGAGTTGTTTTGTTCCTTTTCTATATTGGATCAAGTGGGTTGGAGAAAATAATGTTCAGGTGAATTGTATTTCTTGACATCCTGAACAACGGCAATATGTTGGAATCATTCTGTGAAACATTTCTACAGACCTCCGACTATCAGCCGAGGATGTCTCGACCTAGCCTAGGCCTGAGATCTCTAGGTTGTCTAACGTTATTCGCTTGTAATTTGTCTGCTGTTTCGGTCGACATTCTCTTTTTAGACTTGAAGTGAAATCCTTGAGTCGTGTGATTGCTTTGGTACACAAGACGAACTATACTTAGCCTTCGCTTCTGATACAAATTCTTACTTTGAGTCGTGAATTCCAGGATAGACCAGGTGACTTGGCCATAGAACAAATTCCATTTTCGGCGGGTTGGGTATTTGATATAATTGATCTCTGTATTTTTGTTTGAGCGCAATACGGATGCTCGTCTAGTATATTCGCGAGATAAATATACGACTTTGTAAAATCGACTACTCTCGAAGTGCGAACCACCCCTTGCAGCCCCGATGTCAATAAAACAGACACCCCACTTCACCTGATCTCAGTAAAACTAAGGTGGGACCGCTTTGTATTGATGATGACCTTTTCTGCCGATGCGTGCGCTTGATCGTTATCTGGGAGAATCTTCGAAAGCCACTCTTGGAAACTGCGTAGATCAAGATTCCTAGGGTGCGACGATTAAGTGAGGTAACGTCCCACAGGCGATGATGCGATGGCGTGTGGTCTGGATTCCAAGGCACGCTGAGCTCTGCAAAGGACAAGAATATAGACTCGGTTCTAGCCGCACTAAGTGGATACAAGCATTTCTGTCGTGGCATCTTAGAGCACTGGAACCATCGTCGTATGTCACACGTGATGAGCCAGGGGCGGGAAGCGAAAAGTGCCCAATGCTCGTCCGGTTTGGTGAGGTGGCGAAATGACAACATCGCCGAGCGCCCAGCCACAGTTCCGCCACGCGCTTCAGTTGAACGAGCACTCTAGCACCCTCCTCCCGCCAAGTGCTCCGCTACGGCATTGCGCGCCAAGTTCTCATCTATCAATCTAGAATCCCATCATTCGTCCTCTTGTATCAGCTAAAGAAGCCCAGCATCCGGAAATCCTCGACCCACGTCATACGGTCGTTGCAACACCATCACCCTTTCTTGGCTGCGCCACAGCGTACATCATACCCGATATAGTAGCACGTAGCTAAAGTTCCTCGGAGCCATCGTATAGCTTGGCGTATACCTTGACAGATCATATAAAGACCCTGCGTTGCTGCCCTTGTCCGAAATGTACCTTATCGAATACATACATCGTTCGATACAGATTTCTGAAATTCTTCGTGAACGATACCTACCGCCATGCCTACGCACCACCCCGGAACTGCAGTCGCTCACAGCAAAGGCGAAATCGACACAACCGATCTCCCCTGGGCACTCACAACACACTTACTCGCAATCAACCACCAACAATTTCTCCGCGTCACAAGGCACCCCTTCCTAGAACGCGCCGCCAAGGGCTCTCTGCCTAAGTCTGTAATAGCACAGTGGTTATCAAACGACAGGCAGTACATTGAAGGCTACCTCTCCACACTCAGGAATACTCTCAGTCTCGTTCAAAGCACCTACAAGTCGACAATTGCTCCAGACGCTGAACCTGATATTGAAACACGCCTAATCAAATGGCTAGAGGCTGGCATTCAAAACGGAGAGCGGGAGATTCAATTCTTCCAGGAAGTTGCTGAAATTTACAAGATTGATTACTATCCCTCGCCATTACAAGAAAACCTCAAGTCAGAAGGCCTTCGTCGCTACGAGGCCCTGTTCAATGCTGTTGCATCTCAACAACCTAATTCTTTCATCCCCTGGCTAGAGGGCGCAATTCTACTATGGTCAACTGAGAAGGTCTACTATGAAGCTTGGTCTTGGGCTCGTCGTCAGGATACCCAGTCATCTCCCCGAGGGTACGAAAATGACCTGGATGGCGGCGCCATGCGAAGAGAGTTCATTCCTAATTGGTCTAACCGAGACTTCATGATGTTCGTCGAGCAGCTTGAACGTATCATCAACGAAGGCGTGAGCATCGCAGTAAACCGCGACGACAGGAGGTGGGCAGAGGTGAAGAACAGGGCGGATCCGATATGGAGGGCTTTGCTAGATGCCGAGGAAGCTTTCTGGCCAAACGTGCCTAGCGGTGAGGGTAGTCTGATTGAGCCTGGTGTTCAGCGAGGCGTAGATGGCAAGATGGACGAGAACACCCTGCGCAGTACTGGCGACGACGAGATCTTGAACGAGCATCAGGGCGTCCGAGCAGGTGACATTACCACTATGCGCAGTAACCAGCACGGTGCAGTAGCGACTTGAAGGGGGTTTTCTTTTCGTATTATTCACATTACAGCGAATAGGAGTTTAATATAGTTTCAAATGCATAGTTGTTCCATTTACCATGCATCGTCAATTCGTGAACCCGAGACACTGAGTGCATCTCTCGTCTCTGTCGATGTTTCCTATTTGTGTGATCGTGCTAAGCTTTCTGATATCGATAGCATCACGTGAGGCTACGTCCCAACCTACCGCAATCGGGTATCAAAAGAATTGACTTTGTTACCTTAAGTTAATATCTATTCTACCATTACTTATTATACTAGCCTTAGCTTGATATCTACTAATAACTATATATTGAAAACATCTAGGTATAGTATAGATTGTTTCCAAGGTATTGCGCCAAAACGAGAAGTACCTGTACCAGGATATCAGGAGGAGATTGCGCATTATTAAGAGACGGAAAAGCAGTTTTTCACGCATTGAGCGCGCTCTTTCCAACTGGGCAAGAAATCAACAGCGGCAAGGCCTGCTGCTTACAGATGCTATTATTCGGGACAAGGCACGCTTCTTTGCGCAAACCGTTGGAGACAGCGAGGTTCACCATAAGGTGAATAGCAGGAACTGGCTAGAAAGATTCCAGCAAAAAAACAATCTAATAACAGTGAAATGCAGAGAGAGCTCCATTGCAGAGGGGTTGGAAGAAACGTCGAATCCTCCATCGAACATACATACGCCTACAGGCTTTACCGGCTCAGCCAACGACGCTTACCCTTTCGACCGACCACCTTCCAGAGCGTCATCCTACAGTAGCGTTGGCAGCGTCGGTAGCATCGGCAGCATTGACAGCGGCGTATCGCATCCACCAAGGGCGGGGATTCAAAGAAAGAAAGTTATTAATATGAGCTATACTGAATTCGCTAACCAAGCGAGTGAGGAGCCCACACTTGCAGCGCTCAAACAAGTGACCTCGCTGTTACAAGCAACAACAGGAAGGATTTCTCCCGGGAATGATGATAGATAATTAGTAAACCCCTTAGAATCCTAATAAGAAGGACATTCATTTTAGAGCGAGATTAAGGTTATCTTACAACAAAAGATAGTTGTTGTTTTCCAAATATCACTAAATCTTAAGTTTACATAAGCATTTAATAATAGTTAACTGGAGTACTACGAAACCTATCTCCCATAGAGTAAGTACTAAGAGCGAACCAAGGAAAAGAATGCTTCTCCGCAGCGGGCCGACAAAAGTTCCGTGGTTGTGGCCTGTGCGTCAAGTAGCTTGGCCTCCGCGAAAATCCACGCGAAAAAGTTCGAGATCAGTGCTTTGCCAATTGCAACACCACCATCCACCACAATAATCGCCATGGCTCTCGTGCAGACCGATCCCGACGCGTATGTGATCAAGCCCGAGGCGGCTGCGCCTGCCATCGACACTAGCGACTGGCCGTTGCTACTCAAGAACTACAGCGACTGTATGCTGCAGCTCCCCATATAGCTACGGTTTACTCTGCTAATGCACATATAGTGCTCGTTCGCACTTCTCATTACACTCCTATTCCCAATGGATGTGCGCCGTTGTCGCGAGACCTCAAGTCGTACATTAGCTCTGGTGTCATCAACCTAGACAAGCCTTCCAACCCATCCTCGCACGAAGTCGTGTCATGGATCAAGCGCATGCTCAGGTAGGAAAATACCGTAATAGCTGTCGCATGCAATTTCAGCTGACACTGCCTAAAGGGTTGAGAAGACTGGCCACAGTGGTACCCTTGACCCCAAGGTCACTGGTTGTCTCATTGTCTGCATTGACCGCGCCACTCGTCTCGTCAAGTCCCAGCAGGGAGCTGGAAAAGAGTATGTGTGCGTCATCCGCCTGCACGACAAGCTGCCTGGTGGCGAGGCGCAGTTTGCGCGCGCTCTCGAGACCCTCACTGGAGCTCTTTTCCAGCGACCTCCACTCATTTCTGCTGTCAAGCGTCAACTCCGTATCCGAACCATCCACGAGAGCAAGCTGTACGAGTTTGACAATGAAAGGCAGCTCGGTGTGTTCTGGGTGAGCTGTGAGGCCGGAACCTACATCCGTACTCTCTGCGTGCACCTGGGTCTCTTGCTCGGTGTCGGCGCCCACATGCAGGAGCTGCGCCGTGTGAGGAGTGGAGCCATGGACGAAACCAAGGATCTTGTCACTCTGCACGACGTTCTTGATGCTCAATGGCTGTACGACAACAACCGCGACGAGGCCTACCTGCGCAAGGTTATCTCTCCTCTCGAGAGTCTCTTGATGAGCTACAAGCGTGTTGTTGTTAAGGACAGCTCGGTTAACGCCATCTGCTATGGTGCCAAGCTCATGTTGCCCGGTCTGTTGCGATTCGAGAAGGGTATCGAGATCCACGAGGAGATTGTCCTCATGACCACCAAGGGTGAGGCTATTGCGCTCGCCTACGCGCAAATGTCGGCTGTCGAGATGTCCACTTGCGATCATGGTGTTGTTGCTAAGATTAAGCGTGTCATCATGGAGCGCGACCTCTACCCCAGGAGATGGGGCATGGGCCCAGTCGCCACTGAGAAGAAGAAGATGAAGGAGGCAGGCACCCTTGACGTAAGAAACCAACTTCTTGATTTGGAAAACTCTATACTAACAAATGCAGAAATTCGGTCGTCCCAACGACAAGACTCCCGCCAAGTGGAACACTGAGTACAAGGATTTTAACAGGACTGATGTCGATGGCGCGTCCGTACCTTTGGCTCAGACCACATCGACTTCCGACGTTCTTGCTGCTCCCCCGGTCGCACCGACTGGAGAGACTGAGGCCGAGGCCGAGGTCAACGGTGCTTCCGATGGAGAGGAGAAGAAGAGCAAGAAGCGAAAGAGCCGAGGCGATGCCGAAGAGGAGGCTGATGAGGACAAAGCTGAACGCAAGCGCAAGAAGAAGGAAGAGAAGGCTGCAAAGAAGGCTGCGAAGAAGGAAAAGAGGAAGAGCAAGGGCGGCGATGACAGCGACTCCGACTAAACGATTAATACGTAACCCATGGACGCCCGAATAGCAACTAGCGTTCCACTGCTGTTGTTTGTGCGAGCGCTGTACACGAAAATCGTATACATGTCATAGCTACTGATACTACTACTCTATCCTTGGATACCAGCTTTCTCACTGTAGCATACGGAAAAAGGCGTTTGGGAATCTGGGCATTTAGGCGTTTGGCGCGTCGAAGCTTCTGCGACAGGGGTGGTCGACTATGTGTTGAAGTGCGAACGTTCACTGCTAAAATATGTTCAATCCATTGTTTCAATTTATCATGCACAATTTTGCTGGGCCTTCATCTGTGATGCTTACGTGACTGCTCCACACCATGCGCATCGCATGTCTAACCTAATCATTGCTGTAAGGATACTGAGTATTCGATTTAGAATTGCACGTAGCATTCGCTGGCTAGCCCGAATCTCGATTGAAGTGCAGGATGCAGTTATCGGTGAAGATTGGATAGCTTAGTAGAGTTCTATACGAATACAGCCATCGCATTCTCAAACGATTCTCATGTACGTATATTTATCGGATGCTCTATTTCGGCCCACTTTATATGATTATACATACTACGTATATACTAAACCCAATCACCAGAATCTTGAACGAATCTGCCAGTCAAGTCTACATGCAGGGGAGATCACAGGGATTATGTCGCAATCCTACCGATGGAATCAGGCAGGAACTTGGGCAAAGACCAGACGTGTCTTTCTAATAAAAAGCATGTTCATGACGCCTCTATTGCCTTTTACTTTTTCAATGTGCTGTGTTTTCTTGCTGGGACACGACAAGCAGTACTAGAATGAATGTTTTCCTTTGGATTCCATCGGCATAGGACTCCTCCTGATGGTGGGGCATTGGGCAAACTATACTATAAACAACGTGCGTGTCCTAACCCTTGAATAAACGTCATGTACATTACATGCATCATGGTGCATCGTGATTCTTGAGTTTGAGAAATGCTGGTATACTACTAATTGAGGTAAAAGCGCGGCGTGGTATGTGTGTAGGTCGAGTTGGAAGGGACCGCAGCCGCGCGTTACAGGAGGTGTGATAATTTACTGCCCAAGATATCGGCAATTATGCACGATCCAAATTATTGAGACTGTAATAAGAAATTCAAAGCGCATGGTTTCTGACAATGGTGATTGTGATCGGGGTTTGGGTGAGATATGACAGCGTGATTGAAGCTTCTCGAAGCTTCTCTTTGAGGTTCCGAGTTGCGCGACAGGGCCCGACGTCACCGCTAGCGTCGATTGCCAGGTGGAGAGACGTTCGAAGCTCTTGAGCGATAAAAGCGACGACAACCTCGTCACCACAAAGTACTCCCTACCAAGAAACTAGTCGCGCACACAAAAGATTCCTTCTTCATTACTTATTGCCGGTCAATATGGTCAAGGAGACTAAACTCTACGAAGCACTAGGTACGTTTGCTCAAGCTGCCCCTCCACAGTCATACCTTGCTCGGCAGTCAACTGGGCAGCCTGATCGAGGTCCGCGGATAGACACGTGAGCTTTTGCTAACATTTTGTTACAGGCATATCGGAATCAGCAACGCAAGACGAGATCAAGAAAGCATATCGGAAAGCGGCACTGAAGTGGCATCCCGACAAGAACAAGGACAACCCACAAGCCTCGGAGAAGTTTAAAGGTATGCCACCCACTCATCCCACTATGCAAAAACATACTAACAATACCTCAAGAATGCTCACAGGCTTACGAGATCCTTTCCGACCCCGAGAAGCGTAAGACGTACGATCAGTATGGCCTAGAGTTCCTACTACGCGGCGGCGTACCACAAGAGGATGCCGGGGGCCCTGGAGCCAATCCATTTGCAGGTGCAGGAGGCCCCGGAGGATTTCCATTCACATCATCTGGTGGCATGCCCGGCGGCACACGAACATTCCATTTCTCGACAGGCGGCGGCGGAAACGGCTTCAACTTCTCAAATGCCGACGACATCTTTGGCGAATTCATGCGCAATAGCGCCGGTGGCGGTGGCGGCGGTGATGACTTCGATTTCGGCGGCTTTGGCATGGGCGGAATGCCTGGCGGAATGGGTGGAATGCCTGGTATGGGTGGTATGGGCGGAGGTGCCGGTGGAAAAGGCGGTAGATTCCGAGGCGGCCGACGAGCACCAGAGCCTGAAGTCACAGTCGTCGAGAAGCCACTGGCAGTTAGCTTGGAAGAGCTTTACAACGGTACCACCAAGAAGCTCAAGATCAAGCGCAAGACATACGACCAAAGCACGGGCAAGCAGAGCACCCAAGATCGGATCCTCGAAGTACCGATCAAGAAGGGTTTGAAGCCGGGAAGTAAGATCAAGTTCTCAGACGTTGGCGACCAAGTCGAGGGTGGAACACAGGACTTGCATTTCATTGTTTCTGAGGTAAGCTATATTTGCATCTCCCGTTATCCATTTTGAGAACACGTGCTAACGACTGGATCAGAAACCCCACGCAATGTTTACACGCGAAGGCGATGATATTAAACATGTCATTGAACTCGATCTCAAAGAGGCTCTGACGGGTTGGCGCCGGACTGTACAAACCATCGACGGTAAACAACTCAGCGTCGGCAGTGGCGGTCCCACCGGCCCCAACTGGACAGAAAGATACCCCAACTTGGGTATGCCCAAATCCAAGAAGCCAACAGAGCGCGGAGACTTCATTGTTGGTGTCAAGATCAAGTTCCCCACGAGCTTGACAAGTGCACAGAAGGAGAAGTTGAAGGAAATTCTATAGGGCAGCCGCAATGCCGGCATTTTGATTCTCGTACATCATTTTCCTTTTCTTAATTTTGCTTGGGATTATACAGCTCAGACTGAGCGAGGGGCGCTGGGTGGAGTTTTCATATCTTTTTTACGTCCTGGAGGAAAGCGCCCAGAGAAAATGCATACTGGTGCAGAAATGGGAGGATAAATTACGAAGTCACGCGTCTATGATAGACGAATCTATGAATTGCATTCCGATATGCATCTTTTTTTTCTCTCTGATTGAGTCTCTCAAGAGTCAGTGTTAGGATGTGTACATTGTTCTCTAACATTGTAAGTGTTCTTGTGTATTTGATTTACTGTGTAAATAAACAATACAGTGTTGCTTCCACAGCTACGCGACATTGATCATCGAACGCGCAGCAAGGGCATGCCCGAGTGTGTGACGTCATGCTTAGCCAAGACTACCCAACCAGCCATCCTAGCCTTGTTTTCCGCCCTAAATCGTACCTCCTCATTGGGAAACTTGTAGTAAAGGTATAGTGATAGTATGGAAATGTATCAGCAACTCATAATCATACTTTGCGATTGATTCTTATGAAATATGAGGTATCATGTGCTCTGCCTTCAGAGATTCGCTATTGTGGAGGCAGGTGCGTTGTATTATTGTTGTTGTGACACTGACTATAGGACAGTCTTAGTGCAGGCATATCAGCTATCCTGCTTCAATGTTCAACCCATCACTCTTTGATCACATTTTACATTCCAATATGCTATGCTTCCAGCAAGAACTTGCAGATGTTTCCTATCCCGGACTGAAGATCATGTGGGTTGGTACATATGAGACATTCACTTTCGTCACACAAGGGCTGTTTTCCCCTTTACCTGGGGTCGTTTGCATGTCGCCTTTCACCACCGGTTTGCCCCGGAACAATATGATTTTCCGACACCTACAAACGGAGTGATACACATACAATCTGCCAAAATACTGAAATCACACCCGACTCACACGAAAGCACAAAACACCCAAAGGATGACAGATTTCGCACTGCTACCACAGCTAGAGGAGTAAGTTCATCTTTGATAGCGTCTTTACATAAGTACGTACTAAAGCTTTCTAGGGAGGATGACATATGCCTTGACGAGTTGCTTGCGAAGCTGCACCGGAACGTATGTGTGTCACCATCCTTGGTCACCGCCATCGCCAAGCATGCTTCCTCTCTCAGTGAGAGTATTTGCAAGGACTACGAAGAATTGAATAAGATCGTTATTCGACGCGAAGCGACGATACGGAAGAGGTGGTTGAAGAAGACTCAGACTCAACGGCGAGATGTTCTGCTCAGGGCGTGGCCGAACATGGCAGAAACGCATCGCCCAGACTACACAGAAGTCAATGGTTATCTCAAATACACCAAGCTGTCAAATAACCTAAGAAAATGTTTGGGTACCCATGACAAAGAAACGCCACCTTCAGCATCTCAGATATGGCCCTTCATCAACCTCGAAGATCTTACAAAACCGAAGTCTTTGCTGATATTTCTCAACGCACGTGCTCGGAATGTTCCATTCATGTTTACGCTTACGGAAGAGGCGTTTAGCCCATTGGCAGTCATGTCGATGTGCTCCTACGAGCCCAAGCTAGAACAATACAGCCTACAAATCTCAAGCGAAACAACACCTACGCTTTACGTCAGGATGCAATCTGTCGACAAGGCCGAAGGCCCCGACATCCCGAGCGAAAATACATCCACTGAATGCCCTCGTCGCGGCATATACCATTTGTTTATTCAACATAAGATCATAGGATTCTTAGCTGCGTGCAGCAAGCTGATCTTGCATGACATGGACCAGGATATGCTGTACTGTAGCGCCATCCAGGAGGAGCCACCGTCATCTGAACTTGACCTACCAAGCGACTTGGGATTTACAAACTTTGCTGACACACTCATGGTTGCTCCCTATCGAAACCGAGGGTCGGTCGAGTTCCTCAGATTGCGCGCGTATTTCGACGCTCTATGCACCAATGCAAAGGATCATATCCTAGCACTGCGCGAGGATCCATCTTATTTCGCCGATGCTTTCAAAGATATCTGCGAGCACAGTGCTGAATTGATACGAGACCTTGACGGACATATCGACCCGCGTGTGGATAGCAAGTGTTTCCTGATGTGCAATGCTGCCAAGATGGTCACCAATGCGTACAGCATGTTCTTCTCCTGGAGAGAACTCTATCGGATTACCGACCTCTTATCGAAGACATCTATGCAGGATCAAGGTGCTGATTTTGCTTCTTTGATGGCTGAGTTTAACTGCAGCGTTCGGCGTGTGTCTAAACGCGTATACCGGATACTCGCGTGTGCATCAATGTCGCCTAATGTTCGCAAATTCTACTTTCGGACAAACCGTCACATAGTAATGAAGCTATGGGATATCTGGTCACTTGAGGAGTTTCAGCTGATGTCGTCATTTGAGTGTTTCAATATGGGCGGAGACTGCGAAGACGTCAAGGACGAGGCGCTGTACCTTCTCTTAGATCATGTCACCACGATAATGCGTGAGAAAAAAGCAGCGAGAGACTTGGTATTCCCTCGAGTTTCCGAACTGTTTGCGCAAATGTCCGTCATGGGAGAGTGCGCGATGCAGTTGATGGTGTGGCGCGATACACCACAAGGATCTACCCTTGACATGGATACGCCGCATTCCCATGCCCACTATGCCGATTTCTATGACTGGCTTGACCATCTGAGTCACGATTACATGCCAGTACACGTCGTCAATCCATTCCGAGGAAAACTGGATTACCCTTCCCACAAAGCTCGCAACCCAAAAACTGTCAAAGCCATGCGCGATGCAGAAAAGAACCTCGACAAATTCTGGGAGTATGTCGATAAGTCTTATGAGACAAAGACGGGGATTTCACAGCATGAAGTCATTCGAAAATGCATTGCTGAGGGTGGCCCAATGCAGCGTACACCAGCCTGGGAGGATCATGTGAAGGCAAAGTCAATCCAGCCAGAGCAATTGGAGAGTATCTACCAGCCATTCTCTGAGGTTTCTCATAACAGAGATACGCAGATCACTGGAGCGTTTGACAAACTTGCGGTAGGAGAGAAAGTCAAACCGAAGACAAAGGGAAGCCTAGAATCCGTGATAGTTGATGTACCTCCGACACACATGGTCGGCACCGCTGATGAAGGAAGCGTCCCGCAGGTTTTCAGGTTGGACAAGCGCGCCCTGAAGGCCATGAAAACGCTTTTCCATGTTCCTCAGTCGGACCATGACGATCTCCCCAAGGGAGTAAAGTGGCATGAGTTCAAGCGGGCCATGGCGCACATTGGATTTGCTGTTGAGAAGCTGCAGGGCTCGGCATGGCAGTTCACGCCCGGTGAGTCGCTTCATGTTCGTCGTGCTATTCAATTTCACGAGCCACATCCAGTCAGTGACATCACGTACATCATGGCAAAGCGATTTGGGAGGAGGCTTGAGAGGGTATATGGCTGGAACGGCGCTAGTTTTCGACCCGCTTGAATGAAGAGAGTTTGCAAGGTTTGGAGTCACTGATTGGTTGGAGTTTTTGAGGTTTTGAGCATTTCGGGTAGTATGGTGAAGGATTTGGTAATGTTTAAATGAATATCACGGAAAGAAGAAAAGTTGTTTATGGTGAAGGAAGAGCGCCAAATACACGTTGGATAGAGGAATTTAAGTTTCCTGGCTTGAATAAGCTTCGTAAGTATTGAGCTCCGTTGCTTTGCTAGCGCAGGTACTCCATGATGAGTTTGCATATAAAATAATTGAGGTAATTCAATTCAATTTATTCTACTTCTTTCAAAGTCAACCCAGCCTCCCAGGATACATCAAACCCATGGACGCAACACTACTTGCATCACTCTCCAAAAAACACCTACTGGGAGCATTCAGCGCAATCGGCGACACCCTTGCCGTCGCCTCCCTCGACAACCGCCACTCAGGCGGAACATTATGCTGCAAAACCTCGACCTCGGACACGACGCCACCCACCTTCTTCTGCGCCTCGACATCCGTCTGAATCCCCAACTGGGGCGTCGTATCCCTCGAGCCCCTCTGAATAATCCTCACAATCTGACTCAGGACCCCAAACTCAATCTTCAGCTTAAAACTATACAACAGCGACTTGAACGTCGTTTGTATCATGTACAAGTTGAGGAACTCTATGGTGAGCAGCGTGGCATCGAGGAAGACTAAGAGCAAGTTCATAGCAACGAGCTGCCATATCCACTTGCGCGTCTTGCCGTCGAAAATAACGAGCATGAGTTTGCGCGTTTCGCACAGGTAGACGCAGGATATAGAGATTTCCTGGAGGGTGAAGAGTACCATTTGGATCTTCTCCATGATGCTGTAGCCGCGCGTGTAGATGGTGGGGTTCTTGGTCGTGTATTGCCCGAGGTTGAGGGTGACGGTGGGGACGCAGAGGCAGATGGCGGAGAGGATTATGGTCCAGAAGATTAGGCGGAGGAGACGCAGGTTTGGTGAGATGAGGTGCAGCCGGGAGTACAGGACCATGGATTGGCCGGGGACCATGAGAATCCAGCCGACGGTGAGGAGGACGTTGTAGAGGTCGGCGTTGTGGCCGACATTGTTTTGTTTCATCCATGCGCCTGGAGTTGGGGAAGAAGAAAAAAAAATAGTATGTTAGTTTACTTTTCGCTTCTTTAAAGATACTTTGTACTAGTATCGGAATGGATGGCTTACCTGTTGCATAAGGCACGATACTCAGTGCGTTGATGATTAGACTCCAAAAGTACAACCCAGAGTATTTCTTGAAAATACAAAATATGAGGACTAGAAGTTCGAGCGAATTGTACCATGCGATTGCTGTAAAGGCAGTCATTGCCCGTGGCAGCACTCGGTTAGCACCATAAATGTCGAAATTAGCTCCTGTGATGCCATTGCCGTGCGCTGTGACGTTCGCCATTTCCCCTATTACTATGTCATGAACTAACGTGAGAGATGAGATGTGCAAAACGCTGTGTTACCACAATGCATACCATATTTACATTCTATATGTCCAACATGAGTTGAATAGAGTATCAAGCCATGAGCGAGGTAATCGTGTGTCAGCAACGAGTTTTGTTAATAATTGGGTAGCTTGGGGGCCATGGGGCTTGATTGGCGGGCGTGTGACTAGTTTTCTGTAGCAAGGCGAGAAGCGAGCGTAAGTCGGACTACGCGAATAGATCGTAACGCTATACTTAGAAGCTTGACAAGCTATTCTCCGATAGCAAGATGAGATAAGCTTTTGCCAAGTCCCGTTAGGACGACCGGGAAACAAGCGTACGGTACGGAGATGCACGTCTTGAAAGAATGCGTCATGTACTCTGGGTTCAGCTGCCTTACTAGGAATGGCTCGCAGTATGGGACTAGTTGTGTACCTCTCCGTAAACAGTTAACGGATGTCAGTATGGACACATTGTTCGGAAACTTCCGTATTACAAGGATTCATTCATAAGGCTGCTATGCGATTAAGATATCAATCTATGCTAAAAGCTAGAAGATGGCCACATGGTTAATTTTAGAACAGGTTCCACATGCATATATCAGGAAATCGAACGTTAGATTGACAGAACGCCTTGCATGTTATGCTAGTGCATTGTCCAAACTGAACAAAGTCATTCAAAATCAAGGTGTTAGTTTTCTGCATGACCTGTGGGGCCTTGGTCTGTGTCTGCAAGGCATTGTTAGCAAAATGTGCCGAAGAAGACGTTTATCTACATGGGTACTCACAATCCATTGTAACAAAGGCACGGTCTACCTCCTTCAACCCCTCAAGACAATACTGCAGGGTTTCTGCAATGTCATGACAGGTCCTCAACGGTGTGTTCTCTTTCATGAGTACATCAATCTCTACGCAGACGCCGTCACCAGCATGGTAGACCTTGATGCTCTTGAAACCTTGAACAAGTGGTGCAAAGCGGTACGCCATGAACATCATCTTGCGCTCTGTGCGGGTATCGGCAGCCTCTCCGGTAAGACGAGCAACGTTTTCAAGACAGGTGCATGCCCAGTCGTAGATGATGTACAGGGAAAGGCAAGCAGCACCGACAGGATCGAGCCACCAGACATTGACCTGGGCACCAATAAGGGGAAACAGAAGCGACAAGGTATTAAAATAAACATCTGTTCGGGTTAGCCCTGTAACGTTTTGAGTATGCATGAGTGAAGTTACCTGTCTTGCAATCCTGCGCGAGTGCCTGCACTTGTGTTGTCTTGACCCTGGCGCATCCGATCCAAATTGTTCCCTTGACAACAATTGTGGATACCATTGCGAAGATGGCTGCAGGTGGGAGCATGGCTACGCTGTGGTCGCCACTAGGCAGCAGCTTCTTTACCGACTCTTGGAGGATTTGGAGAAACGAAATCACCATGATGATGGAGAAGACGAGGATGCCAATGGGCTCAAAGCGCTTGCGACCGATGGGGAATCTTTTCTTCAGGGCCTGCAGACGCCAGCCCACCAGCTTGTTCGTAGTCCAGATGATGATTGTGCAAAGCAGGTCGAGGGCGGAGTCAACGAGGGACGCGATCAAGGATAGTGAGTTTGACCAGATGGCTGCGACGCCCTTGGCAGCGAGAAGGAGAATGTTGACTAGGACATTGATCTAGGATATTATGAGTCTCGAGTTGGACGACTTGCGACTTGGAACTCACATTGATGGCCCATTTCACATGCTTGGCTGCCTTTCGCCGTTTCTCACGCTCGTCTTCGGGTAGAAATGGTTCCAGATCTTCTCCGCTGAGACCCAAGGGCCCTCTGTCCTCGGCTACACCGTCGTGATCAGTATCGCGAGGGTTCATACTGTCAACAATATCGTCGGCGAGCGAGGTCACAACCATGTCTACCTCAGCCCAGTCGTCGATGCGTTCGTTTTGTTCCTCGTAGAATTTGCGTACTTCCTTATTCTTTATGCTTTTGAGCTATAGTGAGAATGTCAGCACCCGGTGTGATCAAATGGAGCTGTCAACATACGCTCTCTTCACTTTTCCTGTATACTTCAAGCGCATCGTGGTCGATGTTATCGATCAGCTTGCGCTTCAGGCCATTCGCGTGGTTGTCCCTCAACGTCTGCTCGATGGCATCGCGAAACCGCTGCCTCGGCTTGATCTTGTTGGTAGCTCCATATCCGCTTTCTAGGTCGACACGCTGGTACTTTGTGAATTGTTCGGGATCGCCGTAACTGTTGATGTTGCCCTTGGTGTTGCCGGTGCTGAGAAGTCTGTGTCTACCTCCAACCATGACTGAATACTAGTAGAGGGTTTTAGAGTTTGCGAAGTAGTCCCGATTGCTGAACAACAGGAGGGGCAGAATGCAGAGGGAAGTTGAGGGTGTGGTCGAGTATGGTTGAGAAAAGAAAGCACACGAGGAGGAAGACGCGACGCGCAGTCAACCAAGGCGGGCACACGAGGCCGGAGACTTTAGAGGGGAGGATGCATGATAGCGTGTGAGAGCGCATCATCGTCAGCAGTAGCCACGCGGAAAGGGACCGTGTGCGTGCGAGAATGTGCCATTCTTGGTGGAGCTTGTGCAGGCTTGCATTCAACGCGCAAGAGGAGAAGCCATGAATGACATCATCATCCTTGGCAGGCACCAACCGCAGCCATGCCATCGCGCTCCACCATCGACTGGTCAGTACGGGAACTGACGTCAGCCCACCTCGATTTCCACACACGTTTCGCATTAACTCTACCCTGTCAAAGTCTCTTTTCATTGTCAACCCACGATCCACTGTGCCGGTTACCCGAAAGCCAGCAATCAGCCATTCGGGACACCTTCCTCCCGCCACTCCCGTAACCCACCCATGTTCCCACCATGTCCGCTCGTCATTCTGCCAGGCAGTAGTAAACCTTACTACTTAGACCCTGTGGCCCGCAACCTCCCCAAGACCTTGCAACTTCTTATAGACGTGCACACGGACTTTATATCTCTACTACAACCACATCGTAGAGTAACATCACATGACCTCGAGCCGGCCAAGACGTGATAAGCCCGCCGGTACTTTCATCGACTGCTTTACATAAGCAAGGCCACGCCACAATATCTCCATGTTGCCCCGAGCCGACGCCTTTAGCTGCAAAAGGAGAGGCGAAGCTCGCCAAATCACTTCCCATGCTTCCGGCAGCACACCACATCACAAGCTATAACCCGCCCATGTGTCCTTTTGCATCGTGAGCTTCCCACCTCCAACCCACTCGCCATGGCACCCCCAACAGCCCAGCATCGCCGCAACGGCGATGGCAAAGTCTTATTCCTCTATGCCATCATCGCTCTGATAGGCCTCTACGCCATGCGCATCGTGACCTCCATGAACAATAACCCTGTTGGCTTCATGGACATGTTCGAGTCTCGCACGCTGCCTGATGGCACCCCTATCAAGACTGATTATACTGGCATTAAGCTCATCGACACACCCTTGGCTTTCTTAGTATCCGCATTTATGTTCGGTCCCATGCGAGTCAACGAGGCCTATTACTGGCAGCAAATCCACTTTTTGCCACAACTCGCGCCCATCATAGCAGTTATGAATGTTGAGGCTTGTCGACATGGGAACCGGGGTAAATGGCTGACATAGTGAGTTGCGCATGGGACAAGCGGTATTCAACCGGATATCGCAGAATACTACTGTCCTGTTACTGACAATTCACAGTACTTCCATTTTCGCATTCTTGTACCAAAATATCGCAGGCTGTTTCGTCATCACCATTTGGTGGATGTTATTCCACTACCAAACAAGTCCCAGGTCTTACTATCAAACCGGACGCACGGTACCGTTGCCATATGCTCGGGTCATGTTACCAGCAATGGTATTTCTGTACATCGTTCCCACTATTGCCATTTGGTACCCCGCAGACAAAAGCATCTCCACACTGCAATCCGTCTTGGCGTTCTGGCAATTGTCCCCCATATTCGTCAATATCCCGCTCTGGCTCGTCTCCCTTATCAGCTCACTAAACACAACCAACCAAAAGAAAAACGCCGACGTCTTTCATCTGAGAATCTTGTACGCGGTTATGTTCTTCTTCTCAGTGGCAGTGCACTGGTACAGCATCTACGGAATCTCCGTCTCCGAACATCCTGATGCAACTTACGCCCGCGTCTTCGTCCCTAGCACCTACACCTGGAGCAAGGATATCCCTTGGGGCCTGCTGTGGGTCTTCCAATGGGATTGGATTATCATTGGCCTTATGTATATTATCCCTGCTTGGGTCGCAGTGTGCGATGTCCAGCGGATGAAGAAGGGCGAAGCTTCGTTAGAAAACGTCTTTGAAAGTATTCTTATGATCATGACGATTGCCATTGGCGGTGGTCCAGGGGCTGCCCTCTCAGCAGTTTGGTTCTGGAGGGAGGGTAATCTGGCCGCGATTGAGAGTGCATCGGCAGTGAAGAAGGGGCAGTAAATGGCTAGTGTAGCAGAAATGCTTTATGGACAAAGGGGCGACATGGACCACAGATGTATTAGGAGATACAAAGACCTTGAAAAGTCATCCAGAGTAATCTCATGGTTCCTGGATCATATTGGAATTGCTTCAACTCTGACAAACACTGTTCATACTCTTTCTAGAATCTGCGCAAAAACATCTCTGACATCCTTCGATAACGGCGACTCCAGTACCTTGTCCCAGTCATCCTGCAATACACTCTCCAACACACCAACCCCAATATCCACCAGCTTCTGCGTGCCAGCCACATCCGCCCATTCCACACGCGTAGGCCAGAACGCCACATGCACCGCCCAATGCACCACCAGCCTCCTTAGCCACACCTTGCCCAACACCTCACCACCCTTCCTCTCAGCCATGTACGCGCGCAAAAACGCCACCAGTAAACCCCTCCCCCCTCGAAACCGATCAAGCAAGAACGCCTCCGCGGCAAACTGTCCAACGTCCGTTGCACTGGTACCTCTACGCACCATTTCCCAATCCACAATCGTCAGACTGGGCGGTTGCGTCTCGCTCATACGTACGAGCACGTTGCCAGGCCAGAAGTCGCCGTGGCACACGCACTCATCGTCTGTAGTGAGTAGACTGCCAAAGTCCTCGTTAATGCGGTGCGCGAGTTGGGTGTCGTAGCCAAATTGCTCGAGGGCGAGGTGCAGGTTACGGTAGGAATGGCGGTATATGGCGACGCCGATGGGATTATTTCTTGCACTGCTGTCTTGATCTTCGAGTGCGAGAGAGGTGTTGGTGGAGGAGTTGTGTAGGGCTGCGAGCCAGGTTGCGAGGTGCTGGCCGATTTGGGGGATGTTGAGGTCTGGGGAGGTGTATGCGTCTTTGAGGTTGCGGGTTCCGCCGTCTTCGATTTCGAGGAGCTTGTTTTCTTTGTTGTAGTTTAGGAGGTGGACGGCGTGTACGGTTGTGCTTGGTGAGTTGGTAAAGAAGGGGTTGCTTTTGGAGGAGAGTTGAGTGAGGATGTTGGCTTCGTAGTCCATTCGCGTGGGGTCAAAAGCAAAGTTCTTGTTGCTGTGGAGGTATGGTGCGGCATGCTTGAATATGCTTGTAGATCCATCTTGTTTGGTGCACCGGTATACGTAGTTTGCGGTCCCGCCTGAAAGTAACTTCACGCTGGTGTGTGCTGACTGGGTCGTAGCAAGAAAGTCGCTGAGCCCTTGCTCCGTTGTGAGATCATGTGGTGATGTCATGCTGTTCCTGATTGTGAGATGAACAATATGCTCATGGGTCTCCTAGAAAGATTCGTAGTCCATCTCACTGTTAGTTAGAGAGGGAATAAATAATAGCCTGAATTACGGTTGCAATCACGCCCAGCTACAAAATCGCACTAACCTGCCTTTCGGCCTCGCATACAATTCTCAGAATGCAATCAGTATGATTGCACATGAGTCATTTGCCAAGGTGCGCTGGATCACCAGCGTTCGTAGGTATTGTGCAGGAACCAACGTGGGGCAGCTCATCCCAACTCAGATTAGCTCCATCCGATCTTAGAGCACGTATTTATCATACGTATTCGCATGATTCCTCTCATAGATATGGACTAGCCATGACAAAAAAAACCTGCCAAGTTCTAGGAATTCCGTCAGATTTCAGCTCAGAATGTATTTCATTTCCCTCTCATTGTAGCGAGTAAGATGCGTGCACGTGTTGGGTATCCCCTTCTCGGTTGACCGGTTTATTACATGTTACACAAGCCTCAGCCTTGTCATGTAATGGTTTACGCCTCACTCAGAGTGCTGGCTTATAGGTAACCTCGCACAGTCTTCTCGTCTCATCAATCTTACTCCACTCGTTAAGGCGACCCATTTTGCAGTTTCAGTGCCACAATGACTACCTCCAGCGATGAGCTAGTTGGAAAGCTCAGTGCTATGGCTATTGCGGGGGATGAAAATCAGGAACTTGCTGATAGAAGTGTCCCCTTGGTAGACAACTATATTGATCTACCGGAGGAAGATCCCCAGGAGTCTGTTCAACATGCCAACGTCGTAAGCTTCTGTGACCGAGCTACCGAAGGTGTATATGGTAAGTTGAAGGATTTCATTAACTGACTTTTATATGAGAGCCTTCTGCGTTGAGCGGCGCTACAATATACGAAGGAGAACGTATAGGTAGATTCTAGTGAATTTCTGACGATCATAGAATTTATCAAAAACGCCATCATTGGATATTCCAAAACGATCAAATCTCCCGATGAGCAATCCCTCATCCATCATTTTCTCCGATTCTTCGACGAAGAGATCCAAAAGATTATTCAGAATAATGTTCATGCCGCTGGAGATGATGCATTATCATGGAAAGTGGCAGATGAATGCTACAAAGAAGCCATCAGCCCTTCGGGTATTCTCAACGCTGATCGCTATTTCAACGATGTCAAGAATTCCCTACCAAGACGGCGTGCTGATTCTGTTTCTGGAAACCAAGACCATGTTTTCAATGATAAAAGAAAACGAGAATGGATAGATTCTTGGGTCACAATCCTGAACCGCGCACCTAGTGGACTTACACTGTTCTATCCTCGAACGAGTAACGATATCGATCTCACCAACCCAAAAACTATCCCGCCGTACCTGTTTCGAGTTTTTGACATGAAAAGCTCTGGAAACAACGATGAAGAAGTCATGGCATCTTCCAGACATGCCTCTCAAGTCCGAACAAGTGGCGTCAATGACTTACTGGGTATGGAGGACGTGAAGGCGACAAGATTGCTGTCTTACCATATTGGTCATAAGTGGCGTCGCAAGTATGACGACCAAGATAACTTGGTGTCTTGGACTAGCTCACTGCTTTATGCTGTCCAATATGCAACATATAGAAAACATCACCCAAGACTCAAAAATGCCGACATCAATATATGTATGGTACAAACCAGCCAGTTTCCCCAAGGACAGTTTGTCCGGGACATAAAGCTGCTCAATAAATACCTTGCCATTGCCAGCGATTTGGGAGGAAAAGTATGGTCCATTTTCGATCTGCGTCTGTCTAAGCCAGAATTCTACAATGGTGAGTACTTCTCGCAGGGAGTATTGAACCATGCAGGTCGATCGTGTGTGGTTTCTCTGGAGCAACTGGAAGATGCCGGTATCTTCAAATTGTATCCGGCATTGGAGGATCCTAGCGATGACGATGGTGTTGTTCGAAACGCATTAAAAGTACTCGATCTACGTCAAGAGTGGTCTGATGAGCAGACAACAACCGAAAATGACGTCCCATATGCGCTTTCCATCGCACGGAAGTGCTTCCCTGGTTTTAACGAATACGATATAGCTTGCATTCTATTAGCTTTCAAGCACCGCGAACTATCAGGTAAGTAGCAACGTCGGCTCTTCTTACTTGTTCTCTGAGAAAGAATGCAATCTAACAAGCAAAGACGGACTTGAGCTTACCACCAATCTGGCCCCATCGTGGGCCAACAAGCCAGTTGAAGTCAATCGGTATTGGCAGATATTGGAGACACGGAGGCATTTGAGAGAAGATCTAGGGCGCGAGGTGTATCTGCAACACGATATTTACAAGGTGACGGGTCGTAGTTCTCCGGAGCCGGTGACTTTTCTTGATGACTACGCGTAGGAATAGTGTGTTCCATAGTAAATGAGCTCTTGAAACTTTTTACCCACAGTGTATCATTTCTAGTATCTTGTTGGAATTGTGGTTGGATTTTAGCCCTGAGTAGGTAGGATAGGAATGAATGTTGCATTACAAAACTCTTGCTACCGTTGTTCAATCTGCAAACGAATCTTTGACATAACAGAACACAAAATGATTTAATGTTTCCGGAAACAATCGTGAATACCTCTGTTTAAAGAATTTCATTGTGAGAATGACTCAATATATATTAGAAAATTCTATATGCTAATCCATTCCCTGTCAACAGTATCATCTCAATGCTTCCTCATCCACAATACTGCCCAGCCAAACGACCTATAAACAACAACGATAACAAGCATGTAACCCACATACTTTCCCATGTCCCCCGTCTCAAATCCATATACACTCAACACCGCCTTGCCCTCAACCAAACACTGATCCTGTAGTGCACTAGGAAACATGCACTGACAGCCTCCATCCACCAACCGCTCACACTCATAATTCCTCTTCCCAAACTCATTAACCATCATCCCCCGAAACACATACGCCTGGTAGTCAATATAATGAAAAACATACCGCCAAAACACATTCAGCGTCTCCGGCTGGACCATAAACCCATTAACACACATCCACAAACCATTCGCAAACGCCGTCGCCGCCAGCGCAACCACGAAAATCGGTATAAGCGACGACAGCAACACAACCAGCGACTCTGCCGCCAGCAAATCGAGAAAAAGCCACAGAACCCACACCCAGAACCCCTCAGCCGTCGGCCGAAAGTTACCCAGCCAATAACTTATCACACTAAATAGTATGGTAATAAGAAACAAATACGGCACTCCTACTACGAAATTCGCAATCATAAACGACGTAGGCCCATACAACCCGTTTGCGCGTTCCTTGGTATAAATGGCGAGATCCTCGAGGTACGCAGGGATATATGCGACGGCCATGAAGGACATGAAAGCGCCGCCGAAGAAGATGGCGTTGGTAAAGGATTGGATGTTGGATTGCGTGGGGGAAAGACGCAGCCAGACTGTTCCCATCATTATAGCGAGGCCCATGTACATGGCGATGCGCAGGCCGTAGGCGACGATGTCGCGGTGGGATTTTATGAAGGAGCGGTGGATCAGGGTGAGGGGGATGAGGCTTGGGTTGGCGGTTTGGTGCGTGGCGAGCATTGTAGAGAGGGGTGGGGAGGGGGGCTGTGAGGTGATTTTGGAGGTCAAGGCGGTTGCGGCGGGGGAGATGGCCCAGGAGGTGTGGAGGTGGGTTAGGCGTTGGGATGCGGCGGTGGTGTCGGTGGAGAAGTCGGTGTTTACGAGGTCGATGACGAATTCGGCGGGGTTGGTGTAGAGAGGCATCTAGTGGGTGCTTGTGTTAGCTTTCTTATTCTCTTTCCAATGGGTGGTCCTGAGGGTGACTTTGTTGTACTTACTTGATATCCCAGTCCAGAGAAGTACTCTCCAACCTCCTTTACTGCACCATTGTATACTACTTTCCCCCTGCTCAGCAACATGAGTTTATCAAAGAGCTCGAATGTTGTCGTCGAGGGTTGATGGATAGAAGCAATGACAAGCACACCGTGCTTCTTCGCAATGTTCCTAACGAAGTTCATGACTTCGTAACTAGCCGCAGAGTCTAGTCCGCTGGTAGGTTCGTCGAGGAACAGAATCCTTGGGCTTGTGATGAGTTGGCTGGCCACGCTTACACGACGCTTTTGGCCGCCAGATACGCCTTTTCGGATTGGCGTTCCGATCAAGGTGTCGGCTTGGTTCTGGAGACCAAAGGAAGATAGGAGGCTGGATATGCGTGCCTTGCGTGCTGCTTTGTTTATTGAACTATCGAATTGAGCGTCAGTGAAAAGCACTAAGAGTATATGGTACAATTGAAGACCTACCTGGGCAGTGCAAGCTCAGCTGCAAAGTATAATGTCTCCCTGACGGTAAGAGAACCGACAAGTGCATCTTCCTGTTCCACATAGCTACTCAGTTTCCTAAACGTAGCCAATGTCGTCGGCTCCCCATTAATCTTCAGATCCTGACGGATAGTCGCCTTTGGCATGGCCGCCCGATGAGCAAGTACATTGAGCAGTGTCGTTTTTCCTGAGCCACTGGGTCCCATGAGAGCGAGCATCTCTCCTGCCTCCAGGACACCGCTAACATTGGCCAGGATATCCAGCGGTTGTTTCGAAGCACGATCCTTGACAGTGACAGTGACATCCTGCCAGCTAAAACTCTGCACGACATTATTGGTAAGATGAGCAAAGTCCGCGGTATTATTTCCCTTTTCCACATCAGGGGCTTCGCCTGTAGATGACATGGCGAAAGTCGTGTATTGTTTCTCCTAGAAATACCTCGATAATACTCAAAAGAAATAATAATAGGAATAGGAATGAGTATCGTAGGACCAACACAAGGAAATCTGACTAAAAAGATATTAACCTAACAGACAACCCCCCTCCATCCACCATATATATTATCATCACTCAGCCTCACACCCTCACATTTAAGGCCCCCAAACCCCCATCCATCTCCACTCCCGCACACGTATTTAATATCGGCGAGTAAACTCTTCCACCCAAACCACCTTACCTAAAAGAACCATCCGCCTGAAATGACACACCCTAGCGCACTCCCCGACGGACCCTTCGTAACGTCAAACCCCATTTCCACAAGGCAGATGAACCCAGATGCTTTCCTGATTGAGAAGAAAGTGGACGGGCGCACGTATCTACTGTTACACTACACCATGCTGTGTTACGCTACACTATGCTACACATGGCTAAGCGCAGTGTAAATGCGAGGAAGGATGGCAGCTGAAAAAACACGCGCGATACTTCTAGTAAGCAATGGCCAAGCGCACATGTGCGGTGTGTGTGTGTGTGGGTGGGTGCCCGAGGTGAGATTTGTGGATGAAGGATGATGGGGGTGTAAGACGGAGAGTTTTGATCCATTGATTGGAGGAGACATAAGGTTGAAGTCGCCGTTTGGACAACTCAAAGATACGAGCGCCATTTTCTGCGATGACTGGTAGTCGAGACGAGTCGCGAAAGACTACGTAGTACGTACAAATAAGGCTGACCGAAAAAACAAACCGACGATTGTACGAAACGTCCCTGCATCGAACAAAACGAAGAAACAAGGGTCAGTCCGACCGAGATCCATCTGTCCACGCTAATCAGGCTGTGAGAATAGTAGTAGTAGGCAAATCTCAGCTCTCTCGGCGTTCTTGCGCTGGCAGCTCAAGGTCCCCGGACCCCAGGCTAAAAAACGTCGGCGAGGTATTCCTTCAACCACAAACCGGGCCGTGCGCCGAACGAAACCTCGCCGACGTTTTTTTTTATGTAGCACAGGCGAAGGAAGCGGCAGCATGATTGCGGCACTGGCTAACTTGCCGAAAAAAGAGGGACGTTAAACGGTGTAAGCCGTGCAAGCAATAGACGGCGACAGATCTTGAAGACGCCGAGGGGCACAAACGAATAAGGCTGAGGAAGTTATTTACAATTCATGCAATCCTACGCTACTACAATCTCTCACATTAACGTATCAAAAGCCACAATCCTTCTCTGACTAACGTGCTCGCCGTTTAATACATGAACTCGCTGAGCTCCAGTAGCTGCGCATCCAGCGATCGTTTAGCTTGCACGCTAGCCTCTCTGTTCTCGGCGTTCAGTCTCTCTTCATATGTCATTTGGAGCAGTTTCTTGACGTCCTCCTCTCCGAACCTCTCGCCGGGGACACCGAAGCCCTTGCCGTACTGTCTTGCTCTCGCGACAATGGCCTCGGGGCCTGCGGTGAACAAGTCGAAGAAGAGTGCGGCGTAAGGAAGTGTCGCGCCGTCCTCGATGTTCTTCAGGTTCTGCTGCAGAACAAGAATGTTGAGTTGCATGAGTGCGCAGCCGTTGGTGTTCATGCGCTCGATCTTGGAGGTGCAGAGAGTGAAGAGGTATCTATCCATCAACGACGCCAAGCCACGCGTGATGTGACTATATGAGGCTGCGGGGATATATGTTGAGACTTCTGTATCGAAAGACACAAGAGTTGAGTTAAGAGTGAGGATTGTTGGGTCGGGATCGTTGAGAAGAGTGTCGATGTAAATGTCTGGTTGTATGCTTGCGTCGAGTGAGTACAGTATTGTACTGCGAATCGCAAGATGCAATGTGCGCAAGGCACGAGTGGAGAGTGACCGATACGTCACTACTACTGCATCGAAGATACTACTCAGAGTAAGTTTGTGTTTTGTCAGTGAAGATGTGTGGCACTTACGCAGCAGTTTCTGTACTCAACGGCAGATACACAGGAGCGCCTTGGGGTCTTGGGTCAGAAGACGCAAGCTTGGTCCATCGCCTGTTGTGCTTCTGACCATTGGTCTCTATGTTGACTGGAGCCGAGGCACGATCACTAATGTACCTTAGCTGGGCCGTCTTAGTAGCCAGCCATTTCATGCTAGTGTACAACAGGCACAAGTTGATAATGCTCTTCTTGTCTTGGATCATATCAGCCTGGTCCAAGGGTTCATCTGCTTCTACTGCTTCAATGAGAAGGGCGACCTCGCTCTCGATAGCATCGTTGAGGTTGGCGTGGTCAGAAGAATCTATTCGCTCCAGACGGGCAATGAGTTCTTCCATGGCATCCGACTCGGCCCATACAGCTGGTGCTTTCATGAGACGACCGCTGGGTGTGGGTTTTGAGCGGCCGACCAGGGCTTTGTACCATCCTATGCACTTTTGGGCATACGTATCCATCTGATTGACAATGAGTTGAGAGAATGCTTGATCGTGCGGAAGGTTGTCAAGCATTTTGCAGAATGCTGTGATGAGAGAGAAGAATTGCGCGGTGCCCTACAGAATTAGCTTTAGTGGAATAATTGTTGAATTGATACATACTTTGAATATGGGCTTCTTGGAGTGTCTTGCCCATTGTGGGTCTTCAGCAAAGGCGTCAAGCTCGACGAATGTTTGTGCACAGAGCTCAATCAGAGTCTCGTCGAGTTGTGGAAGGAAGACATTGACCAGGAAGTCGTCCAAGAACGAGGTCAAGGTGCTTAGGCTGATTTCAGCATTGGATGGCACGACCTCCTTCAATCTATTGAGGAAGTCAAGCGAAGGCGGGAGCAGGATGCCCATGTTAAAGACACTTGGCTCGACGAGAAGCTTGTGTCCAGTGGCGCTACCGTCAAGATTCGTGGTGTTGTTGGTATCGACCTCGTCAAGTCTCTTTGAATCAGACACGAGTCCGGGAACAGAAGTCTTTAGGATAAGCTCAAGGTCGTTCTTCTCCTTGGCTAAGTCCGAAGCCTTTGTGTCAACATCGGTCAGCTTGAACATGCGCTTATTCCTATCGCGAGGAGCACGAGAGAATGCGCTGGCAGCGGACGACTTGGCCTGTCCATCTCTATAAGAGGCCTCACCATCTGTGGCAAGGTAATCATGAAGAAGAGAGCGTATCTGAAGAGGGTCAGCAAAACGCTACGAGTGGAAGTTGACTGATATTACCTCGCTCTGGTAGAGCTTCCACAACTCCTTGAAGCCTCGGGTTAGTGTTGCACTCGAGGACCGACCCTCGCGGCGAACGATACCCGCCACCACATCATGGACGACCCGATGACTTTCGGCAATGGCTTCGAAACGTGCATAGAGGGTCCACATCAAATCGTTGAGCAGGGTTGTTCGGACGTCCTCGCTCTCAATCTCGGTCTTGGACTTGGAATTCTTCTTGGCTGAGTAGGCGCGTAGTATGCTGGGATGCCGTTGGGCCACTTCGTTGTTAGACTTCTCAACGACCTTGAATAGCTCGACAGGTAATCTCTGCTCGATGGTGTCAATGGCGACCTCGAGACGGTTCATCTTCTCGAGTGCTTCTATGACAAGCCTGATGTACTGGAAGGTGTCTGATTCTGGGTTGTGGGCAGAATCATCGGTCATCTAGAGTTGTTAGCAGGATATAACAGACTGTAACACGTACATACTGGCTCAGAAGTGTCGAGGCCATCGAGGAAGTAGTATAGCAGCCGACCTCTTGCATCGGATTGCGCACGTTGAGACATGTCGCCCTTGACCTGGTTGTGGGCGTACTCTTTCCACCTGTCCTCGCAATACGGTGATTTGAGGTAGAGGTGGCTGTGAAGTTCTTCAATTAGAATGTCAGTCAGAGAGACTTCCTGATTACTGAGATATGTGCGCAAATCAGACAGGGCGCCAATCTTTTCCATTTCAGTTTTGCGGATCATGCGCAGGGCGTCTTGGAGGATGTCTACAGCAGTCAAAAACCGCTTCTCTGATATGCGTGCTTCTAGTCTTTCGGGGACTAGCTGCAGCTTTTCTATTGTGTCAAGCATCTGCAGCATGCCATCGTAGTTTTGGGAAGTAGTAGCAAACTCTCTGAGCTCCGGCTTTGCAGTAGAGAGCTGTGACTTTGCTGATATTAGGGAACTTTTGAGCGTTCTGACACGGTGCTGTGAGCTCTGGAGACTGGACTGGATCTGGTGAAAGGTACCGATGGAGCTATTGAAGCCCTGGTGGTGCTCTGTAGTAGGTTAGTCAAGAGCCTAGGTATTAGGGCAAGACAAGGTACCGTTGACAATGCCCTTGAGGGCGTTTTGCAACTGTTGATGGGTCTGCTGAAACTGGTCTGCTTGGTTTGCGAGGCCGAGGGAGCTCGAGTCCATGAGTTTCAGGGCGACTTCGATGGGTACGCACTGGTCCTTTGTCATAAATTCCCAGTTCTGGCGGATGAACTGTAGCACTTCCTCGATAGCCTGGCTACCCGGCCCATAGTTTGTATTCCTAGGCCTGGAGCCATTCTGGCGGTCGACAGGGCGGCCCTTTGCTGGGGAGCGCTCGTTGCTGTTTGTGCGTGGAGCCATGCGTGGGCTGCCGTCGCGGGCAGAGAAGCCGCCACCGCCGTAGCCCCCAGGCCTGCGATCACGGTCGCTGCTTCGCCTTGGTTCCATGTCATCTTCCTGGGCGAGGCCTCCATATCCACCGGGTCGCCGTGGTCGTTCGCGCTCGCCGCTCGGTCGCGGCGCATAGCCGTCTGAAGGGGCATTCATGGCGCCGTACCCACCAGGTCTCCGTGGACGTTCACCACTGGGCCTACTGTTATAGCTGGCATCGCTGCCAGCGTAGCCATTGTATCCTCCACCGTTGTTGTAGTTGGCAGCACCGTTGGCATAGCCGCCATTGGCCCCCGCCTGCGAGTAGCCTGGGTTGCGCGACATGGCGCTTCTAGAGAAGTTGAGGGATACCGGTTACTGTGGGCGTCGCAATTATAGTCATATCCTGCAGACGAGAGCCTGGGGCATGGTTGGGGTGCATGTGCTGTGGTTGGTGTCTATGTATGTACGTATGTATGTATGGATGTCACTGCGTATGTTGCGGAGAGCTCGGGGGTGTCCATGTGCATGCCCGAGTCGAGCGGACAGGCCTACCAACGGCTGCAACGCACAAGACAGTGTCTAGATGAGGATGCAGGTGTAAATTTCGTGTAATATAGAACTAGAAAGTAAAAGGCAATGGAAATGCAGCAGTCTGGCGACTGTGTCACGCGCTCAACCGCGTCTTTGTCGTCGACTGGGCGGGCTGGTTGGTTGCAGACATGGAGACGGCGATACGCGCCAAGACTCCCTACTAGTCGGAGCTTCTCTCTTTCTCTGTCTCTCCCATTATCACCACCACGACACCGAGGACGACGCGCAGGCCGGCCATTTGCCCTCGACCCGCCTCGGCCCTTCACTCGAATCCCCCAATGCCGTACTAGCATCGCCTCTGCAACACCACCACATCACGCTCCCACCCGCGCATTCGTCCCCCAGCATGGCCGCCGTCTATGCCAACGGCGCGAATGGCGTCAACGGGGCCGGCGCCATGTTTCCTCCACCACGTTACTCGGACGTGCCCAGCTCTATCACCATCTCGGTCGCCGATGACGAGGGAGGCCAGCTCGATGTTGAAATCCCCCTCGACGACCAGATCCAGGACGACCCGACGGAGCTGTGCGACATTCTCGAGGCCGAGAAGAGTGCCACGTCCACTTGGGTCCAGGTCGCCGTCGCCTACGCAAAGCACAAGCGCATAGAGACGGCCATCGATGTCCTCAAGCAGGCCACTCAGGTCTTCAGCCGCGCCCGCCCAGACGACCGCCTCAGCATCCTCAATGGCCTCTGCTGGCTGTACCTACTCAAGTGCCGCGAAGCTCCTCGCGTCCGCCCTCGTACGCTACCCCAAGTATCGCGTCTTATATAACACACCAGCTAACCTTTCTTCTAGAAAACGCCGACCCAGATACAAAGCTCAAGGAGTTCTGGATTCAGTCCGCGACCGGAGTCCTCAACGATGCCTCACGAATTAGCCCCTCGCACCCCCCGCTCTTCCTCGCGCGCGGTGTCTTGTACCTTCTCAAGGCCTCTCTCCAGGGCCCTGCCACAGCTGCTGGCTCTACTGTCAGTCCCGAGCGCATGGAGACGCTCAAGCAGGCCGCTAAGTGCTTCGAGGACGCGCTTCGAGCGTCAGGTGGGAGGAATCTCATGGCCAAGATGGGCAAGGCGCGTGTCAACTACTCCATGGGCAAATGGGCAGACGCTCTAAAGGCATATCAAAATATCCTCGAGAGCTCTCCAGACCTCATCGACCCAGACCCGCGCATCGGAATCGGCTGCTGCTTCTGGCAACTGGGCTACAAAGACGAAGCGGCCAACGCCTGGCAAAGATCCCTCGAACTGAACCCCCGCTCAAAAGTCGCCCTGATCCTGCTCGGCATCTACAACTTCCAGCAAACAGCCAATCTCTCCACCTCCGACCCCAAGTTTGCTGAGTTGATTAAGAAGGCTACGGGCGAGTTCATCCAGCCCGCGCTTAAGCTAGACAATCAGTATCCTCTGAGTTGCGCAACTGTCGGTAGCTATCTTGTCCTCCGCAGGGACGTCAACAAGACCGAAGATGTCGCAAGGCGCGCCATTGAGCTCACAGACACCAATGCCATTGCCAGTGATGGTTGGTACCTGCGCGCCAAGGTCGCACACCAGCAGGATAACATTGCATTGGCTGCAGAGTACTACTCCAAGTCTGATCAGGCTCGTGGAGGCGAAGAGCGGGGCTTTATACCCGCAAAGTTCGGACTAGCTCAGATGAACGTCCTGATGAGCAACTACGATGGCGCAAAGTTCCGCCTCGAGAAGATCCTTCAGCAATCGCCCAATGTCGAGGCCCAGACCTTACTCGGTACTCTCTATGCCGAGGACGTCTTCAACGCTCAAAATAGCAAGTCCACTGAAGACAAGTCTGCCGAGCTGAAAAAGGCTCTCAAGTATCTCGAAAGCGTTCAAAGTGCATGGAAGGACCCCAAGAAGAAGGTGGTGGCTGACCAGTCGGTGCTTCTCAACCTCGCTCGACTATACGAGACAGAGCACCCCGAGAGGAGTCTAAAGTGTCTTGAGGAAGTAGAACAGATGGAGATTGAAGCTATTCCCCAAGAGGACTACCCAGAAGGTATCGAAGAAGGCCCCGAGCTCACAACCGCGCTCCGCGAAATGTTACCGCCTCAGTTGCTTAACAACATGGGTTGCTTCCACTTCCAGGCGGAGCGCTACGTACGTGCTCAGGAGCTCTTCCAAGTTGCTCTCACTGCATGTGTCAATGCTGAGAACCGCGACGACACAATCGACACGGATGCTCTCGTTACTTCTATCAGTTTCAACCTTGCCCGGACTTACGAAGCCGAAGGTCAGACCGACGAGGCCAAGAAAGTATACAACAGTTTACTCCAAAGACATCCCGATTACGTCGACGCCCGCATCCGTCTTACCTATATGGCTCTCAAGGAGAACCCTCAAGACGAGGGTCCGCGAGCTGTCAAGGATCTTTTCAAACAGAACGAGGACAATGTCGAGGTTCGCGCTTTGTACGGATGGTACGTCAATAAGTCCAAGAAGAGGACCCAGAATTTTGCCGCAGACGACGAACAACGACTCTACAAGCACACTCTGCAAAAGTCCGACAAGCACGACCGCTACTCACTCATGGGCATGGGCAACATCCACTTGGCCATTGCTCGTGAAATGCCAAGGACTTCTGAACAGGACAAGGAAAAGCGTCGGAAAGGATACGAGCGAGCCGTTGAGTTCTTTGACAAGGTCTTGCAACTCGACCCAAAGAACGCATATGCAGCACAGGGTATCGCAATCGCATTGGTTGAAGATAAGAAGGATTATTCGACAGCCCTGCAAATCTTTACCAAAGTCAAAGAAACACTCAAAGATCACAGTGTTTTTGTCAACTTGGGCCACACATACTGCGAGATCAGACAGTATGCCCGCGCAATTGAAAATGTAAGTTTTATAACTCTTCTCTTTGCGCAAAAATAGCATCCACTGACATATTGAAGTATGAGGCCGCCCTGTCGAAGAATCGTCACAATGATCCAAAGATTCTAGCCTGCCTTGGACGAGCATGGTACCTCCGAGCCAAGCATGAGCGCAGCATAGCTGGTTTCCGGACCGCGCTCGACTACTCGAAGCAAGCTCTCAAGGCCGCTCCCGCCGATCTTAACTCCCAATTCAACGTTGCCTTTGTCCAGTTCCAGATCGCTACCATGATCTATTCGCGTCCAGAGCATCAACGTACCCTCGAAGAAGTCGATGACGCTGCAACAGGTCTCACAGAAGCCATTGAGGCTCTTGAGAAACTCGCAAAGGAGGAAACACCGCCCTTCCCCCGTGCCGATATCACTTCCCGTGCAAACATGGGTCGCAACACTATGATCAAGCAACTCGAGCGTGCCCGCGAACAGCAAGCAGCATACGAAGGCGAGAATGCAACCAAACTCGACCAGGCTCGCCGTCTCCGTGAAGCAGAAAAACTCCGTCGTGAAGAGGAGAAGAAGCGCCTGGAGGAAGAGGCTCTGGAGAAGAAACGCAAGTATGCAGAGGAGCAAGAGCGTCTTATTCAGCGTGACCGTGAGCTCATGGAGAAGCGCAATGAAGAAGAACGCAAGCGAATGGAAGACGACGAAGACAAGGAGGTTCGCAAAGCTGAACGTAAAGCACGCGGACCAAAGGGACCCAAGCGCAAGAAGAAGGATGCCGACTCTGACACAGACGGCCTGCCTTCTGACGACGATGAGCCACGCTCAAGGCGCCGGAGGACCACAGTCAGTGGTACCGAGGAATTATCCGATGGTGAGCGACCACGTGAGAAGAAGAAGAGGAAGCTTGCTCGCAAGAGCGAGCCCTCAGGCAAATACAAGTCTGCAGAGTTCATTGACGACGAAAGCGACGACGATGACGGTGCGGCGGCCCCTGCCGATGACGCCGACAAGGACGGTGCTGCTCCCGCTGGAAGCGACGATGAAGGCGCTGCTGCTGCCCCTCGGCCACGCAAAGCCCGTGTCGTCGACGATGAAGACGAGGATGACGATGACGGCGCAACAGCAGCCCACAAGTCAAACGACGTGGCCATGGATGATGACGAAGACGAGTAGAGAGTCGCTTCCAAAACTTAGTTTACATACAGGCACGACATGTCATGATGATCTGAAAGGGAGTGGGTTCAGGTCTTTGATAATCATTAGTTTATATCCGGTGGCGTTCTTTTTCCAAGACTCCCATCATCCCATCTTGCATCGCTTCTTCTTCAGACTATTTCAAGGCATTTTCCCCTTCATCTGTCTGGTCTTGTTCCTCTTTTTTTGTCCGGATTCTTTTGCATCAGCGCCGTGGCGTCTAGGAGAAAGGGGGGGGGCAGTAGGTATCGTATTCTTCTTAATCTCATCCATTCCAGATCTACTTTTTGTTTTTTGCGATGCAAATGGGTAAATGATGGGTTGGGGGGAATTTCTAGGGGCCGAGATAAGAAAATTTGTATATACCGTTCACTTGGTGGAAGGGTCAACTAAAAAAGTTTCTTTGGTACAATGTACACTATAAATGTTTCGCGTCTACTCATTAAATTGGCTTGTGAGAACGATTGCTAGCACATGTTTGAAGAACTGCCTGACAACGGTTTGTCATCTCAAAGCGCCCATTCGTCCTTGTCGTCATTCGCGCTGATAAACGGTTCGTTAACGAGTTTGACAGCCAGCTCACTGCATAACACACTATCACACCCAATACGTTAGTATCTGTATCCGGGAAGATGGAAACGTCGACAACTTACCAGCTACTCCCCACAAGCGCATCCAGCTCGCGAATCGCCTTCTCCCTACTCGCCCCCGTCTTAATCCCCTTCTGCACTTCAACCTGCAACTCAGCAATGCGCTTCCCACGCGCAATCCCCGCGAGCTCCACCACCCTCTTAGCCAGACAATCGCTATGGAACGCGTGTTGGCAGGGGAAAACAAAGAACTGACGCGCCAGCAGTGGCAAGCCGCAGACGTAGCAGCGTTCACCCGGTTCAACAATCGCATATCGCTGTTCAAGAGCCTTGATGTCGGATTTGATATGTGTAGCAGTTGCCTCGCTATCATCCATTTCCTGTTTGAGATTATCAATTTTGCGGCTGTAGTCTTCGAGGGCTGCGCAAATCTCTTCTTTAAAGTCGTCAATGACGACAAAGTCGGGGAAGAAAGGTATCAAATCTTCTATTCGAAGAAGGTCGACGCGGCGTAGGAATTCAATCGCGGTCTTGATGCCGCTCGACTGGGAAATGACCTTTTTGGCAATGGCGAGCCAGAGCTTCTTGCGAAGAGCAGGCTCAGTATTTGACCGGTCGGCGACGGAAGATGCGAGGTCTACCTCGTCATATTTCAGGGCTAGGTCCACGGCTTGCACGTATTGCTGCATCGAGCTGTAGATGTGCACGCATGACTGGACACGCTTGTGTTGGATGCAAAGGCGAAGGGCAAAGTCGGCGTCGTAGTTTTGCTCGTGAGCAAGCGATTGGCCTTCCAGGTAGGCGAGCAGCGCTGATTCATCCTTCGTGGAATGTGATGCGTAGATGGAAATGAGAGTGTTGTGAATTGCCGCATCTGTTGAGTTGCGTTGGTTGATCTCAAAGAGGAGATAACGGACGGCCTGGTTTTGACTCAACGGGACCTTGGTCTGGCTGTTGTAGTTGAGGAAAGCCGGGATGAGCTTCTGCGCATCAAAATTGGAGTGCCGCATCATAACGTCAACAAGCTCGACTGGCACATGCGCCATGAGAACAGAGCTGTACTTGTAGAATATCTCTGGGTCTGTCTGTTTCTTGAGAACACTCAATGATTCTTGCCAGCGCTCGCGCTGGACCCAGTATGAGAGCACATAGTTGTAGTCGTTCACAACTGTCGCAAAGAACAACAATTCTTCTTCCCGGCCGTGGCTACTGATGATGTCGTATACCGTCTTTCGATCCAGATCTCCTTTGTACTTTGATACAAAATCCTGATACTCTTTCCGGATCACTGAGAGCTGGTCATGAGTCTCAGCAGTGTTCATGCTCTCGGAGAGTTCTGCTTTTGTTGTGATAGTGTCGTCTAACGTGTTAAGTTTCGCCATGTAGAGCTCAATCAGCCACACAGCCACCATAATCCGTTGCATGATGGCACCTTTTTTCAACGTTGACAGTTTGGTGACCAGGTACTTCCGCAGGGCATCTTGCTCGCCATTGTCGATGAATGTTAGTGCAACCTGTTCAAAGGGTTTTGTGCTTCGCCCGTAGACGGTCGCTGCTTCCATGTATTGGTTCTTGCCGACGAGGTAATCACCAGATGCTGTAGCTACCGCATCCTTTTGCGCTGGTGTTTTAGCATACTGCGATGCCGCCTCGAACTGTTGTGACTTGAGCATGATCTTCCAGACGTCTCTACTCTCATCCGTTACGACGACTTCGAAAATCTCTTGGGTCGTAAAGAGCCAGTATGTGTTCTTCTTCAGGTCTGCCACCAGCCCTAATGCACTTTGTCCTTGGTCAAGCACCACCTGATCGAGAACAACGGTATCATCGAGGCGATTGATGGCTACGATCCTACCTTCGACAAGTTGGAGTATGTGCCACTGACTTAACACCATAGAAGTGACGGCCTCTTGCGTCCTGCGAGCGCGTCCACTAGCAGTTTGTGAAGGTGGTATCTGGGATCGGGGTAGCATCCTCGCGTCACCAAGAACTTTGCCACCAAGCTCAGAAGTATCTTGTGATAAGTACAGTTTTCCATGCAGCACGCCTTGTGATGTCAGCCAACCGAATACTCTCTCCGTCTGTAGGTCCTCTCTGTTGGGGTTCTCTTGGTTTTCCGGAGAGACAGCCAGCAAAGAGGTCGCTGTAGGAGCCACATTCGACACTTCGTGTACGGTGGCAGACTCGCTTTCGAAGAGTTTGGAGAAGATGGATCCGCTTCCCTCGTTTCCTTGGCGTCCGACTTTGCCAGAGAAATGTAGGAATGTGGAGGGCGTAGCGACAATGATGCGGCGCAGATCCGACCGCCCAGGCACCATGTCTGTCCACAGACCTGTTACAGGGCCATCGTTTGTTCTGTATACGCTCTTCAGGTACCGCTCTTCTCTCCTGTAAAACTCGGACGAGGGCTCAATATAAACTTCATACACATTGCCGTCTGAGGATCCAATCAGAATCTCCCTCGTTGAAGCGGTCGGTTGCGAGGGATTCCATGATATGCTCTCGATGACAACTCCTTTCAATCTCGACAATGCCTTCGGCGTCCGCGACTGTGTGTGGAGATAATAGTTCTCGGCGAGGGTAGTGGTTACGATGAGATGGGATGCGGAGGGGTCTAGGAAAAGGCGCTTGATAACGCCAATCTCCGAGGGCTTCTTGGGCAGATCAATATCTAACATGCGAGTAAGCGCTTGTTCTGCTGGAATGCTCTAGCACTCGAGTGTGCATGACGAACCATCTATGTCTGCAGGACTATCCAGATCTATACGCAGAATACGACCGGTAGAGAGAGCCAGGATCAGAACATTATTTGCTACCGCAGCGGCGACAAAGTCAGAGGATATGTTGAACTGCAGAGACACGCGCTCGATGTTGAACATGGGGAGCGAGGCATCCTCTTGCATGTTGCTTGTGCTCGGCGGCGCATACCCGCTCGACATGTCGTACGCCATTCTGGGACGTGGAATCGGCTCGCTGCTATTATACGTTTGGGGTCATATTTTGCGCGGCCCTCTGCTACTCTTCCTGGTCTCTGAAATATCCGAGGCTTCGGTGCGCAGACTTGTCTGTTGTAGTGGAAGCATCTTGACAGCCTTGGTGACGCCCAAGCTCGCGGAGCTTGGGCATCGGCGATGGAGCGGAGATATGCCGGCATTAGACTTAGTCACGTGGACTCGCGTTCCATACGTGCAATTGTCCTCCACCTCGGACTAGACGAGGTGACTAAGAACTAGAGATGACATAACACCCCCAGGAATACTATTAAACACTCTGATTTCTCACATCAACATTCTGTACTCTATTATTTTCAATAAGATGCCTGAGTTGATTGTCCACATCAAACTATTTCCTTGACATATCCTGTGCCACTATGCCCCTCACATATCCAGCTACCCTCTCAGCAACCGGTACACCGTGTCTAATACAGAATCCATGTGGCCATCCCTCTGTATGGTCAATTTCCATGATTGGCTTCCAGTTCTCTCCCATACCATCCACTTCCTCTACATCACCTCTGCCATATCTACCGCGGTTGTTAATCAACGCATCTCGTGTGGCATCCGCAACCCAATGATCAGTGCGTGCAAACAAGAAGCGCAAAATAGGTCGGGGGTGCGGATGCTTGGTTGGTGGCTCGGAGGCGGAGGCTCCCCAGATTTCTTCATCCCAGATGTCGGTGTCGATTTGGAACATTTCATCGCGCGCCATGTGTAGCGCTTGTTGGACGCCGTGTGGGGACTTGATGAATGCCGCAGTTGTATGAGCAGCATCTGGAGGAAAGTCCATGAACTTTGCCACGAGTGTAGCTATGAGAGATACAGGAAGTACATATGTTAAAAAATACACAAAAAGCGCAGCGAACACCGAAAAATTGGAGTTTTTGAGAAAAGGCTGCATCACATGGTTAGTAGCGTTCCGTCAGATAGAGCGGTAACATAGACATACAGCAGCCTTCATCCCACTCTCGCTCCGAGCAATATCCACAACTGTAGGGAACAGTCCTATGGCACCAACAACTCTGGTCTCGAAATCATCACCTGCAAGGCCATGTGCCCTCAGCCTGCGAATGATTTCTAGTGAGATGTATGCGCCGACCGAGTGCCCCACCAAGATCACTCTAACATCCTTTGCACCCTGGTCTTTGACTTCTTCCACCAAGTCTGTCAACTCGTCCTCGGCGTGTCGGATTTGATCTTGTAGTCCGTATGGCGGCTGTTTACGCCATTTCATCGTCTTGATTTCCTTGGAGTTCATTTCAAAGCCTGACAAGCTCCTTCCGTACACCTGGAATTCAACATCGCGGTCGGATGCTGTATTATGGCTCAACAGGCCATAAAGATGGGTCAAGAAAGTACGGTAATACTCGACGAGTCCTGGATTACCAGTAACAAAGTAGATAATGTAGGTCCGCGAGGCCGATTTCTTGCCTGGTTCCGGTGGAGTGCGGAGATGTATCAAGGAGGCTGGTGGAGAAGACATTGTGATATTGCAATCTAGGATAAAATATGGGATTAATAGAGAGGATGTGGGAGGGGAGCGTCTGAGAGCGATTTTATGGGCGTCTTTTGATATCTTGGCTGCGCTAGGTTCAACCCTAGTTGATGCAGATACACTATGCCTTTTATGGCATGGCGCAAGTTGGAGTCAGCCAGACCAGACCCTGAGAAAGGGTCCAGGTGAGATTGCCTGCATGTTTTCTCCGCACAGACGTGCACCAAGACAACAGTTTTATAATTTCATTTCAATATTATGGAAATCGCCGTATGCAATTGTCCAAAGTTATTTAAATGGGTATCACTATCGGGGTTTATACTTCCAATCAACCTCCCCTTAGCAGCCACCGATGGTATCAATTGGGGTAAGGTTTACTCTATCCTGAGGAACAGCTCCATGACACCCACCATCCTCTCCTTTTGTACAGCCTTTTCCTTCTCTTTGCTGCCATCTTTCCACCTCACTAAGCAGTCTGAAAATACGACTGCGTAATTTCTCACAATGAGCTGCCGAATCGCCACCTCGGGGACTTTGCTGAGAGTCTTTCTCCTGACCTGGGCTTGCGGACTGGAAGGAAGACTCATGTCTGCACTTGCTCTCTTATCATTGGAGCCCTCCGGACGTGGCTTCGATACTTCTGTAATCTGATTTGCAATGTTGTGAAGGAAAGAGAGAATGAGTAGAAATGTGGCGTTGTGGTTGGGAGCCGAAGCAAGGATCTCAAGGATAGTCATTTTATCATCATCTGGAGAAGCCGGAGCGTTGGACTTTTCACGGCGGATAAGCGCTTCTTCCAGTCTCTCCCATAAACTCTTCGTGATGACGCCGTCGGTGAGGCTGGAAAGAAAGGCGACAAGGACTTCGGCTAATACCTCGGTTCGTTCTCTACTACGAGTCTCTGGGGTAAAGGCACCAGCGAAAGGTGTGTCGCAGTCTAATGCATCGTAGACTTCTGCGAGCTCATCTTCCCTCTCCGGACTTGCACTAGTTCGTCCTTTGACAAAAGGCCATCCTGCGTTATCTTGCCAGGGTGCCCTCTCTCCTTCGGCCTTTGTCATCTCCCATTCAGCTAGTGTCCGTTCCGTCAGGTCTTCTATCGCCTCAGTCAGCCGGAAGATTTCCCTAGGCACGCTCCATTTTACCTCGCCACGGGCAGGTATCTGATGCTGCAACTTCCGAATACCTCCTTCCGGGATTTTGATTAATTTGTCAATGGACCTGGTAAGCACAGAAGGCAGCCAATGAGCGCGGATAGGCAGAAAGTGGTCTCTTCCATTTGCGATGCGCAGGACGAGGATTTCGTCCAGGACCGAGTCGCCTTCATTGAGATCACGCACGGAACCCAGATTTTCAATCTTGAGTTTCAATTCGACGTTTAGGACATCGGCCGGTTCGAGGGTGAAACGCTGTTGAACATCATCTAGCGTTGGCCTGTCGAGCTTGTCTTGATCCCTGTCGAATGCAACACTGAGCCAAGAAGGAAAAGGCCCGGCAGGTTGGCCTTTCTCTACTGGACGATTTGCAAATCCAAAGGTGGCTGGGACACGTCCAGTGTTGGCTATGGTGATGTTGCGTCGGTAAGATTTTGCGAATTTGACCTCGCCGAAGTCGACTCCCTCAAACGCGCTATCTGTTTTCTTCTCCTCACCAGGTGAAGAGGAGCCAGTAGTACGTTCCACTGCTACGGCAATGGAAGGTCGGCCCTCGTTCTCTTGACGGTCAATCTCACGAGCCACTTCGGCGTGGATAGCCGTTTTGAGATCAGGGACAACGGCATCATACTGGAGCCGGAAGACGGCGTCTAGTGGCTTGTGATCGGAACTGAGAATGTGCATATGAGTGGTGTAGTACTCGAGCAATAGCTCAGCCTAATAGCATCAAGTCAGCAAGATGTGGCAATGTAGCAAGATTTGTAATATCACGATTGACGTACAGATAAATCGTCTTTTGTCTTGATTGGCTCCGGCTCGGGCGTCTCGTTCTCGTCATAATCATCGTAGGTCGCGCCGTCTGTGTCTGGGTCGTACTCGTACATGACGTCGTAATCCCCTGGAACGTCCAAGCCCTTTGATGAAACTTCTTCAGCTATTCGGCGTGCAGCCTCCTGTTCCTTGACTTTGGCCTCATACTTCTGCTTGGATGCTCGGGTTCGATATATGATGCGGTCGCACCAGCTAGGGCAGCGACGCTTCTCGCTCGAGTCAAGAACGCCAACCTTGCCTATATCGTACTTGTAGGATGGCAGGAACTGGATGGGGCCTTCTTCCCAGCCATCATGGAAGGCTTTTCCTTGCTTCATGATTTGGTGCAGCTCATCGTGTGGAAGCAGAGATGAGAGGGTAGTCTGTAGCGACGCTGGATCCAGTTCATCGGGTACAGGAGCCGTGTCACGTGTTTGTTCAGACGATTGTCTCGAATCATATCCCGAGTCGGCGGACGTGGATAGTCTACCTTGGCTCTCTTGAGAGTCCAGGTCTTGGGTGTGAATTGTCAGTAAGCGGCGCACGTCGTCTCCTGGCATGCCTTCGAGACGATAGTTCAAGTCGCCGAACCAAAAGGCGAAATCCTCATCACCAAGACCTTCGCCGCTAGATTGTGAAGGGCCCAAGCCACCGACGATAGGATCGAAACGAGTGCGAGTGGTGATTTGGGCAGCATCCCAGTTCCTTCGGTCTAAGGATGCTTTGTCGGCACCAGCTGCAAGATGGGAATTTATAAAGACAAGACGTGTCGTCTCGCCCAAGACAATGCGCGTTGTCACAGCACCCTTGTTGCCCATGTAACCCATGAGGCCTGTACCAACGCTCGTGGTGCTGACATTCTTGATTTGAGGGAGGATTTGTGGCGAAGCGTAGATGGCCAACCACAGGCCGATGAGCTGCTGATCTGCCACTAGTTTGTAGCCCTTAGGCAAGGCTGCTTCGAGCTGAGCCTTCCATCTATTTGCGGTCGAAGGATCGGTAAAGGGCCGCAGAGCCTCAGCAGCCGAGGTGATGTCGACAATCTCCTGCAGGCCTAACACATAGATGTCGATATCCTCCCCGCCTGGCACAGCTACTACATCATGAGAGCCAGTGTCCGACACGCCCAAACCGCCAAGGGCCCCGTCTACACCGCTGCCCTTGATAAACCATTTGCCAATGTCTTGTTCTGTGCCTTTTTGGGCGGCCGTGTTCCAGGAGCCGACCTTGATGCGCACAGTCTGTGGGCGCGTGTACTCAGCACGACGGTCGTATAGGGCCTGGGAGAGGGATGTCTGTTGTGTAGTGACGGATGCGACGCTCGGGGTGCGCGGGTCAAGAAATGCGCCGGGAATGGTGGCATCTAATCGCTCTGTCGACTGCACAGAGGCGGCTTCAGATGTCATGGCGGGGTGGAGGCGAGGAGAGCGAGGAGAGCAAGGACGGTTGCTGGTGCTGGTGCAGTGACGCCATGGTGGAAGTGGAGATTTGGCAGCACGGGGGAGGGTAAGCGGGCGCCTGGCAATGACGACGCTGAGGCTGTTGTGCTGTGGCTGTGGTGGTGCTAGGTGGGGCCCAAGCTTGTGGGATTATTGTTCAGCACTAACTAATCCCCGCTGCTTATATACTTATTACATAGTACTGTTTACTACATACATGTGTATACATACACATACAACACCATAACACCATGGCGCCGCACCGCAAAGCTCGCGCCAGCCAGCCTCAGCAGCCGCCGCCCTCGGACTACGAGACAGATGTCATACCTTCGGTCGACGTGCCCCTCCCCCCGCCGCGTTCCAACGAAGAGCTCAACTTGTCGGTCCTCCGCCGCCAGTATCCTGCCCTTACGTCAATTGAGCATGTCACCCCCTATGCTGCTCTCTACACTTTCAACCTCGAGACGCAGCAGTGGGAGAAGATGGGCGTTGAGGGCACCCTCTTTATCTGCCAGCTGACACCCTCGCCCTTGGGCGCCGAGCGCTACTGCGCCATCATCCTCAACCGCAGAGGACTCGACAACTTCTACGAGGAGCTCACCAGCAGCGATGAAATGGAGATCTCGGATCCCTATGTCATCATTCAGGGCGAGCAAGTGTACGGCATCTGGATCTTTGCCGATCCACCGCCCTCGTCGACGGCAAACTGCCGCCAGGAAACGGCCGCTAAGATGATGGCCGTCGCCGACAGGGCCAAAGCAAGCCGTGCCGCTCTCCACGGCTCACCAGACGCTGTCTCTTCCACCCCCATGGGCCGCCAGCTGTCGTTGAGAGAGCTCTTTGGCCAGCAGCGTGAGCAAGATGCCGACTTTAGCCTGCACCACCACGATAGTCACCCAATGCCCAGCATGCACCATCCACCACAGCAGCACCAGCATCAGCAGCAGCCATACATGACCCATGCCAGCCCTGCACAACCAGACGTGTTAGGCCAGCTGTTCATGCGCGCAAAGCAGAACCACAATGGCTTAGGATGATATGTTTCCGCCCAATGGCCATGCCACGCACTCCCGCTCGAACACACAAGTGTCTATACCATCCGGAGCGCGCCCATCGATACATGCCCACAACCAGGATCCGGCATCACATCACGCTTGTTCAGTGATATGCAAGTCCCGCTAAGACGCGTCTCCATGCCTTCCACGTGCTCCCTTGGCTGACCTCACAAACGGAAAGCAAACATCAGCAACTTACTTAGGTCTCCTGTTCATCCACACTCGGTGACTTGCTACTTTCCTCAAGGACGCATAGCATCTGTTGCCAGAGAAGCGTAGTAGATACAGAATGCTGGTCATCGTCTACACAGCATCATTAACGCAAGTCTGTTCGGGCATATCCACTGGACCATGATATTGTTCAGTGCGGTTCTCTCAAGTTGGTAATTAATAGTCAAAAAGATACCCGTTTTCAAGATGAATCTTATCGTTGAAAATCGCAAACTTTTGGTGCCACGCAAATAATCAGTCTTTTCGCGCTCTGATACCACTCGTCAATGGCCTGTTAGGGCTGGCTGGCAATGACCTCACCCCTCCTGCGCCCGCACACCCCTGTCATTTACCCCACGGCGGGGCATCCACCATCCCAAAAATTTCCCGTCGCAACAGTCCAACATCACAAACGCACAGCACTGCACCATTCAGACCCAATCGCATACCATGACAGAAAGTGTCCGAGTTCTCCTTGTCGGCAATGGCGGCCGTGAGCACGCTTTGGCCTGGAAATTACTGCAGTCGCCTTCGACTGAGCACATTTACGTTTGCCCCGGTAACGGAGGGACCGCAACCCTTTCGTCAAAAGTCACCAATGTTACACACATTAAGGACGCTGATTTCGCCGGCCTTGTGGAATTTGCCAAGGAGAAGCAAGTGAACTTGCTAATACCAGGACCCGAGGCACCACTAGTCGCAGGCATTGTAGATTACTTTAAGGAGAATGGACTGGAGAGCATCAAGGCGTTTGGCCCTTCAAAAAAGGCCGCAACCATGGAAGGCAGCAAGACTTTTAGCAAGGACTTTATGAAGCGACACAACATTCCCACCGCAGCGTACGAAAATTTCAGCAAATATGAGGATGCCAAAGCCTACCTAGACACCATTTCACACTCGGTAGTGATCAAGGCCTCGGGCCTGGCAGCAGGAAAGGGCGTCATCATCCCCCAGACCAAGGAGGAAGCCCACGCGGCGCTCAAAGACATCATGCTAGATCGCGAGTTTGGCGCAGCGGGTGACGAGGTGGTCATTGAGGAATTCCTTGAGGGCGATGAGTTGTCGATTCTTACTTTCAGCGACGGCCGCACCATCAAGTCTCTCCCACCTGCACAAGACCACAAGCGCATTTTCGACAACGACCAGGGCCCCAACACGGGAGGCATGGGCACATATGCTCCAACGCGCATTGCACCACGCGAGGTCCTCGATCGCGTCGACAAGGAAATTCTACAGCCCACCATTGACGGCATGCGAAGCGAGGGCTTCGAGTTCAAGGGCGTGCTGTTCACCGGCCTGATGATGACCAAGGATGGACCAAAGGTACTCGAGTACAACGTCCGCTTTGGCGACCCCGAAACACAGAGTCTGTTGGCGCTTATGGAGGGCGACCTTGCCCAAGTCATGGTCGCATGCGCAGATGGACGGTTAGCAGATGTCGATGTTAAGGTATCCAACCGTTCTGCCGCTACCGTAGTAGTCGCGGCCGGCGGATACCCAGGCAGCTATGCAAAGGGCACAGTCATGAAGCTAGATGCCACACCAGAAGGTGAGCTGCAATCTCATTATTCTAAACTAAACCGTACAGGTTGTGCTAACTATAGACAGATGTCGTACTCTTCCACGCCGGAACTTCCTTCTCCGACAACACACTCAAGACGTCTGGCGGTCGCGTCATCGCATCCACAGCAACAGCGCCTACGCTCGAGGAAGCCGTAGCAAAGGCCTACAAGGGTGTCGAGTGCATACACTTTGAGGGCATGCAGTACCGCAAGGACATTGCGGGGCGGGCGCTGAAGAAGCAGTAAAGAAAAAAGTGCGTATTTGGGAAATTATTGGGCAGTTGGCGTTGTTTTTTGTTTACGAAGAAGGGGGGGGGGAATACCACATACACAACCCGGGTCAGTAGCAAAAAAGGTCTAGGCATCTACAATGGAGTCTCCTACCTTTGCTATTTTTCTACATTGTATTGGAATATTAGTTAGCTCCTGGGAAGCGGTCTTGTCAGAAAAAGACAGTCTTTTCGACCAAAAGAGCCAGGATGCTGTGGCATGAGGAAATTAGCCCCGGTTCTACCCTCTCAATCGCTATCATCGCTCGGACATTTGGACTATGTCTCCTTTTTCTTCTTCTTTTCCTTTTTGTGCTTCTTCTGCTCGGGTAAAGTAGACTCGTCTTCCTTTTTCCGCTTCTTAGTTGGGGCGTCGTTGTCGTCGTCGTCGTCTATCTTCTCCTTGGGGCCAGATTCGCCGCCGCCACCACCATTTGCAGCTGGAACATCTGTGTCTTGATTCGCCTTTTCCTTTTCTTCTTGCTCTTTGAGCTTTGCTGCCCTCAGCTCGTTCTTCTGTCGTATCGCGTCCTTTAGCACGGGGCTGTCTCGCTTGAGGGCGTCGGCTGCAGCTGCAACGCCGGCCTGAACTTTGTTCTGACCTTCGCCGCTACCGAGCCACTCGTCGTGGTAACCCCACCCTGTGAGATAGATACCCATGTGGTAGCACTGGACGCTGTTGGAGTCGTATGTCATGGGTTTCTCCTCCTTTGTGGTGAGCTTGACGCCCTTTCCGAGGACCAGCTTGTTAAGTTGGTCGCGCGCTTGAGGGTTCTCAATAATCTTCTCCCTGAAGTTGAGCAACTGTGGCGCCCAAAGTTCTGTAAGCCATGCCTCGGCGGCCTCGAAACCGTGCGCTGGATCAGAAAGAACGACTGCTGCGACGTAGGCCTCGACCATGTCGGCTACGACTTTGTGATATTGCTTCGAGTTCTTGTCCCATAGGGCCCGGTGCTTCAGTCGATCGGGAAAACCGTACGCCTCGGAGAATTTGCCCAGTGTCGAGTTCTCGACCAGACGTTCGCGCCACATGCACAGCTCCGGAACGTCGACGTGTGGGAAGCGATTGTATAGAGCGCGCGAGGCAATGAGTTCGATGTAGGCATCGCCGAGGAGCTCAAGACGTTCGTAGTCTAGGCTGAGGTCTCCGCCCAGCGAGGAACCAGGGATACTCGGGTCGTAGATGGCGGATCGATGGGTAAAGACGGCTTCGTGGAGATGGGGCTCAGCGATGGGGGGCAGAGGAGGCAGGTCTTTGGATTCTTGGACTTTGCGATATATGTAATCGGGAATCGCGACCTGGACGGCCTTGTCGGGTCGCTTTTCGTCGAGTTCGCGTTTCGCTTGCGATGAAGTGCCGTGGTCGCGAGCGCAAAGCCGGCGTCGTAGCTCATTCGCGTGGTAGAGGATTTCCTTGTCCGCCCCGGGAGTCGTCTCTTCGGCGACGAACCTATCCAACAAAGCTACCAGGCCCGTTTGCATATCCGCCGAGGAGAGTTCTGGTTGTGGTCTATTGCGCTGGAGAGGCGGGTAGTGCTTCTTGCTGTGGTGATCGCGGCCATAGTGATTGAAGCCTCCTCCTCGTTTATGCGATGCCATACTGGTGGACGAGTGGCCGGCCCAGCTCCTAGTTCTCTTTTTGTTATGGAAGCGGGAAAGAGCATTGACGACCAAAAAGTTACATGACAGGGCGGCGGGCGCTAGTTGCGGGCGCCAAGGGCACCTCCGCCGGCCATTTCACGTCGACGGCGCACCAAGCAAGAAGACCAAGCATTGCAAGCACAATGGCAGTCCCACGACAGCGGGTGTTGGACCTGATGAGGGTACGTTACTTTCTTTTTTCGCAGTCGTCATCTTCCGGTGTCTAGGTGGTGGGTTGGGTCTGTATCCTGACATGCGCGCAGGTCCAGTGCAAGGTCTTCAACACCACATATAATCCCGAACGCCTGCGCCTAGGATCGCGCATCCTTCACCAGCGCCTCAAGGGTCCGTCAGTCGCCTCATACTACCCGCCGCGGATAGGAACAATTCCCCAGCTGCGAAGCCTGTACCCCGAACACCAGATCATAGATGAGGCAGAGGAAGACTGGTTAGAGCATCTGAACGTTGCAAAGTCAAGAGGCAAGGGTGCGCCCAAAAAGAAGAGGACTGCTGCTGGTATGTACCCACTGATATGTCTTGCTAATATTGTTGTTGACCCTTTGCAGAATCCAAGAAATTCAACAAGAGGAAGTAGGCAGATTAGCAGCCTACCCCTGCGGTCTAAATGTACATTATAGAGGCGTATGCAATCACTACACTTTGCGTCTGCGTGTCGGCCCATTCACCTTATAACTTACCTTTGGCTGCCTTTTTCACGTGTGCTGCCCATTCTCTATCAAACTCATCGTCCCACGCTGTTCGGACAAGACGGTGTTCGGGCTGTACTGGCACATTCACCTTATGATGCTCGACTGTGCAGTACATCGTCTTCCCGTCCAGACTGGTCATGTCGCCTCTGATCATTGCCATTTGCTTGCCTATACTCACCACTTTACTGTTGAGCCTGACCGTTACTCCAATCGGCACGGCTTTGAGGTAAGAAATGTTGAGCGAGCGTGTCACGCCGCCCATGAATTCCCAGAAGCCGGGCCGCGCCAGAGGGCATAGTGCTGTCGTGGTGGACATGTCGAATATGACGCCTGCAGCTCCACCGTGCATGACATCTAATTCACCATTCAGTTTGGGCCGTTGGCTATGACAAAAGACGTACTGTTCAGGTTGGAGAAGTTGGGTGCCATGAACATTTCATACGTCACTGTTCCGTCGGGCGTGGCATCCACGAGCTCCAGGCTATTCATGACTTGGTTGTCAAAGTCCTCGGGATCGTTAGTCCAAGCAACCATTTGAACGACAACTCGCGCATCTCACAATATGATCTTTTGGCCGCTTTGCCGCAAGCAGTTTGTACTTGTCGAACATGGCGCGTACAGCTGCCATTGCTTTTTGCCGATCAGCCCCTGGGCCACTCATCATGGGTCTAGAGAAAGGTAGAGTGCTATGGTCGATAGGCGAGATGTGTATGTATCAGCATGTATGTTATCTGGGATATCGGAAAGACGCCCGTTCCCGACGACGCCATCGGCTTGGTCGCGTGGTAGTGAAGGTGGACAATCGGCAGGGCGGCGCGCTTGGAAGCCTCGGCTCATTCGCTCGAGCATTGCATGATGATCATCCAAGGGGGGCCCGCCTTGCTCAAGTCACTCCATCCATGTCTCCACCGAAAGGGTTGCCAACCTGTCCTTTTTATTTTCCTATCGCGCGCCGCCGGTGTCTGTGTGCGTGTCTGGGTCTGTGCAATGACTCTCGAGCATGTAGTTCCCATGTATAGGTAGTAAGCTCGACTTAGCGGCGTCTGGGACTGCCCATGTTGTTTCATCCTCATGGCTCGCCCTCGTCTAGCGTACGGCGATACTTTGTGATGACAAGACTGACAAACTCAACGCGCTCCCGCCACCAATAAGCCGACAACCACAGCCGACCCTATTCTTGGTCCAGTACAGTAATACACAATCGCCTAGATGCTGGCTTGGTAGTCCGAGCTGTTCTTAATTGCTCCCCCCTTCGTCCAACATTCGCTACGTTTTCTTTAATTAGACGGGCCGCCGCCCAGTAGTACCTGTGTCCACATCACCCTTTGCTCCCTCATTGTCTTGTACAACCAGACATCACAAGCAAAACATCACCATGGGCTCAGAGACAGCGCCCGTGCCCGCGACACTGCGGAAGAGGGTGTTGAAAGTATTATTCATTTCCCTCCTACTTGACTTGGTACGTCATCCCTGGTCGCAACTAACTGAGCGCATGCACTGACAGCCTTGGGCTTTAGATATCATTTACATTCATCCTCCCGCTTTTCCCCAAACTAATCGAATTCTACCGTAACCACGAAACCGGCGACCCAAATACGATCCTTTCCAAAATCCTCGCCGGTCTCAACGCATACAAGAACTCGTTCGCGAAGCCCATCAACTCTCGTTACGACATTGTCCTCCTCGGCGGCGCACTCGGCTCGCTCTTTTCCCTTTGCCAGGCGATCGCATCGCCCTTTATTGGTACGCTCTCAGACAAATATGGAAGACGTACTGCACTGCTGTGGTCCATGATTGGCAACATCTTTAGCGTAGCACTATGGGTTGCAGCCACAGACTTCCGGACTTTCCTTGCGAGCAGGATCGTGGGTGGACTGAGCGAGGGCAACGTGCAGCTTGCCATGGCGATTGCTACAGATATCAGCGATGACAGCCAGAGAGGGTCAACAATGGCGCTCGTGGGTGTCTGCTTCAGCATCGCTTTTACATTTGGACCAGCTCTAGGTGCATATCTCTCAACGCTGCAGATCATGGACAAGAACCCCTTTGCCATGGCAGCGGGCTTCTCCCTGTTTCTCATCGTCTCGGAGACAATTTACCTATACGTCAGCCTTCCAGAGACGCTTCCTTCGGCAAGCAAGAGCGAGAATGGCACGGCAAATGGAAAAGTCAAGGACGCGGACAAGCCGAAGCCTCGTATCCGGACGAACTCACACTTTCTTCTCAACGCCACTCATTTTACCTTTATCCTGTTCTTCAGCGGCATGGAGTTCTCACTTCCTTTTATGACCTATGACCTGTTTGCCTACCAAGCAAAGGATTCGGGACGGCTACTCGGGTTCATTGGATTGGTTGCATCACTACTCCAGGGGTCAGTGGTGCGCCGCATGCACCCACTCAAGGTGGTCCAGATGGGAGTCGTCAGCTGCACCATCGCCTTTGTTATGTTGGGCAGGGTGCAGACGCAGGGCGCACTCTATGGGGCAGCTGCCCTTTTGGCCGTGACGAGCGCGACGGTTGTGACTGGCTTGAATAGTTTGTCATCTTTCGAAGCTGGCGCGGGCGAACGTGGAAACAAACTTGGAAATCATCGAAGTTTCGGTAAGCTCAAAAGATACTGCTGTGAAACCGCAATCGCTAACTCCCTCTTTCTCAGGCCAAATCGGACGTTCTCTAGGACCCTTGGTCTTCTGCACGCTATACTGGTGGGCAGGCCGAGAAACAGCATACGCGACCGGAGCTGCGGGTATGGTGGCCGTGTGCGGATTGGTGTTTGGAGGGCTGAAGGTACCGCCTGGCACCGAAAACATTGGCAAGAAGAAGCAGAAGACAGTCGAGTAGATGTCATGTTTGGCTGTGGGTGTTGATTCATGTATAAATACAATAGCATATTTTTCTTTTTCTGTTCAACGCCATGTGGTTTCCTTGATCGAGGTCATGTCCAGTACCATGGCAGGTCTGTAGCTACACAAGCCTAGAGTGAATACCAGACGTGTTGGTCTGGTGTTAATAGTTAATAGTTAACAAATAGCATGCACGTCTGAACGCCATGATTATTAGTCCGACGCTCGGTACGCCTGCCGCCGACCCGTTACCCGCACCAACCCCATTCGTTGGCTTAGGGAGCAGATCTACACGTAACGGCGCAAGCTCCCCCGCACATACGAAGTCTAGCACCCAAGTGGACCTCGGCTTCTGCTTCTGTTTTGTCCAAGTCGCCAGGGATGGAGGCCAGGAGCTCGGTTCGGCGTGCTGGCTCCCTAGAAGGACCGCTATCGCCTTCATTTTCGGACAATGCTTCGGTCAGTCCGCTTACTACTTAAACAACAAGCACGCCCCATTGTGCAATAAAGCGGCGGTCAGGAACATGGACCCTACAACCACTGCTGCAGCCCTGGCTGCTGCTTCGGCTCTTGCTGCATACGTCAATGCAAAGTATCACGTTGCACAGGACATCAAGACGCTGAAGTTCAAGAGAAGCTCGACAAAGTACTATGAGCAGCTTGGTATGCATCTCCCACATGTCCCCTTCATCGGCTCGCGACAGAAACGTCTACAATCACTCTCTGCCTATGCTAAGCCTGCACAGTGAAAACAAACCGCCAATCCCCGTGGTACAATTTCCCCCCGCAAGTAGAAAGGTACGGCGACAACTTGTGCATCTGGTCCCGCGCCAAAACCTACACATGGCGACAAGTCCACGACCGCGCCGTGCAGTGGGCGAACTTCTTCCTTGCACAGGGCGTGAAACCTGGCGACATGGTTGCCACCTACCTCATGAATAGTGCCGATTTCATGGTCATCTGGCTCGGTCTCTTCTGCATCGGTTGTGCTCCAGCCCATTTGAACTACAACCTGAAAGACGAGGGACTAGTGCACTGCTTGAAAATCGCCGGAGTAAAGCTTGTGCTTGTTGATGAAGACCAAGGTTGTTCTGAGAGATTCGAAGATGCCAGAGCCACAGTGGAAGACATGGGCGTCCGTGCGTTCAAGGTGGACGAGAACATGCTGGCAGAAGTTTATCGGGGAAGCACTGTGGTACCAGGCGATGAATACAGGGAAAACGTACGCGGGAGGGATCCCACATGTTTGCTCTATACGTCTGGAACAACCGGACTACCAAAAGCAGGCAAGTACATGGTCAGCCGGTTTCACGAGAGGGGAGATCCAGACAATCTCAACTTCGGCCAGAGGGCTGGCCCAGACGGCGACCGGTGGTACTGCTGCATGCCTCTATTCCACGGAACGGGAGGAATGCTTACTCTGAGTGCAATGACGAGTGGCTTGAGCGTGGCGATAGGACGCAAATTCTCCGTCCGCACATTCTGGGACGATATCCACGACTCGCAGGCGACAATGTTTGTCTACGTTGGTGAAACAGCGCGGTATTTACTCATGGCGCCACCACACCCGAAAGAGAGGGATCATCGACTACGCGGCATGTATGGCAACGGCATGCGCCCAGATGTTTGGCGTCGGTTTAAAGAGCGCTTCAACGTCCCAGAGGTCATGGAATTCTTCAACTCTACCGAAGGCGTGCTGGGTCTGGTTGTCCACAACAAGGGCCCTTTTACGGACAACGCTCTTGCTCAGCACGGTGCTCTTGTCAGAGCAGCACTGCACAATATATACATACCTGTAGCTGTTGACCCAGAGACTGGAGATCTGCTACGCGACCCCAAGACTGGCTTTGTCAAGCGTAATTCGTACAATGAAGGTGGTGAAATTCTAGTTGCCGTACCCAGCGAGGACACGTTTGCTGGATACCACAACAACCCCAAAGCCACGGCGAAGAAGTTTGAAAGAGACGTTTTCAAGAAAGGAGACCTGTACTATCGATCTGGCGATGCGCTAAGAAGAGATGACGATGGTAGATGGTTCTTCATGGACAGACTGGGCGACACATTCCGCTGGAAGAGCGAAAACGTATCAACGGCCGAAGTCGCCGAAGTGCTAGGAAAGTTCCCTGGCGTTGATGAAGCTATCGTATACGGTACACTGGTTCCCAGGCACGACGGTCGTGCTGGCTGTGTTGCTCTCCGCTTATCCCCTGGCACCAGCCCCGAGGCATTCGACTGGAAGGCCCTGCTGGAATATGCGCGCGGCAAGTTGCCAAGATATGCAGTACCCGTGTTCCTGCGGCTGGTCAAAGAAGCAAGTAATACAGATAATCAGAAGCAGAACAAGGCGCCGTTGAGGAATGAGGGCATTGAAATCGACAAGTACGGAACTAAGGTTGTTGGGGGTGAAAATGATATCGTCATGTGGATGAAGCCTGGTGAAGATAGATATGTGAGATTTACCCTGCAAGATTTGGAGGTGCTGAGAAGTGGGAAGATTACGTTGTAGTAGGTAGTTGAAGGTCAAGATATATATTACTCTAATTGCCGAATATACTTACTAACCGTCAGACGCCTTCCAGCCCGTCTCTCTTCACTGTAAAGTGCTGACATGCGTACTACTTACGTACATACTTCCATACACATACCTGGCTGCGACGTAAATATCTCCGCGCCTTTTATGCCGTAGTAATCCCTCTATATTTTCCATGCTTTGCATTCCAAATATCACTCATTCCGTGTATCAAACAAGGCACTCAAATACTCATGTGAGCGTTCGACACCAGTGATTCCAAATGCTCTTTTTTGGCCCAAACAGCGGGCCGAATACCTGTTCGCCCCCCTCCCCCCCTCCCCCACCCCCCAGACTTGCCCGCTTATCAAAAGGCGAGGTGTGATTGGTCCGGTGCGGACCATCAAGGTACCATTGTAATGCTTGGTTATGATAAGTGAAGAAACAACGCAGACATTTGCCAAGGGTTGGTTTGGTGGGGGGGGGGGGGGGAGAGTAGTTTTTTTTCTCCTGCAGAAAAAAAAAGTTGGGTTGAGCGGGACATATATGTTTCTTTTTCGTCATTATTACAGGCGGGTTGGTTACGCACGGCTGGACACTACTACGATGTTGAAATTGGAGAAACGATTGGTTCGCAAGCTTGGTATGTACATAACCGCTGTTCGTTTACTCCTTTTTGAGGGGTATCTTTTTCTTTTACTCTTGCAGGATCTAACGAACGCGACAGATTGCTTCATTTTGGTTAGATTCATTTGTTTGATACTCGGGAGTTTTTTTTTTATAACTGAGTTGGGAGAGCTAATATCTGGCAACTAGGTGTATTGTTGTGCGGCGTATTTTTTCAATTATTTGGATCGATCTGCGTTTTCTAATGCTTATGTCTCCGGACTGAAAGAGTCACTCAGGCTGGAAGGCAACCAGTACAGTATTCTACTGTCCATGTTCACGGCTGGTAGCTGTACTGGTCAGATACCACACGCCCTCATCATCCAAAAGGTTGCGCCTCGCTTTTGGCTACCCTTTACCTTGATAGTATGGTCTGGCTTGACCATGTGTTCAGCGGCATGCAAGACATACGCTCAACTTTGTGTCATCCGCTTCTTGCAAGGGTTCTTCGAAGCAAGTCTCTACAGTGGTACCATTTATATCCTTGGATCCTGGTATAAGCCATTGGAGATTGCTAAAAGAACCGCCATCTTCACGGCTATTGGACAGATAGGCAGCATGTTTGCCGGTGTCATGATGACGGCAATGAATCAAAGTCTACATGGACAAACCTCTCTTGCAGGGTGGCAGTGGGTCTTCATCATCAGTGCGTATGTTCTTTCACATAGCTAATGTCGATACTAACACTCTGAAGATGGTGCTATGGGAATCCCCTTTGGCATCTTTGGTCTGTTGTTTTTTCCCAACCTGCCTGAGTCCCCCAACACTCCATATCTCAGCAAAGAGGAAATACAACTGGCACTGGATCGTCTGCCGCCCAAGAGAGATTGGGGTCACGACATCAGCCTCAAATCATTGGCCAAGCGGCTTCTTGCGAAACCAGACATTTACATACTATCCCTCTACTCCATGATAGGATGCGCACTCGAAGCCATTGTTCTTCAGGGTCTGTTCTTACTCTGGATGAAAGCCAACATCGAGCAGTTTCCCTCGTATGCAACGACTACTTATCCTCTGGGCGTCCAAGCAGTATCTATAGTTTCAAACATTGGAGCTGGCTACATCATAGACATGACCAACCGCCGTATACCCATGGTCATTCTCGCGGGAGTTTTGCAGCTTCTTGTGGCAATCCTCCTGCTGATTCCTAATCTTTCTACCGCTGGTGTGTTGTTTGCGTTCTACCTGGCTGGCACTTCATACATCGTGAATCCAGTCATGTATGGATGGGCGAGTGTCATCTGCCAGCGTAACGGCGACGACGCCTCGAGATCAGTCATACTTTACATCATGAGTATGGTGCAATCCATACTATACACCTTTTGGGGCATTGCCTTTTATCCTGCAACAGATGCACCGTACTGGAAGAAGGGCTACATCACAATGATTGTCGTGGTGTTTGCCTTCTTTGGTTCGACAGCAGCTGTGCAATGGGTGCGTATGATGTTGTGAAATGTAATGGCTGGAAACTGACCATAAACGTAGTTGGACCAAAGGTCAAAAATCATAGCGAGCAGTGAGGAAGATGTCGTGTACATTGAGGGCGAGACAGCTGATGATCGGAACAAGAAGGACTGAGGCCTTGCATAAAAGATAGGGGTGGGCATACTTTTGTGAAGATACAGATTCGTTGAAGAACTTCGTATCCGGTACGATTCGCCGCTACTAAGCTTGGGTCAAGTGATCCAATATCGAATCGAATCGAATCGAATCCTATAATCCGGGGGATATACTCACACCCGCAATATTCCCCTTTGCATGGTCAGAAGGTGGTCCTGTGCTGTCTGCGCCGAGCCGTTGTACGGGTTCGTATCTTTGTCTTCGAGAATACGGCACCTCTGCCGAAATCACTCCCGCCATTCGATTTTTTTTTATGCAAACGGTGCGACTTGGTGCCCTTTCAATGCAGAATGAGGCCATTACATGGATGCGCATTTGGTTGTAGTTGGCAGTAAGAATTTGTGTATAGCCAGGAGTAACCTTGAATCACACAGGAAAAAGCAGTGAATCACACTCAGGCAAGTAGGGTGAAGTGGGAAGGAGTGCAGGTTGGGCACACTTGCTAGGGTTTCGAGTACGGGAAGGCAAAGTTTCATGACGGCTCAAGTGTTTGAACGGAGCTATATCGTAGAAACTTAAGGGACAGGTATTGTGTAGAAAAAGGACGTGCACAGGTTGTTCCCCAAGACAAGCGAAGACGAGTCAAAGTCATGCCATAGCCAAGATGGAATTCGAGTTATTGAAGCTTGGGCCGACTCATTTGCAAGCTTCTCTCCGACCACACAGACACCGTATTCATGTCCGATATCAATGCAAGTGCAACGTTGGACACAGGTCGGATAGAAGCCGAAGCGAACACCGTATTCGATGTTTCTTCGATGGTGATGGGCACGGTAGCACTGTGCCAACCACGGTATACTGGCTATAGTAGTCGACATATGGCAGTCCGGGTACGACTCTTTGTTTGAGACGGAGGCGTTGTTTTATGCCCGTCCAGCAATAGAGAGAGAGGGGAGAAGGCACGCCACGTACGGTCTCTGGGTCAGGTGTTTCGGGAGGTGAAGCCGTTGATGCGTAGGATACATTGGATATGGAATGATGAGATGTGACGACTGGAGTAGGCAAGCGTGGCGGCGGGCGACAACTGATGAGAAGGATCGGCAACGGCCTTGCGAGTTTCCGGTATCGCAGAACGTGGGGCAGGACTGGATTACCGGAAGGGGTCGCAAACAACCGTTGACTTGGCACACGTATCCGCTGAACGTCGCGAGGGTGCTGTGGAGATTGGAGTTCGGGCCTAACGGTTAGCTAAGGGCTTCATGAATTGATACTAACACACTTCCGCCGGTTGCATTACCTGCGTACACATACTACAATGGTCCAACTCCTCCGGTGCCAGGATGAAGCTGCTCGTCAAATACGTTGGTATAATCTTAGAATCCAACAACGTGATTAGTGTTGCAAAACGCCCCTGAACGCCACGCAATTTCCTAGTCGCCATTTGTCGACTGTTGAACTAGGAGGAGAACAGGCCCCTTCAGGCGTTGTTACAACGGTGGCTAGTGGGCAATCCCAGCCTCGCCGTTACCTCGTCCACCATCACGGTCCAGACGGTGCACCATGGACTTGCCTACGCGCCTCACCTTTGACCTTTTCCAACTACAGATTTTTTTCTCAGCCTCAATCTCTTTTTGTGTGTGTTTTACTAATCCCTTCAGCCTCGGTTACCTCTTGGCAGCGACATCCATCCATCCATCCAGCCAGCCCGTGTTCATGGGATGCCTTGACCTCTAGGGCGTGAAACGCCAAATGTGCGCACTGCATTCTCTAGCCCAGCTTCATTATGCCATCCGGTGAAGGTGACAACAGCTGCTCGCTCACGGTCGCGTTCGCCCACAGTTCCCACTGGCCGTGACGGTTTCTCAAGCGAGAGGCCGTTCCACCGGATTTGCCCCGTCACGTTTCAGATGGTCATTGTGCCATGCTGCTCGAACACTACGAGTCTCGGATGAGGGCCCCAGACCCGTCCCGCTCCTTTACAGTCTCCTCACTTACGAGTAATGACCTATGATTGCAGCCACAGAGTGGGGCTATACCGACTGCAAATATCATCCACCCTCATCTACGCTGGACCAGGGAAAGTAGTGTACAGCGCCTGATGCCTGCACATGAGCCGCACAGCCAATAATACCAGCCATGTCACTCTTCTCCCACGCGGAAACCCATCCCCGTAGCGCTTTGACAGCATACACTACTTTACCTAATCGACAAGTACCCGCCACGGTGCCAGGCAAAAAATGTTTATGGGGCCGGATGAGCACGCAGCAAATCAGAGCAAGGCAAAACGCTTTAGTATGCATGTTTCGCCTCGAAAAACTGGATTACATGGTACATCAGGCCTACACCCGGTCCGTTTTCGCGACAAGCGTCGAACCTGCTAGCCATGGGTTCGCACATGGCAAGGAGAAAGTGGCATGCTACCTGCTTGTCGTCTACTAGTAAGGAATGAGGATGAAGCTCAATATATCAAGCCAATTTGGCAATAGTGGCCCTCTTTTGTCGATAAGAGCTGGACTCTGAGTCTGTCAATCCTTCTGTATGCATGCAGTGGCGCAGGCTTCGCCCACATATTACTACGCTCTGCTGATTCAAGTTACTCCCATCACAGCGAGCATCCTTCGTTTTCTTCTTCTTCTTCTTCTTATCCGTTGTGTCTGCTTCGTTCCGGTTTTCCGTTTCTTTCGATACTTTCTTCTACCAGATTGCCCACCATGGCCCACATAGCTTCTCCATACGTGCTCGCTCCTCGGTTACCCGATTCTTCAGTCCGCGTCAACCTTAACGACTACGCCGCTACCGCTAAGGCACACGCCACGTCAAGAAAATACATGCACGACCTATTTCCAGGCCAGAATAAGCCGTTGCCTCTCCCAAAAGATACCGAAACGCAGAACCGACCCGTTTACGCAAAGCCATCCCACAGTTCGCGCCAACGACATGTCTTGGAAGAGCGGCTCGCCCCGATTCGAGCCTCAGAGGACTCCATCGACCGACGATCACTAGAATGCCTAATTATGCTCGATGAATCACCGGTCCGCGGACCTCAGAGGACGATGATGACTTCGAATCCTGTCCCAGCACCTCTCAACGTCACCAAGCGTACTCCTTCTCTTACGCGTAAAAACAGCACAACACAGCCACCGATTGAGCGGACACGCTCAGTGAAAGCTCCTAGCCACACAAACGTGACAAGGCGCTCGCTACTCCAGCTTCCACAAGGCCTACTGGGGCATATACTGGCTTACGTTTTTGCCGAAGAACGTGCTGTATCGATCACACCATATCAATCGCGGGTTACACCGCAGCGCTACCGACATCGCCATGGTCCCAATGCTGTGGATATCCGATCCGTCATGATGCACCCTGCTCTCCGCGTGTGCCAGCAAATGCGCGCAATTGGACTAAACATTCTGTACCGCGACAGCCTGTTTCTCATCGACTTGTGCGATGCTCGCAGCGCTTCACATTCACACGAAAAGGACGCGGGCGGCAAACACTGGGACTGTTGGACAAATGGGAAACCACCTCAAATGGTCCAGTCCGTACTCACAAACGCGTGCAACCTGCGCTTCCAGCTGCCCGTCTCCGGCATGGAAACGGGACCGTTGCTCGGGGCGGTAAAGCGGAAAAAGGACAACCACGAGGACGGATGCGTTGTCGTGGAATCTCTGCGCAGCATCGCAACGCTGATTACCGGTCTACCAACGGTTCTGCAAGCAGCACGGCCGCGGTCATCAAGTCCAGTCGCACCAAAAGCGCTGCGGCGCAAGCTGAGCATTCGCGGGCTGAAGCGCCATGACTCGCTGGAATTCGTATGCCGAGGCGATAACGCGCTCCAATCTCCGCCGCCGAGGGAGCCGCTCAGTACGCTCGAAGTCGTCCTCGTAAAACCGGGTGCGACGGCCGAAGTGCACCCCCAGACGCTCGAGATGATTGCAATCTGCAGCAGCATCCCCGTCTGGGACAACCTCGAGTACCACCTCGAGCTCGAAGGCGTGCGTAAGCTCTGGGCCAAGCGCACAATGGGAAAGTGGTTGGGCAGTGAACCGGATGCGGGTAAATTGGTGCTTGGTATGTTTTAGAACACGACTCGTTTTTATCGTCTTTTTTTTTCGATCTTTTGCTAATTTCAGGGTTAGATCTTCAGGCCCTGGGCTATCCGCGCCCCATGACTGAGTCGTCGCCGCAGAATTCCGGCAGGGTAGACATGTTTCACAGGCACAGATCGAGACCGACGCAGGACTCCATCGATGGCCTCACGCATAGGTATCTGCAGGCTCCCTCAAAAAGTAGTCGAAATCAAAGAGCATCCAAAGAGGGTACCATGGCTCGGAAAATGCGGGAAATGGAGAGCCTTTCCAAGATGTCGCTGCTACGAGGGGCCAAGCAGCCGCCGGCAGTGGAAGAGATTCAGCGGATTGCATCGGATATCCGGCGAGGAACGCACTAGACATCAATATCATCAGTGTATACCCCCTGCCTATAATACTCGTGTTGCCAAGTGCCATTTTGGGAAGGAACGGAATTGCTTAGTGATGTACCTCTGACCATTTCCCTCTATCCAACCGTTGTCTACCATTTATCCCAAGTCATGCTTGCGTATTCTAGGCACTCTAGGTTGCTGCTCTCTATTATAGTTTACCATCTGAGAACTGTACGACAGCCCACTTGCCACTCCATGCCCACTTTCGTGCTCCGCTATCTCCTCCACCACCCTCCATAGCTCGGAGTCGCTCGTCTTCACATTCTTGCAATCCAACCACCACGTCGGCTTTGCAGGTACGGAGCGCAAGTACACGGAGCCCTGAGCCGGGGCCCATGGGACCAATGGCCTCGGTGAAAGGTGTTGTAGCGGGCCAGGCAGCCTATCAAAAAAGTTTAGCAGAGTCAATACATAAAGTGCTGACCACACTCACATCAGCAGTTAGCTTCCGGTAGTTCAAATCGCCTTTGAAGATGACCAACTCGCTCTCCTTAAGGTCTTGATAAAGCTCCGGTTCTACCTTGGGAAGCCGCCAGTAGCTTCCAGCCGCAGTCCAGAAGTCGTTGGGCCGCAACATCAACTGGCCCTCAGCGTGCATGGTACTCCAGTGCTGGAACAAAAACTTCAGGTTGGAGCTCTCGGTTTCCGAAAGAGGTACAACCTCCTTTCCGTTGTGCTTCTCATCGTCGGATAGTGCTTCATAGAAGCTATGTGGGTCGGCCAGTGCGGACAGAAGGGCGCCGAAGTCGGCCGGCAATACATCTGACACGAACCAGGGGATAGATTTGGGGTGGAAAACGACATTCGTGGCAAGGCCAGAGGCGATGAGATAGCCAGCCAGTATCAAGTCGACAAAAAGCTCAAAGCCGGCATTGTCGAGGACAATGTCAACGCGCCTCTCTTTCTTGCCGCCCTTTTGTGCGGTAGACAGCACCTTGAAGGCCTTATCCAGGTCGTTGACCAGGATGTTCTTCTCTGAGTTCTTGCGCGCCTCGGAGCCTTGCAGCTTTTGAATATCTTCATAAGAAAGATTCGTTAAGAGCGAAAGATCCGTTGCATTTCCCCAAAGACAAATCTCGCACATTTCAGTGAAGAGAAGCTTTTCAGCAGCCTCAAGCTGCTCTTGGGTGTCTGCGCCGCTAAGAGTCTTTTTCTGCTCCAGCTCCGTGACAATGTCCTTGTAGCGCGCGGCAAGTTCGAGAACGGCGGGGCGGGAGGACTTGAAAGTAGCCATTTTCTGGCGAGCGAAGATATCATATGAGCGCCATTTGTCACTTTGTTTGAAGATGCTCGATATGCGTCTTGCTATGGCGGTTAGCCTCGACCACGACAGACAGAGACGGTACCTACCGGTACAAATAGCACTCGGCGTAAAGCCAGGGCACATTGTGCCATTTGGGATTGCCTCTGGCGGCTAATTCCTCATTGTACGCCTTGACGTCGGGTTCGCCATCATCGGGGATGGGTGTCAGCTCGCGGTCGTGTTGTAGTTCGTACTTGAGTTTGGCAAGTTCGGCAACGATATGTTTGCCCTGGCTGATGGCCTCCTCTTCCTTGGTGCTGTGCAACGAGCGATGAACGTCATCAATGCCTTGTGTTATGATGATGGGCCATCGCGAGCGCGCCGATGTGTGGGCAAACGACGTGGCGTCGCTGGTGCTGTATTGCGTGACGGGGAATGTGTCACACTCCATGACGGTAATGCACTTGAGCTATCGTTCCGGTCCCGAATTGATAGGAAAAAGAGAGAGAAAAGTCTTTATAGTTTGTTTGTGCCAGACGTTGAATTGTCAACATGGCGGGGCCCACCATCTTCTCACTACAAATAACTTATTTGGCGGGGTCCTCGATTTCGGAATTCCCTCAATGGGCTTAGCGCCATCATCCGCATCCCGTATAGCTTCCGCGTCTCGTCGAATACACAGCATCGTCATATGGACAATTTTCCTGTGAGGATACTGAAAGGCAAGCCATACTGTCTGAAATCGAGTATCGGCCCGTTCATTTCATGCAAGAGGTGCATAGGTAAGTATACAGCGGTCCTAGACCTTGATCTCTACAGCGATCGACACATGACGCTGATTCATACACCGATCTTGTTGACCATGTCAACTCTTCTCGTATTTGGTCAATTTTACCCGTCGGAATAATTTAATTACCATCCTGCTATGAGCTTACTGAATGTGTCATAGGACGTGGAGTGGTCGAATGCGACGGCGAGGCTGACTAAGGACGACACACTATCTAGGCCAACCACAACCTCCACCCAAGCACGGCTCTTGCCCAATCTTTTCCTCTTGATAACAGCATCAAGACAAACGAGAGAGGAAAACGTCAAAATCATCAGCTCTTCCATCCATGGGGGTTGAATGTACGTCCTCAAGGCATCAGAGCCCCAGGCTGTCGTCAGCTCGTGCCGATGACGTAGGTATTGAGAACGTGCAAAGTGAAGGCCTTGTGCCGCCGGACGGTGGCTATGGCTGGGTCTGTGTCGCTGCTTGTTTCACAATCAATTGCTTTACTTGGGGTGCCGTCTCGGTGAGTATAAAGCGAATGCCAAAGTCCTCATGCTGTCGTCCAAAGAGATACAAGTAGCTGATACAAATTTCCAGGCCTATGGTATCTACTTGTCTCACTACCTTGCAGATGACCTGTTCCCTGAAGCAACAACCTGGGACTATGCCTTTATTGGGGGGTTTAACTTTGCCATAGCCATGGTCGTTGCACCCGCTGTGACAGTCTTGTGCCGCAAGTTCGGGATCCATGTCATCATGTGCTGCTGTCTGCTATTTCAGCTTGCAGGCTTCATCTCGGCTTCCTTCTCGCATCGCATTTGGCAGCTACACATCTCTCAAGGCGTCCTGATCGGTTGCGGAATTGGCTTCCTTTACATCCCCTGCCTACCAGTTCTCTCCCAATGGTTTGACAAAAGACGGAGTCTCGCAAACGGCATCAGCGCGGCAGGGTCTGGCGTCGGCGGGGCGGCATTCGCATGGGGATCGGAAGCTATTATCCAGCGATTTGGCATTGCCTGGGCACTACGCATCACAGGCATACTAGCATTCACGGCAAACACCATTGCAACCATCTTCATCCGCGATCGGAACAAGGCCATTCGGCCATCTCAATTAGGCTTTGATACAAAGTTGTTGAGGCGTGTTGACGTGCTCTTGCTGCTCGCTTGGGCCTTCATCAGTATGCTGGGTTATATTGTCCTACTTTTCTCTCTATCTGACTTTGCGCTGTCCATTGGGCTGTCGCGATCCCAAGCTACTGACATGATTGGCTTGCTTAACATGGGCACTGCCATCGGACGGCCAATCATAGGCATTCTTAGTGATCGATGGAGTCGAATAGACACGGCTGGAGCGCTGACACTCTTGTGTGGAGTGGCATGTTTTGCCTTTTGGCTGCCTTCCACGTCATATGGGCTAACTGTTTTCTTCGTCATACTGTGCGGGGCTGTAGTAGGCGTTTTCTGGATGGTAAGTTGGTCTCTCGTGCCATGACAGTCTTGAAGTAGCACCATAGTGACACTAGGTGTAGACGATTGGTCCATTGTGCGTCGAAGTCGCAGGGATCAAAGACTTGCAGTCTCTATTATCTCTGTCTTGGGCGGCTGTCATTATCCCCTCCATAGGTATGTGCATCTAACCAGCCTTTGTGAAGCTTCAGTACATGACGCCTTACAGTATCCGAGGGCATTGCGCTCAAGCTTAGGCGCCCCAACTCTTCGCGCGAATATCTATATGCTCAAATCTTTGCTGGGCTTTCTTACATAATTGCCAGCGCACTCATGTTGCAGCTGCGCAGGGTGAAGCGTCGCCAAGCTCGCAGTTGCTGAGCTGCGTACGTCGCCACGAGGGCTCCAACGTAAGGCCGGAAATTTGGCACAGGCGCTATTGCCTAATCTGATGAGTGTATTTCGCCCAATTCTCGAGTCGAGGTACAACAAATCGTTACCGTTCATCCATTAGTTCTAGCACACGAGTATTCTTGACATTACACTCCTCATCCCCAACGCAGCCCAGACTAGCTCTGATTCGACTGCGATCTCCATCACCGCGCATCTCAGCAATAATGGTAGCAGCCGTCTCGCATGATATCAGCAATCCGGTATCGATTGGCGTCTCCTTAGGCATAGGAGTCGGGGCGCAGAAACAGCTAGCGGTATTAGGACATTCTGCATCTTCTTGTGGTATGGAAAATGTAGCCGGGGCATTGTCATGACTAGTGCTGTCTACCGGCTTACAACAGGTTGAAGCCGGCGATGCATTGATAGGGGCAGGGACCGGTCGCTGGGTGGATTGAGACTCTGGGCGTGGTTGTGGTTGAGGCTGAGCTGTCGACGGCACTAGTGGCCTAATCGAGGTTTGCGCAGGAGACTGCGTAGGGGGCTGCATGCACAGGGGCATCGTCTTTGGAACCACGGGTTGATGTGATATTGGAGTCCTTGGAAGCCCTGATGTTACAGGCAGCACATGGGGTGCATAGCTGGGAGCAGTGTTGATAGGAGTAACAGGAGTAATAGTGGTGGGAGTGGTGGGAGTGGTGGGAGTGGTGTTGGTCTTGAAGGAGCGCAGATATGCTTCTACCTCATTGTGCGTTACACCACGGCTGGCGAGTAGACTTCTTAACAGTGAGTTCTCCTCGGCGACCTTGCGTGCAGCGCGCTGCATCTCCTGCGTGGCGGCGACGCCCTTGATTTCATATTCTTGCACTCGGCGGCGCAAGTCCTGGATGAGCTCCTTGCGCTGGTTGCGCGAACGCCTCTGGTTCTCGCGGATGCGGATTGACGATGGTGTGTCGCTACCCTGTCCGTTGCTTAGCCACATGCTGACTGCCAACACGAAGTTGCCCTCATGATTTGCTGGGAACCCACCTTCTTGGACATGGTTGGAGGTTGGTTGACGGGCGAGTGGCAAGACGGAGTACTTGGAGGCGTGCATGGCAAATGCAGATGCAGACAGCCGCGTGGGGTGCGGCGCTAAACCGAATCTGGTGGTTGCAGCATCACGGCCCTTGGTCCATACGGCAACCACATCACCTCCATACTACATATCTACTATCTACATTGACACATACCCCGTGTTGTGTCACTTGGAAAACGTGCCAGGCACACGTGTATATATCTTCCTCCGTCTCTCGTGCTGTCGCCCTTACCCTCACCTCCTCTCTCCTCCCTCCCCCCACCAGGCTCGGCATCAGCCCCGTCATATCGCCGGCATCAGACCTCAACACCTTCCACATCGGCTCTAATACCACCCCGCATGCATACACTTTGTGCACTCCACTCTTCCCGTCTTAGCTCATCACACAAGCCACCGTTACGCAGTAGACAAGTGACGAAAAGCCTCCTTGGCAGGCTCGGCTCTACGGGTCCTTGATATTCCCCCGCTCCCATTGTCTCGCTACGAGGCATTGCGACGTCACAAAGGCACAAAATGCGCTATCTGCACCCGTCAATACTGCAAGGGGACATGCAATATGACCTGGCCAGGAAGCTTCCTTATCGTTCACCGGGGGCTGGCAGATGATATCCCCATGCCGCTGAGGCTGCTATAAGAAACCCCAACCCGCTCTTGTCTGCGGCGGGTGCGTTTCCTAAGCCATTGTTAGAGCTTGGTTTCTCCATCCATACATTGCCGTCGTTATGGTTACATGCAGTCTCCCATCGCTGGGAGTAACTCTCCTTCTCACTGCTCTTGCCCATGCCCAGTTTCCTCCCACGCCACGAGACGTGAAAGTTGTCGAATCGCAGCTTGAAGAAGGTGTCCGAATCTCATACAAAGAGGCATGTGATTTCTTACTCAGCCTGTTGGCCATGTTCTCATCATATTCAGACAAAGCTGTGTGAGACTACGGAAGGCGTCCGAAGCTTCTCCGGCTATGTCCATCTTCCTGCCGGAGCACTCGCCGACTTGGGTGTCCCGGATCAGACGTATGAGATTAATACATATTTCTGGTTCTTTGAGTCCAGAAAGGATCCCAAAAATGCGCCCTTGTCAGTTTGGATGAATGGTGAGCAGTTTGTTGACACGTACACACACCACCGACTGACCTTGATTAGGTGGACCTGGGTCCAGCTCCATGCTTGGACTCTTACGTGAGAATGGTCCGTGCTTTGTTCATTCCGATTCAAACAGTACCTACATCAACGAGTGGTCGTGGAATAACGAAGGTTGGAAGGCCCAGACTGAGCCCCAATCACGGCCCATGACAAGCGCTGACCCAGTCTAGTGAATATGCTATATCTCGACCAACCCGTACAAGTCGGTCTTAGCTACGACAGCTTGGTGAATATTACCACCAACCTGGACACAGGTGAGCTGAAGGTCGTAGACTTCCAGGATACCCCGGTCCCTGCTCAGAACAATAGTTTCTATGTCGGTACTTACCCTAGTCAAAACTCCAATTTTACCACTCGAGGCACTGAAAATTCTGCACGAGCGCTTTGGAACTTTGCCCAGGTCTGGTTCCAAGAGTTTCCTGAGCACAAGCCCAATGATGACAGAATATCAATTGCCACCGAATCTTATGGAGGTCGATACGGGCCCGCTTTTGCGGCCTACTTCCAGGAACAAAATGAGAAGATTGAAAACGGAACTTGGAATGAAGCTGGGGAGACGCATATTCTGCATCTGGACACACTTTTGATTATCAACGGCTGTATTGATCGATATGTACAGTGGCCAGGTTACCCAATGATGGCATACAATAACACGTACGGCATCCAAGCTGTGAATGAGAGCCGCTATCAGGAGGTGCTCAACAATTTGTACCGCAAAGGAGGTTGCTTGGAACAGATCGAAGTCTGCCAGAACCTCAGCCTCGCGTATGATCCCACCAATCAAGGTTTTAATGCCACTGTTAACAAGGCATGTGAGGCTGCGGAGACCTTCTGTTCCGAGCAAATACGGGACCCCTACTTTGATACCGATTTGAATTACTACGATATATCAGCGCCTGGTGCAGCATCATACCCTCCACCCTGGTACGAAGGCTTTCTCAACCAACCCTATGTACAACAGGACCTCGGAGTACCGCTCAACTGGACCCAGTCAAACTCGGCAGTGTCCAAATCATTCCGTAGTATAGGTGATTATCCACGTCCAAATTGGAAGGAAGACTTGGCCTACTTGCTTGAGGAGGGAATCAAAGTCACGCTGGTTTACGGTGACCGCGACTATGCTTGTAATTGGTATGGAGGAGAACTTCTCTCACTTGCCATACCGTACGAAAATGCCACTTCATTTGCCAATGCGGGTTATGCGCCCGTAGTGGTGAACGATACATATATTGGTGGTCAGGTACGCCAGTACGGTAACCTATCATTTACACGCGTTTACGAAGCTGGCCATGAAGTTCCTGCTTATCAACCGGAGACTGCATACAGGATCTTCATGCGCTCTCTATTCAATCGAGACATCAGCACTGGTAATGTCTCTACTGCCAACAACGCCAGCTACGCGACAGAAGGTCCAGCAGACGTGTCCAACATCACCAATGTACCGATAGTCGATCCAGGAGCACAGTGCTATGTCTTGGATCCTGGCCAGTGTACCAAGGAGCAGTGGAAGTCTGTGATGAACGGCACTGCCCTTGTTCGCAACTGGATAGTCGTGGATGATAACACGAGCCACCTTTTCCCAGACTTAATATCTAATAGCACTGCAGGGAATGGAACGATTCCGTCGACCACAGGCAACTCCATGCCCATCTACACGGGAGCTGCGCCTGGTAGTATCTTCTTAAGTGCTTTCAACAAGGCTTTGTTTGCAGCAGGCATTGGGAGCATCCTCTTCATATAAGGTCTGCCCCCCATAATCGAAATTACGATGGACAATGCAGTTTTCAAGCGCACGAATTCTTCAAATGAAAAACCCGATATTCCTTAGAATTATCAGATGAACAATAACGTCCATAAAATATGCCTGAGGTGCATTGGCTTTCGGCTGGAAATGTTGGTTGGTCTGGAAGCCGCCATAATCTGCGTTAAATCACATATGAGCTAGTGATTGAAATAGGGACCCTATTGCATCACCATTCTGTCTGTACCGGACCTCCACGGGCTTCTCTTTACTTTTTTCTACTTTCCGTTTCTATGCCACCCATTGCGGATTTTGAGGTTGACATGACGTCATGACTTGTGCCTCCCGAGATCAAAGTTTCCCTCTGTGAACATTATCTGTACTTTGGCATGCCATCTTCAGCACATCACTAAAACTTCCCCAACAAGCAAATCTTCAAAATGGCGAGAAACGCGTATTCAGCATTCCAGAAACACCTGTTGTTCTTCTCAACCCCCACAACCCCACCTAGACTTACGTTCAAGTCAGCCCTGCGGGCCGGCGTGTCCCTCGGATTGGACTTTCCCGTGGCAGTCCTGCTGAGTGTGTCTCTAAGAATTCTCTATGCGCCATTTCCCTACTTCTGGTCTCCTATCATCGTCGACAAGATCCCGGCTTCGTCCCACCGTACTCAGCTGGAAAATGCTACGCTTCCACAGGGAAAGACTAATTACACATGCTCCGAGCTTCTGTCTCTCTTGCAACAAAGCGAAAACGGGGGACGTAACAAAGTGTGGTTGTCGCACAAGATAGACCAAGGCCACATTGTGGGATTTTGGACGATGGCAGCAAACACACAGTCGCATACTGTTAGCAAAGAGGATGTCGAGCGGTTTCAGCAAGGCAACTGGGAAAACGCTGTAGTTGAGAGACGGAGAGGGCGTCATGACGTGTTGCCGCTCTGGAGAGGTGGACCTATCTGGATAGGTGGCCATAGCTGGGCCGTCCGTAGGGTACTAAATGTTAGGGTTTATGAAACCAAAGAACTTTAATCTTCAATAGACTTGGTCTACGGATGTAGAAAGTGTTGGTCCGCGAGTCTTTCTGACATACAATACTACAATCGCAGAGTCTTCCAAATGGTCTACTTACTATTGACTGGTTCTGGAGTAGTTTCATGGATGTAGTGATGCAACATCTCATCTATGCGAGGTGAGATGGAGTTTGAAAATAATGACTTTCACTATGATCTTTAAGGCATTAGACCGTAGAGCTTGTAATGCTATAGCTTGCGGCTCTTGCTCTTGACAGTATATCTGGAAAGTAACAACCGGGATTCGTACATGGAGTTGATCACAAGAGCTTCTTGCAAGCTTTCCAAAAATAGGCGTCAGGGTAGTTGTGGCCAGTTGATGCGCCTGGACGCAGGCTGTCAGGTACAGTAGTCGAAGCTAGAAGATTGGTCAAGCTCGTAAAAGCATCTGATGCGCAACATTGCGGCTCTTGTCTTAGCGACCAAAACGGTGAGAAGTAGCAATGCCCATTTGACGTAACTCTTGAATCAATTTACCTCAAACACGCAACAAGACGGAGAGTTCTTTGGCCAAGTCGGAGCCGAGCCATAGCTGCTTGTTTAGGAATAAAGGAGCCTGTAGCATGCTCCGCGTGCACTGGCCAGACTCGGAGCTTCTTCCGCTGTACTATTGTCGCAAGTTGTAAGTAAAAGCCGCAGCTCGTTGGATACGCGTATTAGTACTGGATAAAGTTGCTCATAGGAGTGCTGATATTGGCGCATTAGGGTACTCGCTTCCAGAGCTACAACAAGTGATGCGGCTGTCTGATAGAGCTGCCCGTGGCCTAACAGTTCGCTGATAATATGTATGCCTCAGGCAGCTCCGAGAAGTACGATGGCTGAACGACTCCGGACTGGTGGCGCTTACGTAACGGGGACCAGCCCCTTTCTTGGATCCCCATGTCGCACCAAGTACAAACACCGTACGTCGCGCAATTCACGGTCCAAGACTTAACGCATACACGCCGTCGCGCTCGTATGCCACCCTGCGCCCAAAGTCAAGTAGTCCACAACGACCAAACGTCAAAACCGCGTTTTGTTCCAGCCAAGCCATTCACTCTTTCATCAAGTTGTTTTGCGCCATGGCAAAGTGTCTCGTTTTAGCTAAAACACGTCAGCTCGGCTATGGCGCCCTATAGACTGCTAACATAAGTCAATGCTACTAAGAGTCTCCTTTGCTACATCTGCTCTGCAGTAGATCAGGCACTGCAGCTGTACCCTCAAATACAATACAATTCTTTCTTTCTCGTGTTTGCTGTCTTTGTCACGAAGTCTTTTTCAATTCCTTCCTTCTTCACTAACGGGCAGGTCTCCCAATAACATTTCTTTTAATTACCCATGTCTTTGAGGTCAGAACAATGCCCAGTCTCCGGTATGGCTGGTGGTCATTGCCCAGCGGAGTCAGCTGCTGCTAGCAAGAACGGAAGTCGGATGGGTCCCCGGGGGTGTACATTCTCTGGATTTGCCGCGCCTGGAGACGTGCATGCTGCGTTTGGAGTAATGTCAAATCCCACGCACTTGGAAATAGCCGTTTCTAATGATAATAGATACCGCAACATGCCAACGTTGAAGAGTTCCTTCGACAAAGGTGGACAAGCCATCAATCGAAGCTAGAATGATTTTGCTGACCAATTTAGGGAACGTAAGGCAATCAATGAGCTGATATATTCCAACGTGCCTTCCATGGCCGAGATTAAAGAAATTCAAAATGCTAAAGGTGTCAAGAGTCTTGACACTCTCAACATGGATGAACGAGATTTACTGGCAATTGCGCTTGGTGCACCCGCTCGTCAAGTCATACTACGAGCGGAAGAAGTCGGCCCTGCAACAGGTTGGCGAGATGGCTACTTAAGCACCGAGTATGGCTTCCAACCTCCAGACACAAGCGAGGCTCCTGGCGCCCTACGCAACTCTCCAGGACGAGTATGGATGGATCTGTGCACAAGAATGCCTGGCTGCGTTGCTCGCGGTCGAGTGCGGGAATCAATCGCAGCATTACCAATCATTCAAGGAACGGCCGACACCATCCCAGACAAGGCTCTATGGGCAGCTCTGGTCGCCCTTGGTATGCTTTGCTCTATCTACCGGTATGAAGAGCGACACGATGGCAATGAGGGCATCAATGTAGCTGCGAAGCCTTTCAAACTGAAGGGTGTTCCTATATGCGACGATCTTGGCGACGAGGTCCAAGGCATTCCTCGCAGCATTGGTCTTCCCTACGTTCAGATTTCCATTCGGATGGGTCGGTCCATTCCCCACCTTACCTTTTTCGACCAGTCGTCTTTCAATGTCGACTACGTCGACCCACTTTCGAAATATCCCTATGTCGGTCGCTTCGACAACATCAAGTTGCGATGGGGCATGTTCGGTGACAGTGCTGAGAATGCGTTCCTTAAAGGCTGTGCCGACACGTCGGCGAGCTTTCAGCATGGTCCTGATGCCATTGCGGCGTGTCAAGAACACGTCATGAACCGTAACAACGAGGGACTTCTTCGTGAACTCATTCGCTTGAAGGAGATCTTGGAACGAATGCCCACAGCCTTCAACACCATATCGCCCAACGATAGGTCTGGCGAGAACTATGTGTCTCCTACTGAGTGGGTACGCTGGGCCAAGTTCTCGGCGCCTCTATCCAAACGATGCCCAGCTACTTCCGGCCTACAGTTTCCTCCGTAAGTCAATTGATTCATCTGAAAGTTCTTTACTAATGCATTCAGGTACCTGGTCATGGATGCTTTCCTTGGTCGCAAAAAGTATGACTCATTCCTTGGCGCTGAGGGTGTGCATCTTCGAGCATGGCTGCCATCGAACCTTCGTGCGTTCATTGCTTCCATCGAGTATCACTATCAGATACCAGAATATGTGAAAGCATCTGGAGACCCCAGATTGATGGGCGTGCTCGATGGCGTGGTGGAGGCATATACTGGTGAGCGAGGCTTCATGGGTGCCCATCGGTACAAAGTGTTCGGTGTAAGTATGTTCTAATCCATACGTTGATCTGACTGACATCGAGAAGCTACTCGAGTGCGCCGGCAAGTCTGGTCGGACTGAGACAAATGGAGCTTCTGGAGCTGCTGACGCTATGAGGCCCTGGGAGAAAACGCATGCAGAGTTTTCTGAGGCTATGAAAGAACGGCTGGAGCCTTTCCGTGGACAACGCGATATCGAACCACATGAAATGCGTGGTACGTTCGAAGAATGTCGATACCGAGGCAGAATCCTAAGCAGAAACTTTGTCGATTCGGACCCCAAGCGCTCCATCGCAATGGTCACTCTGGACATTCAAGACACCGGCATTACCTTCCAACCTGGCGACCGACTTGCTATCATGCCAATGAATAGCTGGACGGAGTGTGCGAAGGTTGCAGCTGCGCTAGGCCTTGATACGATGCTTTCCGATCCTGTCAGTATGGATCGTATATGGACAAGATACGCTGCTCATATGGGCGCCATCTCGCATACAGAGAAGCCTCAGCTCACTGTCATTGATATCCTACGCAAGGGTCATCTTGCGCCGATAACCAAGAAGCTTGCTACAAAGCTGCATACCCTGCTACGAGCATCATCACATGTCGTGTTGCAGGTCCTAGCCACAGACGAATGGCCTGTACGAGCCTCACTCGGTGACTTACTTCAAGAAGCTGTAAAAGACACTTCGCCACGCATCTGGGACCAAGCATTCGACCTCTCCGGCAATCTGGCCTGGCTGACAGATCTCATCTCTGTCGAGGTACCACGTACTTACAGTATCTCCAACTACTCTGACGAACTTCTCCCCAGCACTGTGGACTTGGTATGTATTGTTACCCTGGAATGATATCCGGAACTGACGTATGTAGACAATATCTCGTTCGGAGTACGACCTCTGCCCCTTGTTCGCCGGCACTGAAAAGCATGTGCGAAACGGTGTTAGCAGTGGTTTCCTAAACCCGCCAGTAGCCGAAGAGATGGATGTACTCGACGACGAGGAGATATTGATTGGCGTGTCGAGACCTTTCTCGTTCCAGCTGCCACATGACGATACCTCGCCTGTTGCACTGTTCGCAGGTGGCAGCGGCATCGCACCTTTCCGCAGTTTTTGGCAAGCTCGTTGCGGTCAAGCATGGGGGAAAACTGTCTTGTATCTCGGTGTACAGTCCCGGCAAAAGTTCTGTTACGAATCCGAGCTTCGTCAGTATGTCAACGAGGGATTGATGGAAGTGCATACGGCATTTTCGCGCGACACGAATGGCCTAGTGTACGATCCCGTTTCTAGAGATCTTGTGGAGAGGGAGATGCCCTCAAGGTACATTGATGGACTTATCGTGGAGCAAGGGCAGTCTATATGCGATCTCGTTATGTCAAAGGTAAGTTCGATGCTCCCAATCCCTGGGGTCTTCGCTGACGTGCTTGGGTCACAGAAGCAAGGTGGCATTGGTGGCTACCTTTACGTATGCGGTTCAGTCGGAGTGTTCGACTCAGTGATGTCCGGCATTCGACAGGCGCTCTACAACCATCGATCACCTACTATGGAAACTGTGGAGACCATAATGAACACTGCATTTGCCGAGCGACGCTTTATGCTCGACGTCTTCATGACCCCAAGACCTCTACCTTGTAACCAACCTACGATTTCGCTTTCCCAGCTCGCCGTTCACACCGGCCATGTGAAAGGTTCGCGCGTATGGATTGGAGTGCATGGTAAAGTGTATGACGTGTAAGTATACAGTCCACTCACCCAATGGCTCACGCATACTAAGACCATCGCAGCACCGACTTTTGTACAATGCACCCAGGCGGTACCAATATCATCAAATCCAACGGCGGTGTAGACTGCACCAAGTCTTTCGATCTACTAGCCCATACCAACAATCCCGAGGTCTCGTCTCTGTTGACCAAGTACTACATTGGAGAATTGACCCCAAAGCCCGCTTTCCAATCCGAGGAGATCGGCATGCTTTACGATCTATGGAAGGGTTATCTTCGTGTCGCAACTGAACAAGTGGTCGCGGCGAGCTTCGAGGTTGGTATGATCACAGAGTCGTCGCTCGTGTGGTTCCAAGGTGACCTCTTCAACATGGGAGGTGTCCGCAGATTCTACCACTACCAGTCTCGACTACTAGAGGGCGGTTTCTCTACCCTCTTTGGAGCGAAACTGCAAGAGCTCTACCTCAAGATCTCATTCACTCTCGCCAATGTTTCTTCTACTAACACCAAGTTGTCCGACGTCCTCGGTGTAATCGCCCGTGCTAAAAGCTCCCACGATGCCGTCACGGCGTCCAACGAGATTTCTCAAATCGGCCAATTCACCTGCGACAGCGAATCTGCTCGCCACCATGAGAAAGGTATCATCGCATATGCGCAGCGGTCTGTCCAATACGATATGGAGTTTCTTGAAGCAATCAGGGAAGAAGCCTGTACTGGCATGGATGCTTTTGACAGTATCATGGAGCTTGATGCTCCCTCTAATTCTGAACGCGTCACTGCGCTTTCCACGTTTCTCATGCAAGTACTCGAAAGGATGGCAAACCGCCTTGAAGGTTTCTACGCCAAGCTCGCCCGTCATTCCGTATTCCAACCCGAGATGGAAAGAAACCCGGCTCGTGCTCGTTGGAACATCCTGAAGCGAAAGGTTTGGGACGGGTCCTTTTTCATTCTAGCCCGCGAAGCATCCATTCAGCCCACTGTTAGATACCCCACCAACGGTGTCGATTTCGATCGTGTTGTATCGCAAATCGAGATGAGTTTGAGCAAATCTTCAACGATGACACCACAGATCATGGGGCTCAACGAGCAACATGCCGCTCGTGCGATGAGCACTGCAAGTGGCACCCCTGCGTACGAAGTGCACACGCAAAATAACGCCCTCAAGGCGATGTCGACTTTCATTGACTCTAACAAAAAGGCCATTCGGCGTCTGAGTAAACTCCCACAGGCCATTGACCTGCAGCAATTGATGCAAACCTATGGATCGCTACCACAGGGCAATCATGCTCTGCCAACGCCACCGTCAAGTCGATCACCGTCCATGTCGTCATCGACAAGATTTCCAATGGGACGCCGAAGATCCAGGACGGTCAACGACATGCCGCAGCTATTGCAACGTCGTACCACCGGAGCATCTGACTTAACACGCTCAAACTCAGGTGCATCAGCTCATCCGTCACCAACTGCCGCCATGTCAGCATTAATGACCAAAATGAACACTCGCAACAAATCCATAACCTCACCAATCTATCGAAGTCCCGACCATATTGATCAGGATCGCGCGCGCTCAGTGCAAGCGTTATTTCTGCAGAGGCCGGATAGAATGGTTGGTCTAGGAAATGCAGGATCGGACTATGGAGGTGGTAGTCGTATGGATAGCCCGCATATACGCTCGAAGAGTACTACCGGTAACCTAAGGGCGTTTCGACTGCAAGCAAGTACCATGGCTGGGGGTATGAATCGGAGAAGCGATATGAGTCGGACATGAATAGACCTTAGACTTCTATAAATTAGTCAAAGATATCCAATTAAGTTTTTTTTAAAAAAAGAAAAAGTATTTGTATGTTCTGGGAAGTATACTTGAAGTGGGATGCAAGGATGTTTGAGTAGTAGCTACTTACTGTTGGTAATCCGGCCTTACCTTGACTTTTGAGGTAGTAAAGACTATGCTAGCTATACACAGTGTATAAAAGTAGCCAATAGATATGGGTGTTAAAATGGTACATCATCCCAGTGCGTGTCCACCGTGAAAACTTCGTGCTCGTAAGCTGCGCTACTGTACCATCCTGCGCAATAACAGAGCTGAGCTCCGCTAACGTCGGCCGTTTGTTTCTTTAATCTGCCGTCGTCGTATTATGTTTGCTTTCAATATGCCTACAGATTTCATCGTATCTTGTTACTATCTAATCGAGATGTTAATCGAGATGTTCTACAAAGCTCCGAGCGTAGGAACAACTAGCAAAGCGCTTTCTGTCCACATCCTAGATTTCGATGTAAACTTGTTTTTCGGTTTACTTCTGTCTAGTATGCTAATAAGGTGTACAGACTTTCAAGACCCTGAAAGTCACACTTTTATCTAAGGCAGGCCAAGATTACGGCTTAGCGAGTGAAGGTAGGCGACAGGCACATCAGCAGAAGCAGAAATTCTACTTCAAAAAAGTGCGGTCGTATGGGCGAAGCGAACATTATTGGCCAGATAGTGCTCATGCATAGGGCCCGGGCACAGGCACTGTTGCAAAAAGGTCTAGAGCCGCCACAAGGCTCGCTTCACTTTCCAGCCTCTAGACCATATTAGGGGTGGGTATACCTTGATCTGCCTTGCTGACTGCAGCATAGTCCACCTGATGCGCTGTCTGCACTATCCTGGTGCAGACCACCGGTATGGAAATATTGCGCACATGATCTGATCGCACTGCCCTGGACTTTATGGTCTGCAATCATGACCGAGCAAGCTGGAAATGATATCGAAGCTCTTACTTAGACGACCGGCCTCTTCAAGAGAAAAATATAGTTGTGGTATACTAGGCTGATACGATCCTTCAGGTCGAACGCCGGCGCTCAGTTCAATCTATCTGAATAGCCTTGCGATGTGCTTCAGGTGAATTGTTAACCCACAGTCAAGGTATTGAAGCCGTGGGCTGCTCTTCGCTGTCTCTCTGCAATGCATTGCCTGTCCTTTCTGGATTTGTGATGATTGCGAAGTATATCGAGTCTTGCAAAATTGGTTCCACATCCCCACCTTCTGCCATCTGAAAGTACGCCACCGCATGTAACTGCGCTGTCTACATCGTGAAGTCTCATATGACGGGTGAAATCGCTATATCTGGCGGACGTTTTTTCGCAACGTGGGCATTCCCATCGATGATTTTCGCCGTGAGTTGCAAGATGCGAATCCAAGTTGTACTTCTTGGTGAAACGTTTGTCGCAATGTGAACAAATGTGCTCTCTCTTCGTTCTCTGGCGCTTGGCAAACTCCATAGGCCTCGCTGGCTGAGGTTCTGATTGTTCTGATGTTGGACTGCCTGCTGTGTCTGAAATTGCCAACAAGGGTTGCAACTGGGGAACAATTTGAGGTTCATCCTCTGTCGTAGCTTCGGGTTCTGGCGAAACTTCGCGCATGCTGTCATTGATCTCCTCATCTGTAGGAAATATGTGCTAAAGCTCCGTCATATCCGGGTGATTCTCCTTGAGATGTCTAGTTAGTTCTGCCTGCGTCGCGAACCCTATTTGAGAGCCCCTGCAATGTTCGTCTGTGCAACGAGATGGGCGCTCGTGTCGTTCGACATATTTCTCGCGCTCCTCCAACGTCGAGAATCCGTTCGTGAAGTATCTACAGCTAAATCTCGGGCACCTGAACAGATTACAACCGTACATGTCGCTGAGTCCAGCCATGTCGGGATTCGGGCTGTGACTAACATAGGTCTCGATACAGCGACGGACAGCCTTCACAACGCCCGCGAATTTAAGAGCACGTTTCTCGAGACGCACGTCGCCGAAATGCTTCGGTTCTTTATCAGTCAAGACAAGTACTGGCTGGAGTTTTGCAAAGCTTTGGCGATGGTTGAAATGCTGCAGCACGTCTCGAGTCCGTTTGGAGGCTAATTTGGCGACTGATGCAACGCTGACAGCTGGCTTGTTCCAGTATTGCTCAACCATCACTTCAAGGGACTCCATGAGGTCGCGATAGGGATTAACCTGATCGGGAGGAGCTGAGCTCATGCTTGCCCCCAAATGCCGAAGCCAATACAGAATGGAGTACTCCATAAACCCATACTCTCCAGCGAGAACCTGGTTTTCTGAAGGGTCCTGAAACGATGGCAAATTCAAGTAGTTGATGCAGAGCGTTGCCATCTGGAGCGCTCTAGCGGTGACGTCGATAAAGCCACTCTTCGCTAGATACCTTGTGGCGTCTCAGATATCTCGTTTAGCTGTTATGATCACAGAATACTTACATTCTTGCAGTCATGTGAACCAGCTCAATGCTCCCATCTTCTTGAACATCCACCAGCGATTCACAAAGGTCCTTGGGATGAACTCGAAATCGTCGCCGTTCGAACCCGACAGCCCTTTCATCTACATTAAATGACCCCATTGTTTGTATCTCATGCATTTTCAACGATCGCTTTGCACAAAAAAGCCAGCCAAGAAGTAGTAAAGCCTCTTGGCGTTGAGGGGTAACAGGTTTGTTTTCGATGGTCCGCATAATTCGAGCCTACCTAAGCTATGAATTTAGCCAACCGAGTGAAACGTCCAGTACTTACATCACTTACACCTTGTCTAGGTTATTCAGATCAGTTTAAAGGTCTCCATCTCACGGTCCAGGTCTTCTTGCGAGCTCTGGCTGTGAATATTGATCCAAACAAGATGAGCAAATAGGAAGACTCCTTGACGTTTTTTCTATTGTCAGTAAGGCAAACATATTGTTCAAAGCAGACATACCTGCATCTGCTGCAGGAACGCGTTGGGCGATCTCGTGCGCGTAGTCATCTTTGACTTGAAATTTCGGGACCAGTCTTTCGGCTTGTACCTTGCAGAAAGCTTCGACATCTTCCTCATTTTTGCCTGTGTCCGCTGTGATACTAGGAAGATCGCGATAGTCCTTTCTGGCGCAGTCATGTTGGCTGATGAACATACAATCAATACCATCGCGATCCTCTGGATGACCATTCTCGACAAGGTACCGAAACTAGCTCACGATGTCTCCTCTTTCCTTCCTTGAACAGCATTCATCCAAACCATCAAGCACGAAGTAGGTAGACTCACAACTGGTCAAGGCGAATTTCAACAACTCTTCAATGAGGGGGCGAGAAGTGAGCACAGCGCTTCCACTACTACAACATCTGCTGTAAAAGTAGTCGAGAGTGTGAGGGGCTTTTTCGACAATTTGGGCAAGCAGAGTACGAGCCAAGGAAAGGAAGTTGTTTCGGTCGCTATCCTCTTGTTTGAAGTAGAGGAACAAGACCTTTGGACTTGACTCAAGCTTTTTCGCTTCTTTTATAACAAGGGATGCAAGGACCGTCTTACCTAAAACCGCATTGTAAGTCATTGTTCAATAAACGCACCAAGAACCCACCAGAACCAGGTTTTCCATTAAGCCACAGTAACTTTGGGATAGCCAATGTGTCGGACTGTTGACCGAACCACTCTTGAAAGGCCATATTGTGTAACAACCACCTGCAGGTCCCTGGGTATGCAACGCGAATACGCCTCAGATACTCTTGTTCATTTTCCATGTCGGTAGGTTTAATCCATGCATAGACAGCATATCTGCGAACCAAGTTTTGGCCATCACTTGCGTCATCAATGGCCTCCTCTTCGTGTGGGGAATTGATTCCAAATGAGTGAAATTGATCTACACTTGTCCGGCCATCAACAAGCTTGAGGCGAGACATCATGCGGGATATGATGGCCGTGAGACTAGATTTATGCCGCTTCCATGCCGTAGCAAAAAGCTCTGTCCAGACTGTTCACTATCAACATCTAGCCAAGGTCAAATGGTGGGGCTGTCTTACAGCGCTGTTGGAAGTAGCTGACGAGCAATCGATTGACTTGGATGATTTCACTGTATGCGGCGATTAAGATCTTAGTCAGGCTTGGCTCACTCTGGAACAATTCTTTATACGTGGACAAGGACCGCTGAGCTCTTCCAATCTGTCCATAGATGGCGAGAATACCATTGAAAGCGTCCGTGCAGGTGTTTGTTGTCTGCTGTTTGGATCAGTCGCACACCTTGACTGAAAGAACCGAACATACTTCAAGCAAGAATTTTACGGGTCCCTGGAGGACTCAGTCAGTTCGGCGCTTACTCTGCGTGAAGACAATCACGTACCCAAATGAATCCCATGATTTCTTGACTCCTAGGTAGTGTTGCAACAAGCTCGCCAAACTCGCCGAACCTCTTGAGAAATGGTTCCAGACGGACAAGGCCTTGTTGTTGACGCTCTGCGTGCTGCGTGTGCTGTAAATTAACAACGTATTGCTTGAGATCATTCACAGTTATAGCAGGAAATCTTGCTCGATTTCTTCCATTCAAGATTTCGGCAAATCCTATCAGACATTCCCCAATCAAAAATTCCAACCGCTCCGCGTCCTGGAGAGATTGGTCAAAGTTGAGATGTTCAACCCCATTGTCTAGCAAAGTTGCTGGTAAACCTTCTACGCGTAATTCCTTGAGTATTTCGGCAACTTGCGCTGCATCGAGAGGTATTTCTCCACCTGGGATATCCAGTGGATCAGCTGAAGAGCGATTCCGCTTGAACATTCTATTCAAGAGTCCAAAGAACTCTTTACTATAAAAGGTTCTCTGAAATTGCATGTTCAAGTCGCCGTTGGTCGGTATGACAGATTGAACATGGTCATAGAGCTGAGTATGCATGTGTACCACCGCGTCCTTGACTTGTTGTCCACGGAAGAAGCGTGGAGGGTCTCTGTCGGATGGTCCATCGGCTATGCGAGCGTTTTTGTAGTCGCTGGCTCCTTGTGGGTCTTGGATGTCACAAGTCGCAACTTCAGACATGATACATCCTAGTGACCATATATCGCAGTCTCGAGTATATTTGGCTTGGCGAGGGGCGGCGTAGAAACCAGTAACGTGATTGTTCGGAATGCCGGTCATGTCGGTATCGTCAGGCAATGTTATAGGCTTCAGCTCCAGTAGGCCAAAGTCTGCAATCTTTAGTTTCCTCTTCACGATTGAAATGTTTGCATGCTTCATGTCCTGATGGTAGGCGATCTTTGTGCCTTTGTAAAGCTTGTGGAGCGTGCTCAGTCCTTCAGCAATGCCCTGCATCTGCGTCCAAAGCTCTTGGGACTCAAATGCGTTGCTTGGATCTTTGGGATAATCGTGAAGTGATTGCTCTGCTACTTCCTGGAGGATAAAAAAGTGACTGCTGTGCCAATACGCTCCCAAAGCCACCATAAGGTGCGGATGGTCTTCTTCCTTGGAAAGTCTCCGGAGATTATACCATTCTTTCGCTGCCGCTCTGTGCAAGCCATGCTTGAATGTCTTGCGAGCAAACCTTGTGATATGCTACAAACGTCAGAAAATACGTGCAGTCATTCTTCGAGCTGTCGTACTTATTCGAAGTCTCGTGGCCGATATTCGTCATGTTGGAATTCGAAGCATCGGACTTGGGCAAACGTACCTCCTTGAGCTCTGCATCCTCTTTTATCGGCAACAGCTTATTCGACATACATGGGTAGACAAGTAAATTCAATGAACGCGCTCCCTGACAGTCGCGTGGCCTTGAAACGACCGTGGCCCTTCGAAGCCGATCATGTCCATATATCAAACTACGGGCAAAAAGAACAATATTCTCTTGACAATCTACAGATCGATGAACCGTTGTGTCTACTAGGTTCGGTAAGACTAGTGCACACCAAACCAGATCATTGTTTTGAGTTCTTTGCAGGTTGTCGACGTGAAAGCACAGCCTCGACGGGAAGCCTTGGACTTTTTATACCGCACATATTCTCTTGGATCAAGTCAAAACTATGCTACATTCGACGTCCATCCGAAAGGCGACTATTTCGAGCTCTCTAGCAATGGTTATGCGTTTGCTCGTCTGGACAAGGCCTTCTGCAGCGCAGCTCGCCGGCTGGTGGGGCTTGAAGTTAGGTTTCAGGCGTACCTGGAGCGAAGGCGTTGGGAGGAAGTCTTAAGCACATGAGACCACTTGCAGATGGAACAGTGACGTTCTCGGTCGACGTGAACCTGAAGAGCTTGATGAATCATGCTGACAAAGTCGGTGACATCATCCCTAGCTCTGGAGTTTTCTTACAATGGCCAACGCATAATCCTGGCGGAGAGACCTATTACAATCCTTAGATTCTTCATGTCAAAGCCTTCCGTGAGAAACCTGACGACATGATGACCGAGGCAGAGGACACGCCAACGCCTGCTGACGTTACACATAAACCAACCCAGAGCAATCTGGAGTCTTCCCTGAACCACCAAGTCCACGTGGAACATATCGTTGGTTCTCTTTCTCACAAAAATATACTGCACGAGATCCGTACCGATACGAGTCGCATAAAGAGCACACTCATGAGGCCAGTATCACTGCACCTAAGATAGGGAAATGTAAGCTGACACATACTACAGGCACCAGATGATGGCGCTAGACTTCATCGCACAGCGAGAAAGCGGCAGGCCCTCTGCGGAGCTTACACATTGGCGAGAAAGGCGCAGAAAGGGTGAGATCCGGTATGCATCCATATTGCACATAGTGGAAGCAATGTTAAACTGATTTTCCGATAGTTTCCAGCATGTACTGACAAATTCCGAACCCCCCGAGCACCGTGAGGCTAGAGGAGGTATTCTTACAGATAACATGGAACTCGGCAAGTCGTTAATCATACTATCGGCAATTGCAAGCTCTCTTCCAGACGCGGAGAATTTCACCTCGACTCCGACAGCGCATGCGAAAGAGTCAACAACTTTTCTAAAGCCATCACGAGCAACATTGATCATCGTTCCGTCCACAAGTAAATCCACTATGAACTAGGCTCCACCACGATCAGAAAGAAAGCTGACTTTGATAGCTTTAATTGATAATTGGGTAGACGAGATTCCCACGTAAGTTCATTAACTTACTGTTGTGAAACCAATTGACAGACGCAGACACAGGTATCCTTACAAAGTGACGTTCCACAAACACATCAGTACGGAACGGCATGCAGAAACACACCTTCTTCTCGAGAAAGACGTTATCTTCACTACATATGCCACAGCCATTGAGGACACTAAGAACAATCTGTCGCCGTTATCAAGAATTCACTGGTTTCGCATTGTTTTGGATGAAGGTAGGGCCTGTATTGTCCAAGCATATCTTTATTCACTGACCAGATATCATGCAGCTCACAAGATCCGGAATCAGAACACCAAGATGTTCAAGTCGATCCAAGAGCTTCTAGCGCATCGTCGTTGGTGTCTTACCGGAACACCCATCCAGAATCGTCTCGAAGATTTGGGCAGCCTGGTTGCCTTCCTTTGTCTCACAGAGCTAGAGCGCATGCCAACGTTTCGCAAGTACATCATTGCAGCAACGTTGACTGGCCGGGAAAATTAGTTCGCGAATTTGCAGACAGTATTGAGCACCATCTGTCTTCGGCGAACGCGAGATATTCTTGACCTACCTCAGCCTATAGCCTGCCTACAGTTGATCAAATTGTCCGACTATGAGCGACATCAGTACAATGACCTATACCAGCACTATAAGAAACAGGTCGAGATGGAAGTCAGTGAAAATGGAAGATGCGCATCCATCACACTCCAGTCCATCCACGAATTGCGTCTCTTCTGCAACAATGGTCCTAGGAGAATACAGGAGGCACTACACCAATCAGACGATGAGATGCTCACTTATCTGCTGTAGCTTGAGGAGAACTTATGTTCCGAAAATTCTCTTCATGACACTAGATACTGGAGCTGAAGGGTCTGTACACGTATATACACTAGAAAGAAGCAGTTTATGTACTAACGGACCTAGGGTCAATTTGACCGTTGCTAGATACATATAATTGCTTGAACCACAATGGAACCCCTTTGTCGAGCTGCAGGCATTGGCAAGAGCACAGCGTATCGGACAGACTAAGTAAGTAGTGTGTGTACGGTATGTCACAGAAGCGACCATTGAGGGAGTAAGAGTGACTCGACTTCAATCAGGTTTGGACTATAGCTTACACTAACGTAGCAGGACGTGTTAAATCTCCAAAAAGAAAGACTAGGCTTGCAAGTGGGGGTTTTCAAGCCCAGAACGTAAGCGATTCTCTCGTAAGACTGTTTAGACCTAGAGTTCTAAGTTTATAAGTACTAATAGTTCATAGCAATCCCTTGGTGCTTATACAATATAGACACGAAATATAGTAAAAGTCTAACTCTATTATAGCTTTACATAGTGGTATAAAAATCACAGTATATTAAACTATTATATACTTTTTCTTTTAATCTCTATATATATTCTATACTTTTACTTACTATCTTAACTATAGTATAATTACATATATATTTATTTATCTTTTACTATAATTAAATATATTAAATATAATAAAATAGAATTTTTAAACTATAAGTTAATAACTAACACTTTAAATATTATATTAAGATTAAAGATATATTATATTTAAGGAATAAGATACTAAGTATATAGATATACTAGACGAAATAGAAGATATCTTATCTTAATCTTCTTTTTATATTACTACTATATATAGATAAATAGAATATAATTAGAAATAGTAATATATATATAATAATACTCTAACGTGTTTAACTACTAAGTAGGTAGTTTTACTAAATAGGTAGCTTTTCTATCACGCTTTATCTTTATAATAACGCCGCTTTACACTACTATAATTTTTAGTAGTAAGAAAAATACAATATTATTCTTTAAACGCGTTACTATCTTCTATATTCTTTATCTCTACTTAGTATATATAAAAATATTATCTTATTTAACTATAAAGCCTAACCTGTTTTACTAGTAATTTAGCTACCTCTCTATAATACCCCACTGTTATAATAATAATACGTAATATCTTAACTATATAACGTATTAAAAGTATATACTAAAGAAGATCTATTTCTTACTATTACTAATCTTAATTCTAAATAGATTTAGAGTAAATAATAGACTATAATTACCTATAGTATTCTATTAATAATAATATATAGCTAACGCGTTAGCTAATACTTATAATATAATTACGAACTACTAACTAAGTAGCTAATAAAACTAAAAGAGTAGACTATTACATAATATATAATAGTTAAGGCTAAGTAAGAACTACTCTATAGAAGGGATAATATATAAGATATAGCTAATAGACTACTCTAAAAGTATAGTAGAGAGAAGGTTAGTAAGAACTAGATTAATAGGTTTATTTAGCGTAATCTTAAGCTATATACGCGCTAGAGCTATTTATATAATTACTAGTAAGCTCTCTATAAAGACTTAGCGCTTATTAAGAACTAGCTTAAGCTAGTTTAGAATATAAAGATAAAGTATAGTATTATAAATAAANATATCTATAACTTTAATAAAACTAGCTTTATTATAGATAAGATTTNATTATAGTTAGTTATTATAGGCTTAGATTAACTAAAAAGAATAAGGAAGATCTAGCTAAGTAACTATAAGTAAGTTTCGCTAATATAAAGCGTTAGTATAATAGATATATATATTCTAGAATTTCTTATCTTAATAAGTAAAGTTCTAGTTTCTACTTAGTTTTTAGAGAATCTACTATATAACTAAGTAATTTAAGTTAGTTTTATAAGCTAGATAAATAATAATTTAGCGCTTAACTAGCTTTATTACTTTAATTTCTATACGCGGCCTATAGAGATATATAAGCTAATTATTAATAATAGCTATAAGAGCTACTACTTTATAGCTTTCTAAGATCTTTATAAAGAGATAAAGATAATTCTTTTCTATATATATCTTTACTTATTATTTCTCTTATAGCCTCTTAATATAAACTATTTCTTACTATTAAAGCGTATATATAGTAATATTATCTTAGTCTTAGTAGATAATTATATCTACTATATTAGTAAAGAAATCTTTTAACTAGCGTTTAAATAAGACTATAAAAAGGCTATTTTACTAGAGAATATCTATAAAGTATTCTTAGATACTAAGCTTACTTTATATAATTATTATATTATCTTATTATAGCTTAATATTATATTATATACGCTAACTCTAATAGCGTAAAAGAATACTATCTAAAAGCTAAAAATAGTCTATAACGTGTAGAAAATACAGGTGTAGATTATACTTATTTTAAACTATATATTAATTAAGTAAGAGTTTTCTACTATCTTTCTAAAGAAGTAAATATAATAGTTAAATTAAAGAACTTAGTAGATTACTTATTAGATAGTATAAATATAGAAGAAAATAAGTTACTTATAAGATAGTATTAAAGTATTAATAAAGTATAAAACTTATAAGCAGCGCTATATAAAGATAGAGAGATTTTAGATAGTTAGCTAGATAGCTAATTAGATTACTAAGAGAGAGAGTAGTAGCTCTAATAAGAGTATATTATCTATAAAGAGAGTATATAGTAAATAACATAATAGACGTTATAGCTAAATTAGATATTAATCTTATATCTATTAAGTAGAATTAGAGAACATAAAGGATAGTAACGCGTCTAAAGAATTATATCTTTTTCTACTTATTAAGAAAAGTTATAGTAGTATTAGATAATACTATAATAAAGTTATAATAGTACAGAGAAGAAGTCTATTTACTAAGGTAGCCTACCTACTAGTAAAACACGTTACTTCTTATTTCTAATCTATTATAATTAAATATTTTAAATAGCTAAAAATATATTTATATTATTTTAGTTTCTTTATATATTATATTATTTAGCTATTACGTATTATTATTATATAGATAGAGTTTAGTAGAAAAGATATCTACTTAGTAGAGCTACTTACTTAGTATTAAGATATATTAACTAAGATATATATAGAGAATTTTACTTAGTATCTATATATCTACTTTGAAGAGATTAAATAAATAATATTTAAAAACTATAAGAGATTAAATAAGTTTAAGATATTTTAATAGTAATATTAGTAAAAGTTTTATAGTATTCTAAGAGATGTTATATATTATAGCTCTTTTAGCTTTTAATAATAAGTGAATACTTAGTACTAATCTTCTATTTTTAATAAACTTTTTAGAGTACTATAGCTATATAAAACTAAGCTTTCTTATTATCTAACTATTCTCTAAAACTTTACTAATTTAGTTCTTAGGTATATTACTATCTAAATACTAACTAAATAAATAATTAAATATTAAAAAGTAATTTAGAGTAGAATTGTTTATTTAGTTATATTAATATATAATATAACTTTACTTTAATTTATACTATATTATTTAATAGACTTAACTAATCTATATCTCTTAAAATCTATAATAATAGTTTAAAAAGTTATTAAGCTTATTAAAACGTATATTATATAAAACTTATATATATTTTTAACTTAGATTCTATAGTAGACTTTTATATTAGCTACTAAACTAAACGTATTTTAAATAGCTTATATATTCTTATAAAGAGCTCTCTAGTAGTTATACTTATAATAATTAGCTCTAGCCTTTCTAAGTAGAGTTTCTAAGAGAAAAGAATTCTAAGATTAATTATAACTAGTAAGTAGCAACTACCGCGCATCTATTCTCTACTTTACTAATTAATACTATTACGCCCGTAACTTATTAATACTATTACGCGTTAATATAAGCAATATAGTAGCCTAATCTACTCTAAAAGCTACGATATATTATATGACTTTCTCTAACTTATCTTTTCTAACTACTCTTAGATACCTTTAAATAAAGTAGAGCGTTACTCTATTAAGAGTATAGCTTAAGTAGAAGTAATATAAGACTTCTAGTATTAAGCTTCTTATTAGTTAGTTTTTACAGATAGAGAGATAGTGTATAATAGAATAGTAACTTAGGTAAGTAAAATAACTCTATATATTATACTTATACTTAGAAATTAAGTTAAATATATTAAGCTATAAGGGCTTAATANCTAATACTATATACTAAGTAAGTATTATACTTAATAATAAGCAATGCTTACTAATAAGCGCTTAATATTAAGTACTCTCGCTAAGTGCTACTATTAAGAGTATAGCTCGAGTGGAAGTAATATAAGACTTCTAGTATTAAGCTTCTTATTAGTTAGTTTTCGCAGATAGAGAGATAGTGTGNAATAGAANAGTAACTTAGGTAAGTAGAATAACTCTATGTATTATACTTATACTTAGAACTTAAGTTAAATATATTAAGCTATAAGGGCTTAATG